TATAACTCAAATAATATGAAAACACAGCTATTGTTTACACATTTGTACATGTTAAGCAGAAATAAAATAATATGTAAGAGTCAGTTCCAGTGGTTGGAACAAAGCATAACAAAAAATATTTGTTTATTACTTGCAAATATGCAAATTTAATTTAAACCTTTATAGAGAGTGCACGGGAGTTTTACTTTTCACTTTCTATTTAATAGAGATTTTACATTTGCAAATTTAATGTAAACTTTATAAAATTGAGAAACCTAAAAGTTATTTAGCAAAATTTTCTTAAGACTTTAAGCTTCAGTTATGATAAATTGATTCCCCGAATTTGTTGAAATTAAATTATTTATTTAATGACCGAACAAGATACTATATCTACCAACAAAACAATGTAAGGCTAAGAGGTTTTCCCTGCCTTCCTGGCAATTTACAACTTTTACTTTTTCGGTGAAAGCCCTTTCTCTCTTTCACTCGGCTTGCGCCTTTTGGGAGTGCAGCAGCGCTAACTCATTTCACAATTTGCCAGCGTGAAATGGTTTTAATGTGAAAACTTTTGCGGCAACATTGTGTGGCTACACGAAAAGGTACAGAGCCAGACAGATGGTTCCTGCTCCTGCTGCTGGGCCTTGGCCCTTGGCCTGATCCCCATGGTCTATGATGAAGTTGTGCAAAAAGTTCCAGGCTCAATTTTCGGGGCCAACAATATCCGTGGCAGGCGTGTGGAAAGCGAGTCACTGGGCCAAATGCAATCAAATACCAACAATTGCAGCCAGGAGCAGGCGCGGTAACCCAGTCAGGTAAAGGGTCCTGCCAGGAGTTTCCGGTGGGGGTATCCCGGAACAGGAACAAACAAAATATTGAATAGGATTTGCAAACACATGTGCCTGCTGTTCGCTCACTCAATCAATAAGGAAGTCGGGGTATGAGTCCCGGGTAACACGAGAAAGCCAAGATGTAAATAGAACTTCCTCTCCATATTTGAATACCCATTTCTTTCCCTCTCGAGGAAATCGAAAGTGCGGGTTATCGTATGCAAATCTCCTCATGTCGCCATTTCTACGCATTTTCACTTTGCCACAGACTCAAACACACACACACAATACATTTACATAAAAATGCACTTGATCTGTGTGTCGATGATGTGTGTGCTCCAAGGATATCTCCATTCAGCTGCCAGTGCGATTTATTTACCCTTGGTGATGAGTATGTATGTAAGTCGTCCTTTGTCCTCACTCCTGTTTTCCACTTGTCTTACATGGCGCGAAAGCTAATCGGCTTTGGATGGGGGATTTGTGGGGAGGAAAAATCATCAGAAATTTGCATTTCTTTCGGTTTTCCTCATTTTTTATTTATTATTTGAATAGGAAATATTTGTATTTTATCAACAGGAGCAAAGACAATAGGAATTATAAGTCAGAAATAGCTTTAAATGTATGGATGTTGCATATCTTCCTCTTTGCTTATTCCAGCTACATCCTAGTTAGCTAGAAGTTCCCTAGTAATCTACTTTTAGTACAAGTAAATCATTACAAAGAAAACTGTCTAATTAATTAATAATTGCAAGGCTTAAAATAGTACCAACCCAAGATATATATTTCTTCAAAACGGAGACGCTGTTGGCACCCTCTTCCTTAAAGCGAAAAACCCCTAATTGAGCCTGTTAGCAAGCTCAAGCTCACAGCAAGGACTAATTAATTTCTGGCCTTGTGCCACCCTCCGCAGGTGGTGTGTAGAAGGGGGACCAAGGATTCGAAGCAGGTCAGCGGTGGAATTACATGCTCCGGATTACAAGTTAAGCCCAAGCTTTGAGCTCTTAGCTTCGGTCAGTGCCTGCCTGCTGGCCTGCAATCCTGCCTGTCGAGGACTTTATTCGCTCTAATCCTTTTGCATGTCATTATGCCTGGGCTGTTGCCTAATTGTCGGAGCTCTGTGGGGCTGTGGAGCGGGCTCTTTAATTTAACAGCAAGTCCGTCATCAATAATAAATGGCATTCGACAAAAGTTGTAAACCTTTTTCGGCACTTATCTGTCACACGTCACACAGAGCCAGCGTCATTTGTCAATTGTCACGGCTTCTGGTTTAACTCGAACTGGAACTGGAACTGAAACAGAAACTCAGTCAGGCTGCCCTTATCTTCTTCTCCGGAAAAATGGCCAGGGATTGGTGGGGTGTTCCCAGTTAATTTGCAAAAAACAAAAAGGGGGAAGCACACAACATTTCCGCTCCTGCCACCCACTCTCCACGTCACGCCCAATTGTTAAAAATGACAACTAATTAATGTCTGTCGTCCACCCAGCTGGACCATTTTTGGGAGTGGTGAAGTGGTGTAGCAAAGAGGTTTATCCATTGGCCTGGAAGTGTGCGTGTCCAGAATCCAGGCCTGCCACTGCCAAGAGCCCTCTCTTCTGGCCAACTCGATTGAGCTTAATTTGAGGTCAACTGGTTGGGATTTCCAGAGTGATTTGTCGGTTTAAAGGTAAATGGGTTGACTTGGAAAATTGCCTGATTTATGGGGAAAATCAACAGAGATAGAGAGAGAGTATGCTGTCACTCACCTAACATCAGTTGCAGCCTAGATACAAATACGAAATAAAGACTAAATAAATTGGAAATAACTACTGCAAAAGGTTACTTGCAGTTTAGAGATAAGAATATTTAAAACCTTAGTAATTACTATGCTTATGCAAAGTCCTGTGTCCTGTGCCCTGTGCCCTGTGTCCTGTGAGATCCTATTCAAACCAGCGTCACAAATGACTTCATTAGCGCGCGCTCTATTTGAAAATCCCCTTTGAGATGTATCCTGCTCATGCTCCTGCTCCTGCTCCTGCTCCTGCTCCGCCTCATTATCCCGAACAGAGGAGAGTGTACTTATTAGTTATACATGCCCCGCAACCTACAAAGCGAATCCACATCCACTTAGCACAGCAGATAAGCAGCTCATTTCGCCAAAAGGACGACCAGCGGCAGCAGATGGGTGACGAAAACTCCTCTAGAAAGGACTGCACACAAACGCCATCATTACGTTTTGGCTCAAGTTGCTCCTAGCGATTTTATTGTTTTTGGCTTTGGCTTAGGGTTCCACCAGTAGTACCAGGGTACTACTCCTCTCCTACCCCACTGTGCCTAATGACTCGCACTGTGGGCCCCTCTCCGGGCTTAATGACAGCGAATGGCCGGCAACTTTTCAAACTGCATTGGGTGCATTTGCTGGTACTTTTGCCGGGACATGTGTTCGAGCACTTGGACTCGCCAGTTGGACTCCTCCTTTGGCCACCCCCTCGATCGCTCTCTGCCCTGCCTAATGCTGCAATTTGTAGACCGCTGGGTTTATTACAGCCTGTGGCCCACCCCTGGAGTCCTCACAGCAGGAAGGTCCAACGGTTTGGCTGGGTTAAGAGCCCTACTTGTGGATAGTTTCCAACGGATGCTCGTGTTCAGATAAATAGGTATGGTTGCTAATTAAGAAATATTTATAAATTTTGTTGGGTTTCTTAATAATTATTTATATAATGACTTTATTTAGGTATTGTAATTAGTTGTGGCTACATTTCCCACCTCAATTTTCAGGTCTTTCTCAAATATTTTGGATTAAAAGTTACGAATTATGCCTTCTCAAAGTTATTATTCCTTCGTGAAACTGAAAATAGATAGCATCAATAATAATTTTTAAGTAACTATAACTTTCCCCTCATCTGTGCGTATTTCCACACACTTTTCGGGCGCATATAGGATTTGGGATGCTTGGAGCTCTGGCTGGCCGGAAACTTTCGGCAGCTTGGCAAGTTGGCGACATTTTCGGCTGCCAAAAACTTTGGCAACTTTGGGCCAGTGCTCGTTCCGCTTTGAGTGGAGTTCATTACGAATGCCGCCGCGTGTTGACTTATGCATAATTACTGTTTCCTCGGAACCCGAATTGTCGCTGGCACCCCATTTAGGCAGGCAGAAGTTTTTTTTTGGAGCCGCTGCAGGCGGCCCCGGGCCGGCACTCTCCGCTCCAGTTGGGTCATATGCTGCTCATTTGTGTGCATGACGCACTGACCTGTTTCTAATGCAACAAAAACGTTAAGCGCCTCACAGCCAGCCAGCCAGGCACTCGCAGTGCAGTCAACTGTGTTCTCTTGGCTCAGAGAGCAGAGCAGAGCAGTGGAGGCTGGGTGGGGTGGCTTAGCCAGCCTTGCATCCTGCCCACTTTTAAACCCACTTCCCGCTTTTTTGCGCTGTCTGGCGGGAGAGTTTATTTTACGCACGCCTTGACCAGACGTAGGCGGCTGCAGCAGCAGCAGCAGCAGTTTTCCACTTTCCACTTGCAGGCAAGTGGAAAAGTCAAGCGGATAAACAAGAGATTAAAATGTCATAAACAATGCTTTTTGCCGCTGCTGCTAAGCAACTTAATGAAAGCCCAGAAAGTGTTTTTTTTTTTTTTTTTTTTTTTTTGCCTAGGCCAACTAGAAACTATCCGCGACTTGGAAAAAGTTTCAACTTGAAAACAGCATATAGATACGTCTCTCTGGGTAGCTGCAAATCCTGTCCTGCCTGCAACTCAATAAATTTCCATTAAACTTTTGATTTGTTTCCCTGACTTTTTCCGCCCAACAAGGCCAGAGAATTCAATTGAAATTGTTTCCGAAAACGAGCCGAGCCGAAAGCTACACAAAAAAGTTGATAACAAACTATTTGAAGTGCTAACAGTACGTAATCGTGGGGTCGAACCGATAATAGAATCCTTATAAAGGTGAAATTATATGATAAAATAATGGATAAATAATTGAGAGCAAATACCTTATCCATACATTTAAAATGCCATTAACGATCTCATTAAGTAAAAATAAACAATAGAAAAGCAATATTATATCTAAAATAATATAAATATGTTACCTACTAAATATATCACTAAATAGGATACTTTACTTTTTAATTTACAATCAATTTCCCATTCCTAAAATACCTCGCAAAATCTAAAAGGGCATCCAGAACTTGTTTTTCCTACCACATAAAAACTCTTTCCATTTGTAACACAATTGAAAAACTTTATTTTCGTTGGGCCTGCGAACAGGAGGGTTGCACAACTGACAAACTATCATACAGAGGCATAAATTAGTCTCGCATATTTGCGTAAAACAAGAAACTATAAAACACTTAGATATATTCAAAAGATTAGATTTACTGCCCAGGGCGCGCATACACATCACACACACACAGGTCCGTCCGTACACACACACATACGGGTAACTGTGCGTAGTTATTTTGATATTTTACATTTTTTGGGGCTATACTAAATGAAATACTGAATGCCAAGTCGGTGCAAGCAAAACTCCAAGCAATTTTCGGCGACAAGAAACAGCAACGCGTTAAATTGATGCTGAAACGTAAACTGATCATTGCCGGCGAAAATTACAGACACGAATCTATATATAAATTGTGAGGACTAATTTCCCGGTTATATGTATGTTATGTTATGTTATGCGGTTAAGGTAGTAAGTGTTTTTTCGTTTACATATATATGTACGTGTGGACAGACTGAGGGAAGAAAGGAATGAATATCGAGTGAGGAAACAAAGGTGACAACTAATAAATGGAAGCCCTTTACTCCGCGGCAGCATTGATAGTAATGGTCTTGCCCTTCGGGTCGTCGAAGCGGTCCATCGTGTTGATGTCCATCATCCAGCAGACGCCGACGAACATAATTACCAGCAGGAGAAGGACCACAAAGAGTCCCATAAGGATGCCGGGCGTCACGAAGCCCACACAGTCCCAGGAATCGCCAAAAACAAAGTTTTCCTTGTACGTTCCGTCGAAGGGAGCCTGCATCTGCAGCGACTTGAAACTCAGCGTATTATACCGGTTATCAACGGCATTGGAGTCCAGGGTCAGGTTGCCGCAAGAGTAGGAGAACGTGGTAGGCGCATTCACGTTGCTGGAGCGGAAAGTGTTGCCGTCGTACTGCAGGTTGCTCATGCTAAAGTATCCACCATTATAAAGAACATCGAAGGTAATTGACTTGGAAGCGTCAGAAGTTGTAAGCTTAACAGAGAACTGGGTGCTAGGGGTGGTGGAGTTGATGACCGACATTTCGGTGACGGTGATGGGGTTCTGGTTGTAGAGGAGGGCCGTATAGAAGATCTGAAACTGGTTGGTGACATAAAACATGGTGCCGCCAGTGGTGGCAGCAGTGTCACGGCGGGTACGTCGCTGCACCACCGGAGCGGTGGAGGGAGCGGCCAGGTACAGATAAGCCACCTTGCACTCAAACTGCTTGCTGATAGCGGCAATGGCGGCGTCTGCGGGGTAAAGTATATACTATAGAGAATGTGGATCACATTGTTTGTATATATGTTTAACGCACCATGTGACTCCAAGGTCTGCTCGCGGCTCTCGGTCGCATCCTCGAAGCTAACGAACAGGGCTGTGCCGGCGGAGCACTTGGCCGGGCTGGACAACTTGCCACTGGCATCGATGCTGTTGTGCTCGCGCCTTGCGGCCACGGACCGCAGGGCCTCCGATGGGTTCTCCACGCTGGTGTAGTACGTCTTGGGGCTCACGCCCTGAAGCTGGGCGTAGCAGGACTGCGACTGGGAGTTGGAGCACAGGAAGTCCTTGTTGCTCAGCTGCATTTATGAATAGTTTCTCATTTAATATTAAAGTTTTCCAAGTGGAACACTAAGAACATACGCCATTTTCCTGGAAGGCCACGACCATGTGATCCTCCAGCAGCGTCGCCAGTTGCTCCGCGAACTCCGCCTGGGGAACCGTCTTTAGAGAAGGCTTCGCCACACTGTTTGGAAAAGATTTTTAATCACGTTACGTGTGCAACCGGTGGAATCTCGTAGTCATGCACCCACCTGTTGGCTCCCCACAGAAAGACGGGCGTTTGCTCAGCCAAGGCTGCCCCAATGACGCACAAGGCAATCAGCGATTTCCACAACATCTCGCCTACTTGGGGGTGGAAAACAAAAGTGGAAAACAAAAACACATAAATGAACAACTCAGGAGAACACAAAACAACACAAAGAAACTAACCGAAAAGTGAACGGAAACTAAAAACGAAAAATGGAGAAAATTTTCGCTTTGCTTTGCACGACGTCGCCTATTCCAGTGAGAAAAAAAACTTGTGACGGTCATGTGATGCGCAGCAGCTGACTGGGCAATCGATAGATTTCTTACATCGATAGCTGGTATAATTATTCGATACAATGATGGTGGTTCTTTCAGAACTATGTTCCTCTTTGTTCTGATAAAGTAAAATTAAAAAATACTTTTAATAAAGTAAAAGGGACAATTAAAAGCGAGTCGGCACTTAAAAGCATAAATAAAAAGTCTTATCTTTCGTTATGTGCAGTGTGACCCTAAGCCTTACAAACTGTTATAAAGCGTGGCTACACTGGCTTAATTGAGTTTTAATGTGACCAATATCAAGTTTTAAACGCAAAATCAGACGCATTTAAAGTTAATTTAAGTTATTCCAATATTGGTTGATTTTTAAAACATTGGTGTTTCACAAATGAAATAAGAATTATATATTGCATAATATCGGTAATATAAGTGTGTTACCAAACATAAAGGTTCAGGTTATAATCCTAACTAAACTAAAAACAGTTTTAAAAACATTTTCCTATTTTAGATTTATTCTAAGTAGCATCCACTCCTAGTTTAAAAAACTCCATTTTCGTATTTAAAAATAGACATATTTATTGGTAGTATTATCATTAATTTCAACCGCTGGGCAATTTCCTCGCGCCGCTCTCTGGGAGGAGCGCCTTAACGTATTATCAGTAGACAAAAGTAACAGCAGATATATAACGGAAGAGAAACGTACAAATCGGAATAAACGGGTCCACAGAGAAGTTAGCGTAGAGAAAAAATAAATGGACCACCGAGCGGGGATTGGAGCGTGACGCCTTAATCGATTGGCTGCGCCCGCGACATCACAGCTGCGTCATGACCATGGCGGATTAGGGTTTGTTCATCGACCAGGTCGTCGTCATCCTGATCGTTGTTCTCCAGCTGCTTCTGCCGCTTTAGCCGCAGCTCGAAGACCTCGCTAATGGCATCGCGGAAGCAGATAAAGTTGTAGTCGATGACACCCTGCCGGTTGAAGTTCTCCTCCCGCAGGATACAGACCAGTGCCAGAAACTTGTTTACCTCCCGCAGATAGAGTATCGTGTTGTTGTTCAGCTTGATGAGACTAGAGCTGCCGCTGTCGAAGGCGGTTTCCTCAGAGCTGTAAGAATATAATTCGTTTTGGGAAACAATTTAGAATACCCACGACGCTTACCTGTATATGCTGGACAAATCAATGACCACGTCAATCATATCGCAGCAAAGTTCGTAGGTCTGCATGTCGACGGGCGAGGAGTCCGTGGCTATGTAGATCTTAGAGACCACGTCGAACAGAAACGCCTTCTCTATGCCCGAGTTCTGTTGAGGAATTAATTATTTTTCAATGTTATAATTAAAACTCATGGAAACCTACTGGTATGAAGATGTTCAAGAGGTTCTCCAGCGTTGGCAGCTGAGGAATGAGCTTTTGTACCACCTTGGAGAAGGCCTCGAAGATGGAGTGATCATAAATAGAGGTCAGATGGAAACTCAGGTGTATCTGATTGAGGCCCGCCTCGCTTAGGTCGTCCGATGACCGCTGGTGAATGTCCCGCTGCGATTCCATTTTCGAATCGTCACTGATGCCGTCAACCTGTGTGGGAACATGACCAGTTGGTGGGTCAGTGGTTATCACATATTCCGATAACGAAATCAATTATAGTGGATATTACCTTGTGTATGAAAACCTCGAACTTGATGCGCTGGTTCACCTTGTAGGCCTTTATCACTGTGTTCTTGAACTTGGTCAGCGCCTCGTTGTAGTCATCCTTGGCATCGATGACGAAGACCAGAGCACCACAGCCGCCAAAGATCATGTCCGAGTCAAAGGTCGGCTCAATAAAGTCTATTTGGCCCGGGAAATCCCAGATCTGGAACTGCACGAAGCTGGAGTTGTTGATGTCGTCCTTCACAATCTTGCTGGTCGACTCCAGAAAGAGCGTTTCGTTCGGCGACATCTTGTGGAAGACCACCTTCTGGATAGAGCTCTTGCCCGATCTGCGCAGTCCCATCAGCAGAATGCGCGGCTTGGTCTCACTGCTGCCCGTCGCATTGGGCTCTAGTTCCAGGCCATCTTGGTTGTACGCCCGGTAGCCAAAGTCCTTGGGAAACGTGTCCGCTGGATAGTCATCGTCGTCGTAGCTCTAAGTGAACGGGAAGCGTATGCTTGTGATGATGGGCGGGGGCCCATATGCGAGATAGGGCTTCTTTGTCTCTACTCACCATGTCGGGGATATCTTTTCGGTTCCACTGGATGCTCTGCTTTTAGGGGATACGCCGGCTGTCTTTCGGCGGACGTGTGCATGGAAAGCACAGTTAATGATCAATAACAAAACAGTTTAGTTTACTTTTTCGACTTTTCCTGCAGGTTTCTTATCGGAGTCAAAGTGTGTGCACACCTGCGAGCAGGGCATCAGCTGATGCTATCGATAGCAAACAGCTGGCGGGCGATGGTCAGTGATGGTACTTTGAAAATAACTTAAAAATATAAAACAAGTCTTATAAAAATGACTCCTTGACTGTTTTTCAAGCTTCTGACTGAAATTATAATCACCTGCAAGGTTACAAAATGGGCCAATATAAGACGTATAAGTAAAGTATTAATATTATTATTAAAAAAAATGATATTATTCCATTTTAGTAGCTAAAGTCATTCCATTTTAATCACTTAACAAAACAAAAAGTACGATTAACCAAATCTATGACTATTGGGCTGCTAGTTTGGCGTTCAACTGGTTTAGATCGACGCCAAGTTCCGCAAGCCTCTTCTCCTGTTCCTTGGTGTCCAGACCGTGCTCCTTGTTGTATTTGTAGTTGACGGTTAGCTGGACCTCCTCCAGGCCACTGACATGCTCGTACAGATCTCCCTCCAGTCGCTGGTCGATGTCGCTCTCCTCGCGCAGCCAGCAGAAGTACAGGAGGAAGACTGCCAAGCTGGCGGAAATCACGTAGGGCTGGTACCACAGCGACTCATCGCTGCCACCGCTCCGTGTGTCCTTGGCACGCCATGTGGCCGCCTGGCTGCCGAAGAACTTGATGGGCTCGTTGCTGATGGGCTCCTCCCCCGGGTTTTTTCTGCCAGTTTCAGGGTTCTGTGCATAGAAGCGGGGAGAAATCGGAGTAGCGCCTGTGGCTGGCACCAAATGCCTGGAGATTTTATATATAAGTATCCTTGATTGTTTACGAAGTTATGTTAATGATTGTTTACCTCACTAGTCTTGTTTTTGTCAGTAAACGCAGCATTTTCATAGCAAAACTTTAGAAAATTTCATAACAAAATTGCCCAAACAGCTGAGTTTGGTTAGAGATGGGAAAATTGGTAAGCAGCCGGCTTGCGGCCAGCAGATATACAAATATCGATAGCTTAAGAAAAATCGTATGGAAAAAGATAACCTGCTGGAAGTTTAATAAAATGCATTACATAGAATAAAAATACATAATAACATCAAATTATATTTATTATTTGATGCAGTTTTTAGTTTTTTAATTTTAATAAATTATTAATACAAGTTTTCAAGGAATACTTTTCCTGTTTTTTTCCCATCACTAACAGCTTCGCACGCCACACGTGTGTTTCGTATTGTAAACACGCGCTGGGATTGTAATTTTGTTCTTAGCCTGCAAAAATGGGCGCTACCAAGAACCTGGACTTAATAGGCACCATTGAGGATGATGCGGAGGTGGAAAACCTGTCGGAGGACTCCGACGCGGAAGTGGAGGTAAGAAAATTGCAGTTTAAAGTCAGCAAGAAGAACTACTTGTGACGACCGGCGCCCTCTTCCACAGTATCAACCCACTAAACTGAGACACAAAAAGGTCACTGAGTTCGAAAAGGGCTTCGAGTTCGTGTCGTCGGTGAAAGAGTACAACCAGGACACATGGGATGACTTGATGAAGTATGTGAAGAGGAAGGCACGCACAAAGACGGACGACAAGATCGCAGCCCGATTGCAGAAGAGAGGCGGAGCTGAAGCAGTGGCCGCGGAGCAAAGCGATGGCAGCGAGATTGATCTCTCCGAAGACGAGCTGAAGCACGACAACTTGAGACTGCGTGAAAAGAAACTGTCCAAGAACAAAAAGAAGAAGGCGGGCGAAGAGGATGAAGAGGAGGAGGGCGAGAAGATGCAGTTCGACGACACTATAGAGGCAAATGAGCAGATCACCTCCTTCTACCAGATGAATCTGTCGCGTCCCCTGATGCGCGCCATTGGCGTCCTGGGCTACATCTATCCCACGCCCATCCAGGCCTCTACGATACCTGTGGCTTTGCTGGGCCGCGACATCTGCGGTTGTGCCGCCACGGGAACAGGCAAAACGGCAGCGTACATGCTGCCCACACTGGAGCGCTTGCTGTATCGTCCACTGAACAATAAAGCCATCACCAGAGTGCTAGTACTGGTGCCCACCCGTGAATTGGGCGCCCAGGTCTACCAGGTGACTAAACAGCTCTGCCAGTTCACCAGCATCGATGTGGGCTTGGCCATTGGTGGTCTAGATGTCAAGGCCCAGGAGTCTGTGCTGCGCCAGAACCCGGATATAGTTATAGCTACACCCGGCCGTCTCATTGATCATATAAAGAACACGCCAAGCTTTACTCTGGATTCCATTGAGGTGAGTTTAATTTGCAGCATTAGGATTCATCGAATATTTACCAATGATGATTCTTTCCTTGCGCTCTGAGCTCTTTTCCGGGCCAAGAGGACAACCCTGGTTCTTGCAACTGCGCGGCAGATGCAAGCTGATCTGTAAATTTTTATCTTTAGCATATTTTCTTACCCATGTTTTTAATAATATTGTTCTATTCCCTTCAGGTTCTCATCCTTGACGAAGCTGACCGAATGCTGGATGAATACTTTGCCGAACAGATGAAGGAGATCATCAACTCGTGCTGCAAAACCCGCCAGACAATGCTGTTCTCCGCTACGATGAGCGAGCAGGTCAAGGATCTTGCTGCCGTTTCGCTGGACAAACCGGTCAAGGTTTTCGTAAACAATAACCAGCAGGTGGCCTTTAACCTACGTCAGGAGTTCATACGCATCCGTGAGGATAAGGAGGGTGACCGTGAGCCCATCCTGGCTAGCTTGATTTGTCGCACTTTCCACGATCACTGCATGGTCTTTGTCCAGACCAAAAAGCAGGCGCATCGCTTGCACATCTTGCTGGGCCTTCTGGGAGTCCGTGCCGGAGAATTGCATGGAAATCTCACTCAGCAACAACGTCTAGAGTCTCTCAAAAAGTTCAAGGAGGAGCAGATCGATGTACTAATCGCCACTGATGTGGCAGCTCGTGGTCTGGATATTGTGGGCGTGAAGACAGTTATTAACTTTGTGATGCCCATCACCACAGAGCATTACATCCATCGAGTCGGTCGAACGGCGCGAGCTGGACGCGCTGGTATATCCGTTTCGCTGGCCGGCGAAAAGGAGAGGAAAATCGTCAAAGACATCATCAAGAATGCCGAGAGTACCATCAAGAATCGTATTATTCCGCCGGAGATCATAGACAAGTATCGTAACAAGCTGACAAGCTTGGAGCCAGAGATTCGTAAGTAGCAGAAATGTAAGATTTTATAGAAAACTAATCGTTTTTCCTTTAGAAAATATCCTTGATGAGGAGCAGGCGGAACGGCAGCTGGCCAAGACCGAGCAGCAGCTGTCCAAGACAGAGCGCAAGTTGCTGGGACAGTCCAACGAGCGACGAGGCTGGTTCCAGACCAAACAGCAGCGCGAGGCTGAAAAAGAGCGTTTGGCTCTAACCCCGGGCGACGAGGAGAAGCCTTCTGGAGGCGGCAAGGGCAAGGGTAAGACAGCCGCCAAACGCAAGCGACCCGAGTGGGGAGGCGAAGGCGAGGATGGTCCTTCGGTCAAGGAGATCGAAGCCAAGCGCAACAAGAAGAAGAAGGAGGAACCCCGCAAAAAGACGCCTGAGCAGTTGGCCAAGGAACGAGCCATGAAGGAAATCGAAAAAGTGTCTCTAGTTCGCGCCAAGATGGCCAAGCTGCGCAAGCGACCCGGCAAGCTGGGAGCGGCCACCGAGTCACACAGGGGCAATGCTGCAGCCGGCAAGCCCAAGCGACGTGGCGGCCAGTCGGCGTTCGATAATGATTTGACAGATGTCAGTCGCGGTGGAGCATTGCGTTTAAGGTGAGTGTTGTCATAAAATCGTATCTTTTAATACGAATATAATCTGTGGGTTTCCTTCTTCAGATCTGAGGCCAACCGGCACCAGAAAATGTCCAAGATTGCGGCCAAGAAGAAGGCCAGCGGCGGTGGCGGCGGCAAGGGCAAGCCGATGAATAAGTCAGCCAAAAGCAAGGTCAGCAACGTGAAGCTGGCCAACAAGGCGGGCAAGAACAAGTTCAACAAGGGCAAGAGTTTCGGCGGACCACGATACGCCAAAAAGGACAAAAAAAAGTAGAGATGTACACTAGTTCTATGCAATGTTAAATCGTAAACTTGTAAAATAAAGCTATTACTTTCTTTATATATTTTGATAATTATTCATTAATATCAAAATATTCAGTAAAGTTATACAGAAATTAATATTGAATATATCTGGGATAAATAAATGTTTTAAATACGCGCCAACGATTAACAAAGGCAATCGATAGTCCAGAAGCTTTCGATAACTTCCTTTTTCATTGTTTACCAAAACTAGACATATTTCTTCCTCCTTACGTTTCCTGCGCATTTGTTGTTTTTCCCACAAACAATGTTTTGATTGCATTCCGGTTTAGTTTATAAGAAAAGCCAAGAAAGATGAGCAGCCAGTGCACCTACGGTCCCCCCGAGGAGTCGGATTCGGACAGCAGCTATGATGGGTTCTACTTCTCTGATCCGGTAGCAGCTTCTTGCTTGCTGCTTCCTAGAAGTCTTACTAAAACCTTTGTTGACTTTCCAGATAAATAGAACGCGGCCCGCTCCCTATGTGGATCCCGAGCAGAAGCTCTATGAGGCGGCCATCGAGGGCGACGGCCAGACATTGCTCCAGGAGATGCGTAGGCTGAACTGGAATGTGGACCACACTGTGAGGGGCGGGCCCACCTTGCTGATGATCTCCTGCCGCGAGGGACACTACAACATTGTCGAGCCGTTGGTGGAGAAGCGCAAAGCGAACGTCAATCGTCAGGTGGACTCCGTAACGCCGCTGATGATGGCCTGCGACTGCAATCGAAAGGATCCCTACCTGGTCGAGAAGCTGGTGCGCCTGCTGCTCCGCCATGGAGCCGTGATCAATGTGTCCGACAAATACGGAATGACGCCCTTTATGTTCGCCTGCCAGAACGGCTACGCGGGCGTTGTACGCCTTATGATCAAGGACGTCAGCTTCGATGCTGTGGACAACCAAGGCTGCACGCCCATCTTTCATGCCATCGAACGGAATCACGTGGAGGTGGTCAAGCTGCTGGTGGACGCGGGCGTGAATGCCACTATAGCGAACAACAAGGGATATACGCCCACGCAGGTGGCAGAGTGCCATGGATATTATGATTTGCTGGAGATCCTGCCGCGACCACCCTCTGTCTATATGGTGCCATCTAACTTCCTAGGCTACAACACGCTGAGGGATCACATTCCGCGCATTTTCCTTAAGAGCGACTGTCCGGAGTACTTCCAGGAGCTAAACTGCATTCTGCGATCGATCGAGGTGAGCAACACTCTGAAGTATTTTGCCATTGCGAAGACTTCGCTGGCCGAATTTCTCGTCATGGATGATCAGCTGCTCCGCGAGGTGGGCATTGAGTTTCCCATTTATCGCAACAAGATCATGAAGGGGATACTTGAGTGAGTATATCCTTAGTTTAGTTTTCTTTAAGATTTTGATAACTGTCATTTAACACTCTCGGCAGCTTCCACCTCCACCATTGGTCGCAAAAGTCCATACCACGTGTTAAGACGGATGGCCTAGACAAGTGAGTTAACTTTTAGAACAAAGATTATATACAGTGTAATGTATAATTAAAATTTTCAGCTTCTATGAGATCCTCATGATAGCTGCCAATCATCTGCAGCAGTTGGTCATCATCCAGGCGTCTCTGAAGTTCGTTTTGAAGAACCAAAACGCTGGAAAACTGGGACAGCCCTCGGATACCCAGCTGGCCACGCTTAAGAGCAATCTCCAGGGCTATCGTAATGTCCTTAGCGAAATGAGCAAGACAGTGAAATATGTAAGAGATGAAGTCAGTTAAAAGATCGAAAATAGTTAAATATTCCCTAATTCCAGCTTGGTTCGTTTAGTCCCGCTCAGAACCCTCTGTTTATCGACTACAACGAAATCCTGGCCGAGAGGAAGCGCAAGAAGGTGCGCAACTACTTCAAGTACACTACCATTATCCTGGGGATCTCAGTTTTCATTTGCCTCAAGTGCAAGTGCTTCTCCTAGTATTCGAATACCCTGGCACAGCATTCCTCTTATCCATTTGCTTTACAATTAACGCAGTTTTCCTTAACGCGAGCTTGGAATCTGTAAGCTTCCATTGTGTTTTCTTGCGAATCAAAATAGTTGGTAGTTTGTTAGAGCGTTAAAAAAAACGTATTAAATTAAACTGAAATCTCAAAGAAACGAAATTTATCAAATTGTTACCTGAAGCTTAACTAAGTTTATTTGGATTAATAAGAAACTTAAAAGTTAAATATGTAAATGAATTAACAGGTTATTAAGTTAATAAGTTAAACAATGTATTACAAATGTTATATACTAACATATATCATATATATCAATGTAAGCAATACACCGATTGAGACAATAGACATTAATTATCAAAGCAACACGAAAGAAATGTTACCTGAAGCACAAGAAACTACCTGAAAGTTTAATAGGTGTTTAAAAACGGAAAATCAATTTCAATAATATAGCTAAATGTGTGTTTTGTAGTTATAATCCTTACAAATGTAACACCAACTAGTATAAAATCAGATTAATAAACATATAATGGTTAAACCAAAGTTTTATTCAAAATTTAAATAACCGCGATTAAAGCTAGCTGCTATGAAACTTTAATTTCTTACCCGTGCCACGGTCACACTAAATCAATGTTTACATATCGAAATTGGCGTAAAGATTTCCCGCCATGCCGGAGGATATGGAGCCGGGCGTCATCCGGAAGCTGGACGAGGTGGTAGTGAACCGCATAGCCGCCGGAGAGATCATTCAGCGACCTGCTAACGCCCTGAAAGAGCTGCTCGAGAACAGTTTGGACGCCCAATCGACGCACATCCAAGTGAATGTTAAAAACGGCGGCCTGAAGCTTCTCCAGATCCAGGACAATGGGACAGGCATACGACGTGAAGACCTGGAAATCGTCTGCGAGCGTTTCACCACCTCCAAGTTGGCTCGCTTCGAGGACTTGGCTCAGATAGCAACCTTTGGCTTTCGGGGCGAGGCCCTGGCCAGCATCAGTCATGTGGCCCATTTGAACATCCAGACGAAGACGGCGAAGGAGAAGTGCGGCTACAAGGCCACCTATGCAGATGGCAAGCTGCAAGGACAGCCTAAACCCTGTGCAGGCAATCAGGGCACCATTATCTCCATCGAGGATCTGTTCTACAATATGCCCCAGCGGCGGCAGGCATTGCGATCGCCGGCGGAAGAGTTCCAGCGGCTGTCCGAGGTGCTGGCCAAGTACGCTGTTCACAATCCCCGCGTGGGCTTCACCCTTCGAAAGCAGGGAGAGACGCAGCCGGCACTGAGAACTCCAGTAGCCAGTTCCCGAGCCGAGAACATACGCATAATCTATGGGGCAGCTATTGCCAAGGAGTTGCTAGAGTTTAGCCACCGGGATGAGATGTTCAAGTTCGAGGCCGAGTGCCTGCTCACCCAGGTGAATTATTCGGCCAAGAAGAGCCAGATGCTGCTGTTCATCAACCAGCGACTGGTGGAGTCGCCAGGTGACCCTAAGATAATCACCATTGTTGGCATATCTTTCAACATTTCCTTTTTCAGCTCTCAAGACAGCCGTGGATGCGGTATATGCTACCTACCTGCCCCGTGGTCATCATCCCTTCGTGTACATGAGCCTCACGCTGCCGCCTCAGAATCTGGACGTAAATGTGCATCCCACCAAGCATGAGGTACATTTTCTCTACCAGGACGAGATCGTTGAGCGGCTCAAGCAACAGGTGGAGGCCCGTCTGCTTGGCAGCAACTCCACTAGGACATTCTACAAGCAGCTGCGTTTGCCAGGAGCCCCGGACTTGGATGAAACCCAGCCGGGGGATAAGACGCAACGAGTCTATCCCAAGGAACTCGTGCGCACCGATGCCAGCGAACAGAAATTGGACAAGTTCCTGGCTCCTCTGGTAAAAAGTGATTCCGGAATGTCCTCCGGTTCCTCCGAAGATGCACCGCCTCTGCCAGATGAGAGTTTTCGGGTGACGGCTGCGAAAAAGTCACGAGAAGTGCGACTAAGCAGCGTGCTGGACATGAGAAAGCGGGTGGAGAGACAGTGCAGCGTTCAGCTGAGGAGCACCCTCAAGAACCTGGTCTATGTCGGCTGTGTGGACGAGCGGCGAGCATTGTTTCAGCATGAAACTCACCTTTACCTATGCAACACACGAGCCTTCAGCGAGGAGCTCTTCTACCAGCGTCTCGTCTACGAGTTCCAAAACTGCCAGGAAATCAGCATAAAACCTCCACTCTCTCTTAAAGAACTCCTCATACTGGCACTGGATAGCGAGGCCGCAGGCTGGACGCCCGAGGATGGAGATAAGACTAACCTGGCGGTCAGTGCTGCGGAGATTCTGCAAAATAAGGCGCCCATTATGCGTGAGTATTTTGGACTTCGCATCTCAGAGGAGGGAGAGCTCGAGTCACTGCCCAGCCTGGTCCCCCAGCATCGTCCTTGTGTGGCCCACCTACCGGTTTACCTCCTGCGTCTGGCCACTGAAGTGGATTGGGAGCAGGAGGCCCGTTGTTTCGAGACATTCTGCCGGGAAACTGCTCGCTTTTACGGTCAACTGGATTGGCGAGATGGCTCGGTTGGCGCAGGCCATCCCAGATGGACCACTGAGCATGTTCTGTTTCCAGCTTTTAAGAAATACCTACTGCCATCCCCACGTCTGAAGGATCAGATCTACGAGCTCACCAATCTGCCTACGCTTTATAAAGTGTTTGAGAGATGTTAATGCATTCATTTTTGTGAAGTATAAAGTATTATGTTCGATTTTTAAACTAACTCTCTCTCTTTATGTATATTTTTTGGTAAAATTTAGTGCAGATATAACTAGAATATCCTGATAATGTAAACTCATTTCCAGTTCAAATTTCAGGATCAAAACTAAAGGTTATAGAAGGACCTGTGTATAGATACTCTCAAGTATTTAGATCCGGCTGACGCAGACGGGAGATCCGCTCGGCATTCTTGACGTGCTCCTTCAACAACTTCATGATCTCGGTGTCATACTCCTTGGGCGTGGGCTTCACGTCGGTGGCCCAGTAGTATATATCCCAGTCGTTGGTGACCCCGTTAATCAACTGATCGTAGAGTGCAGTCTGTTCGGCATTGAATTCCTTCAGATGCTTGGCTGCAAAGGTGCTGAGCAGGAGGTCATTTTCCAACATGCCTCGCTTGCGGGATTGGTAGAGGAGTCTGGAAGGTATACGGACATTATTACTTAAAAGAATCCATGTAATTCACTGTCTATCACCCACCTTTGCTTGCGAATATCCAAGGGCTCATTGGGACGTGTCGGGTACTCAGGCAGGGGCAGGTAATCCGGATCCTCGTAGTCCACAATCACATCGTTTAAGGTGCTCGACAGCGGCAGCTGTGGATCTTGAAAATTGGATGCAGTACGTCTCCAGGGCATAAATATCCAGGCCGAAACATCCAAGCTCATCTGAGGAGGACACCCCGTATCCCCATCCCCAAAATATAAATAGATATTGTGAGAAACTGCGCAAAATGCAATGCATGCAAGCTTATGCAACGGTATTTTGCAGACATTTAAAAAGCTCACCCTTAGTTGACGGAACATCTTGATAGTTCAGCGGTTTATGTAATTTTATGTGCTATTTTTCTCAAAATACTTCAGCTTTAAAAAAAAAACTTTGTGACAATTTGAAAAATCAAAATATTTTGACAATTGCCGGTTTTTCGATTTGATACTAAAAAATACCCAATGTTTACCATATAGCTGCACTCTTCACACACAGGTGCTACCGATAGTATCGAATCTATAAATTTATTTATTTGACAAATATCGAATCCAGCTTGAAATGGAATAAGCTAGCAAACATCGATACTATCGATAGCGTTGCGATGTTGCTAGTAGTATAATTGCTGGAAAACTTCCATCACTATTAAAATTGCTGGAAAAACGAAAACGCGAAAAATGATAGAAAGACCAAAATTTAGTTAATAAAAAAAGTTTTAGCTGCGACGGAGCAAAAAAGGTGTGAATTTTAAAATAAATACTAATACTAATATCGCGGTGTGAAGTAATACCTCTCGCGAATAAGTGGAGCTCCGTGCGAAGAAAAGGGGAGCCATAAAAATCGATTCTTCAACGAGAAGTCGCACACACTGCGTATGGGACTTTTTTTTCGCGCGGGCGGCGGAGCCTGGCGTTTTCTTCGTCTTTGCCAATTCAGTTTGGGGGCCGCTAAATACGTATATATACGCTGAGACGGGTATTGTGCGAGGGGATCAAAGGTTTACCTGTACATGGTGCATACCTGCGAATCTCTCAGAGGGCATCTCTGCATTTGTGTATGTGTGTGTGAGTGAGCAAGTGCGAAAAGAATTCCACGCTTCTGTATGTACATATTTATTTATTCAGCACAGGCCGTGAAAATCGGACAGGACACTCGAATCATAATCTTAATTAGCTAATTTCGGGCAAATATTTGAGTGTGCGTCGCGTAAATAACGGAATGCCAACGCACATGACAATAAAACATATCACAGTGTGCCTGTATGTGTGTGCGAGTGTGTGCAGTAACAACAAAGCAAAGGCAAAAGCAAAACAAAGTGAATGACAAAAAGTCGACGAGAATGAAATGGAAATCCACCCCCCTTGCCACCCATCCGCGTGTTACTGTTAGACCTGCGCCTGTGTGTGGCGCTAATTGAACAAGTGTATAAGTGTATATATGTACACACATATATTTTCATTCTTTTTGGCGCTCCATATTTGTGAGTCAGCTTACGACTGACTTGCTCCACCTGCCTTCCAGATTGCGTGCACACAATATTCCCGCGAGGACGACCAGGCCAGCCAGCATAATAATAATAGCAGAATAACAGACGACGACGTTGACGAGGAGGAGGAGAAGAAGGAGGAGCCTGCCAACGCCACGCGCGAGTGGTGTATGAATCATTCGCTTCCCCCACGAGCAACGCCCGCATCCTGTGCTGATCCCTAACTGATCCATCCGCCACTGCAGCCACCACAGCCTCCGCCATGTCCAGCGACAAGATCAAAGTTGCCGTCAGGGTGCGACCCTTCAATCGACGTGGTGAGTACTGATTTTGTTTTCGTTTCTTTTACTCCTAATTTTTGAGAAGGGTTCTTTTTAAAGAGCTTAAAGTTCGATTTTTATTTGAAGAATACAAGAATAAATATATACAATTTAATATAAAATATAGTTTGTTTAAGAGGATAAACGTTAAATTCAGAGGGACTCATTCGAAAATTAATGAGATCAGATTTTAAAAACACCTTCAGGTGGTATTACACCTTCTTCTCTCTAAGATAAAAATAAAACTGGAGTGCAATCTAAACTGCAGCTCAGAATAAGCTCACCTCCCTCGATGATAATCCTTTAGCCTCAAAATTAACTTCAAATTATAAGAAATCACCTTGGAGTAGACCCATTTTCCTTGTTTTTTCAAAGCATTGTGTTGGGCTTGAACAATACCATCCCCAGGCTGCACTGCAGTTTGCAGTTTTGCCTGCAATCAATAATGCAAACAGCACAGGCAACGGCACAGAGACTGTTTTTTTAGGCTAACAAAAATTTACATGGGCTTCTTCTCGCTTCCTTTGAATTTTGGTTTCGTTTTTCCATTGCTGCGCCAGCGGATTTTTCGATGGCATTATGTTTGCATGTGTATGTACCTACTGCAGCGACAGCGATGGTCTCCCTGCTCGACTGACAAACGATTTTCCTCGTTTCCAGCTAATTTCGCGTTTCCCACTATAGCCGTGAAGTGTTGCAAGTGCAAAATGTATAAAAAAAGAGAGAAACAACTACAGGGCGGCGTCAGCATTTCCAATGTCAACACTGATCATTCATTTTGCTTATCCGTGACTCACCACCTCCCGTGGCGGAGAGACATCGGAGAACGGAGAACGGAAGTGGAAGGATGAGGCAGCGCGGCTAGGGGCTATGTTTGCCACATGTGCGTGGGGCAAGGTCCGCGCGGATTCTCGTTTTATTGATTGAATGAATGGCAAATCATCCTCAATAGTTATTTGTTTATATTTACATAAATTACTGGGGCAAGTCTCAGCTACAAACAAAGTTATATATGCAGTAAAGGATAGAGCCAGAGTTGGTAGGGGGAGTTGGTTTAAAAATAATAAATACAGGCAGATACAAACAGCAATATATGTTATATTGCTATACATTTTAGAAATATGTAACATATTTCATTGACTTGACTAGATTCCCTTTTAGATCGTAGAAAACCAGCTTCAAATATGGGTGATAAGTTCTTGAAAATTATTTGTGACTTAATTTATCGTATTTAAAATGTTTGTATTTCTTTTCTTGCGATTTCTTGCAATTCATTTCCGTTCGTGTACGCTTTCTATTGCCAAACAACTCTCGTAATCTCCGGAAGCTTTAGTGACTTGTAAACACACAGTATATAGGCAGGCTCTTCCATCATTATTTGTCACCTGCCCTATTTTTTTCCAACTAATTCGTACGCCCAAGTCTAGTAACCATATCTATTTATAGTAGTTCGATTGTTCGAGTACCTTTTTGCTTGTATGTTGTCATGTTTATTCACTTGTTTGGCCATTCGGTATGATCCGTTGCCGTTTTCCGTGACTGAGTCGGAAGGGTGTAGTCAGTCAGGCAGTCGCTGTGACTACCCGAAGAATGCCAGCGATAAGCATTTGCAGATTCGTTATCAGACTCCTGATAAGCAGTCGCCCCTAGTTTAGGCTATGAGAAGTTACACAGCCGTGGCAGACGACAGGCATTAGTCAATCGTCGGGGGTAACCTACTATTTGGGCCATGTCCGTAACTAGTGACCTCTTCAGGTTGAGCTGGCCAGCACTGGAGCGTAAAATGAAAACAGAAAAGCCAAGCCAAAACAGCTAAAGGCAATTTCAAACGCAAAGACAGACGAACGGGCTCGAAATGAAGTCACAGCTCTTACCAAAAAAGCTTAACCTGTTTTCACTTGGCCTGTGTATCTGTGTGTGTATGTTAATTTCAGAGCTGGACAATGGCAAAGAGAAAACCGTTTGAGGTTAGATGGAGTCGACTCGTCGCTATCAAATCAACTGACCAGAACTACAAATGAGACCATCAAATAATTTATGGCACGCCTTCGTCACAAGATATAGATGGTGTTTCGGTAGGGTCCGGTCTCCGGCCTGAGTCCTTTTGCGGCTTTCATTTCCATGTCATGTCACGTTCTCGGCTCTGTAATGTAAAGCGGAACGGAAGTGCCAAAGGCCAGGCCAGCCCAGGATATGGATACACACGCCGCCGGCGGCCATGTGTGTGCGAGAGAGAGTGTGGGCCTCAAATGTGTCTGCCCGTCTGGGTTTGGCTTTTGACGTTGTCCCCGGTTTCCCTTTCCCTTTTCCTTTCCTCTTTCCTCAATCCCTCCTCTCCCTGGGATGTTTTGTGCCCCATTGGCTGCTCTCTGCCATTTGGAAATGTTCCTTGCTGAGCTCTGAGTGAATGGAGTATGCGAAGGACATCGGAACTGAAATATTTCCACGATTTATTAGCTTGCCCTTTTTGTATTTTGTATAGATATAAAGTAAACAAGCCAGGATACAGGGCAAGTAACAATGATATCAGAGAACTGACAAACGTACCTTTTTTGGTTCTATTTTAGAAAGCATTGAATGCAATATATTTAAAATTGTTCATTATATTGGAAGAGGTACTTGAAAGTTTATTAGCTTGTTCAAGATTGTTTTATTTATATTATATTAGATTTCTGTTAAAAAATCGTATAGTTTGTAAAGAAATTATAGGCTTGAATCGGAAATGTATCATAACTAAGCTTAAAATATTTGCATAAATAAATATTTTTATATGACAATTTTCTTCGAAAAATCAAAATTTAAAAATCGCATAACTCAGCCAAAAATGGATTAATTTTATTTCGGAAAACGGTTCAATGTTAGTTTCTGTTAAGTTAATAAATCTGCATACTCAGTTTATAATTTTAAAAAATTCAATATTTTGTAAATTTTTGACAATTTTAATGATGTAACCCCTTATAAAATTTTCAAATTTTTTGAAAAAATTAAATTTTTGCCGGACATAGCCAGATCGATTCAGCTATTGATGCTGATCAAGAATATATATGGTTTATAGGGTTGGAAATGACTCCTTCACATGATTACAAGATTCTAACTAAAAGTATAATACCCTCACATCTCCATTTATGTTGTTAGTACCAAAAGGTGTTTTGCAACACATTTCTAGCAACATTTTGTCTCTCATCTGCCTTCAGCACTATTTAATTTAAGTTTTTGATTAGCATAAGCCTTGTGCATTGGGTACCAGGAATCTCCAAATGCCACATTACTCTCAGTATCTTATCGAACACTATCAGCAGGACTTACTTACCCCAGATCGTATAGAAATCTCAGCTTGATAATGTCCAAGGGCAACTGGTATTCGACTTGAAAAAAAGGGTGTATCTTATCGCTCATTGTTTTATTGCTGCTAAAATATTTATTACATGGACAGAGCAGAGTGGCTTGCTTGGGCAACTTGTGACTCGGCCTTTTTACGTTTGTTTACAATTTATTTGAAAGGTTCGTTCTCTCCATTGAGATTGTACATACATACTTACTAGTGGCATTGGCCATTCTCATGCCCATCACATTTATCGCCCCTTCTCGCTGTGAGTCCGTTTTCGCACTTATAGTATGTACGAAAAGCCCCAACTTGATGCAATACATATACTTTTATATATATTTGTAACAAACGTATAATATTAAATTTGTTTTTGCTACTTTGAACTCGTTATCACCCCATGCGCGGAATAACGCGAAATTATCTCAATTTTGTTTGCACATAACATGCATAAAATAAATGAAATTCCGGAACAGGCAACTATGACTGAAGATATTTTCGTTTACTCTTATTTACAGAGATCGAGCTGGGCACAAAATGTATCGTGGATATGGAAAAACAGCAGACCATTCTGCAAAATCCACCGCCATTGGAGAAAATCGAAAGGTAACACAGTTGGCACTATTTGTTATTTAATTGAAAAAAGCGAACTATACAAACTTGTAGTCACGATTCAAGGTCTATAATTGAAGAATAGTAACAATAATACGTTTTGTTTACCTCCAGAAAACAACCAAAGACATTTGCATTCGATCACTGCTTCTACTCTTTAAACCCCGAGGACGACAACTTCGCCTCCCAGGAGACAGTTTTCGATTGCGTGGGACGTGATATTCTGGATAATGCATTCCAGGGCTATAATGCATGCATATTCGCTTACGGCCAGACTGGTAAAGCCCATCCCTACTATTAAATATTCAATAATTATTCATACTTTCTTAATTTCCATCACAGGCTCTGGCAAGTCGTACACGATGATGGGCTCTCAGGAGAGCAAGGGCATCATTCCGCGCCTGTGCGACAAGCTCTTCTCGGCGATAGCCAACAAATCGACGCCCGAGCTGATGTACAAGGTGGAGGTGTCCTATATGGAGATCTACAACGAGAAGGTCCACGATCTCCTCGATCCCAAGCCCAACAAGCAGTCGCTCAAGGTGCGCGAACACAATGTGATGGGACCGTACGTGGACGGACTGTCTCAGCTGGCGGTGACTTCGTACCAGGACATCGACAACCTCATGACGGAGGGCAACAAATCACGAACGGTGGCTGCCACCAATATGAATGCCGAGTCCTCACGCTCCCATGCCGTCTTCTCGGTGGTTCTCACCCAGATACTCACGGATCAGGCGACGGGCGTGAGTGGTGAGAAGGTATCCCGCATGTCCCTCGTCGATTTGGCTGGCTCCGAGCGAGCAGTGAAAACGGGAGCCGTTGGCGATCGCCTCAAGGAGGGATCCAACATCAACAAGTGGGTGAAAATTAGTCAACAATCTTGGTTTTGCATTGCTTTCCATTGGTTATGCAGGTTATTTGTAATGCCTTTGCATTTGAAGATTAAATTAAATGTATAATCTTTGAATCCACCCGCATTGCAGCCCTGACCTGCATTTCCAACGGGAAGCCAATCTCATTAAGGTTCTTCGCTAATCTTATGCCACTTACAGATCTCTGACTACGCTTGGCCTGGTCATATCCAAGCTGGCCGATCAAACGAACGGCAAGAGGGGCGGCAACGATAAGTTCGTACCCTACCGCGACTCCGTTCTCACCTGGCTGCTGAAGGACAATCTGGGCGGCAACTCCAGGACCGTTATGGTGGCTACCATTTCTCCGTCGGCGGATAATTATGAGGAGACGTTGTCCACGCTTCGCTATGCGGATCGGGCCAAGCGAATTGTGAATCATGCAGTGGTCAACGAAGATCCCAATGCTCGAATTATTCGCGAGCTGCGACACGAGGTAGAAACGCTGAGGAGTATGCTTAAACATGCCACTGGGTCACCGGTGGGCGATGTCCAGGACAAGCTGGCCGAGAGCGAGAACCTGATGAAGCAGATCTCGCAAACGTGGGAGGAGAAGCTGGTCAAAACGGAGCGCATCCAGAATGAGCGACAGCAGGCCCTCGAGAAGATGGGCATCAGTGTCCAGGCCAGTGGCATTAAGGTGGAGAAGAACAAGTACTACTTGGTCAATTTGAATGCAGATCCGTCCCTTAACGAGCTGCTTGTCTACTACCTAAAGGTGAGTCCTGCCTTGAAATCAACGCAAACAGTTCTCTGATCTCTCTTTCCCCAATTACTATACAGGAACGCACACTGATTGGTGGACGCAGCATCAGTGGCCAGCAGCCGGATATACAACTCTCTGGTTTGGGCATCCAGCCGGAGCACTGTGTTATCACCATCGAGGACAGTGGCCTGTTTATGGAGCCAGTGCAGGGTGCACGATGCTTTGTTAATGGATCAGCGGCCGTGGAGAAGACGCCGCTGCAGAACGGCGACCGTATCCTGTGGGGTAACCATCATTTCTTCCGCGTCAACTCACCGAAGAGCAACAACACAAGCCTGTGTGCCTCGGAGCCGCAGACCCCAGCTCAGCTGATCGATTACAATTTTGCACGCGATGAGATTATGCAGAATGAACTGAGCAACGACCCCATTCAGACGGCCATTGCTCGGCTGGAGCGTCAGCATGAGGAAGATAAGCAGGTGGCACTGGAGAAGCAGCGTCAGGAGTACGAACGTCAGTTCCAGCAACTGCGCAATATATTATCACCCAGCACCCCATACGCTCCATATGCTCCGTACGATCCGCTGCGCATGGGCAAGGTAACACCGAACACGCCCACCTCACAGATGCGGGTTGAGAAGTGGGCACAGGAACGTGACGAGATGTTTCGACGAAGTTTGGGTCAGCTAAAAACGGACATTATGCGCGCAAACTCGCTGGTGCAAGAGGCCAACTTTTTGGCCGAGGAAATGGAGAAGAAGACCAAGTTCTCGGTCACCTTGCAAATACCGCCGGCCAATCTCAGTCCGAATAGGCGACGCGGAGCCTTTGTCAGCGAACCCGCCATACTTGTGAAGCGCACCAACTCGGGCAGCCAGATCTGGACGATGGAAAAGCTGGAGAACAAGCTGATAGACATGCGGGAGATGTACCAGGATCACAAGGACCGGATACTCAACGGCTTGGTAAATCGACTTCCACTTTTGTTTTTCATGTGTTGCCCTTGGGCTCTGTACTAACCATTTATAATTGTATCCGATTCACACACGCATTCCATATTAACCCCTGGCTACAGCCCCTAGTTGAGCCATTCTCAGACGATGAGTACGACGACAAGGTAATTAAGAGACACCCCCAGCACCTCCTAAACATGAACACCACGCACATAACTAAACTATGATATAGCCTGTATTGTTTAGGACTGATTATCAAAAAGCTTACTAATTTTCGTTTTCGGCAGGACGAGGACAATTCCAAGCCGCAGGATCCCTTCTATGAGTCGCAGGAAAATCACAATCTCATCGGTGTGGCCAACATATTCCTGGAGGTCCTCTTCCACGACGTCAAACTGGACTATCACACGCCCATCATTAGCCAGCAGGGTGAGGTGGCCGGTCGCCTGCAGGTGGAGATCGAGCGCATTGCGGGACAAATGCCACAGGATCGCATGTGCGAGTCAGTCTCTGAGTCCTCGGGTGATTCGCGGGACGAATACGATGATCCGGTGGATCCCACATCAAATCAGATCACCTGCCGCGTGACCATCAAGTGCGCCAGTGGCCTGCCCCTTTCGCTCTCCAACTTCGTCTTCTGCCAGTACACGTTCTGGGGCCACCAGGAGATGGTGGTGCCGGTGATCAATGCCGAGTCCACGGCCCACGACCAGAACATGGTATTCAAGTTCGAGCACACGCAGGACTTTACGGTGACCATCAACGAGGAGTTCCTCGAGCATTGCATCGAGGGAGCGCTATCCATCGAAGTGTGGGGACATCGCAGCGCCGGCTTCTCCCGGTCCAAGGGCTGGGAAGTGGAGCAGCAGCAGGCCAAGGCCCGTTCCCTGGTTGATCGCTGGGCGGAGCTCTCCCGCAAAATCGAGCTTTGGGTCGAAATACACGAGTTGAACGACAATGGCGAGTACTCGCCCGTGGAGGTGACCAATCGCAACGAAGTCCTGACTGGCGGCATATACCAGCTGCGACAGGGTCAGCAGAGGCGGGTCAACGTTCGTGTGAAGCCGGTCCAGAACTCGGGCACGCTGCCCATCATTTGCCAGTCGATTGTTAATGTGGCCATTGGCAGTGTGACGGTGCGATCCCGGCTGCAGAGACCCCTGGACTCTTACCAGGAGGAGGACCTCACAGTGCTCCGCGAGAAATGGAGCGAGGCGTTGGGCAGGCGGCGTCAATACCTGGACCAACAGATCCAGATGCTGATCAAGAAAGAGGAGAAGAACGAGCAGGAGCGGGAGCGTGAGCTAAGCTTGGTGCATCAGTGGGTCTCGCTAACGGAGGAGCGTAACGCAGTGCTGGTGCCAGCACCTGGCTCTGGCATACCCGGAGCACCCGCCTCCTGGGAGCCACCCGCTGGCATGGAGCCCCATGTACCCGTACTCTTCCTGAATTTAAACGGTGACGATCTGTCCGCACAAAACACCAACGATGAGCTCTCCATTGCCGGCATCAACTCCATTCTGTCCAAGGAGCATGGCCACAAGTTTTACACTCTACAGATACTGCAGCACCTGGACAAGGACGTTTGCAGCGTGGCCAGCTGGGACTCGTCGATGCACGACAGCCAGGCATTGAATCGTGTAACCGAGGCCAACGAGCGCGTCTATCTCATTCTGCGCACCACGGTGCGCCTGTCACATCCCGCTCCTATGGATCTGGTGCTGCGCAAGCGTCTGAGCATTAACATCAAGAAGGGCCAGACGCTGACCGATCGTCTGAAGAAGTTCCGGCTGGTGCGGGGCGAGAATGCCATTTGGCAGAGCGGCGTCACCTACGAGGTGGTATCCAACATTCCCAAGGCCTCCGAAGAGCTAGAGGATCGTGAGTCGCTGGCCCAGCTGGCGGCTAGCGGTGATGATTGCTCGGCAAGTGATGGCGAAACATACATAGGTGAGTTCTAAGAAGTCTGATGCTTTCCCTGCTAACCTAATACTTATTTTACAGAGAAATACACACGTGGCGTTTCGGCTGTGGAAAGCATATTGACACTGGACCGCCTGCGTCAGAATGTGGCTGTCAAGGAGCTGGAGACGGCCCATGGCCAGCCGCTGAGCATGCGCAAGACCGTCAGTGTGCCAAACTTCTCGCAGGTAAGGACGAGCCCCCATGGGAGCTTCCCCCATTTCCCCGTTCATCCCATTGAGCCGCTGCTGCCGCTGCGCCGCTTTCTCACTTGGTCGCCGCCGCCGCCGCCGCTGCTGAATTATGTGCTTCCACTTACTACTCACCTACTACTCACACACTCGAGCAAAATTAACAAAGAACATCTGACTAAAACGCAAATTCTTTCTCTTTTCCACACTTTTTTCTATGCGCTTTCACCACCAAAAAAAAAAACTAACCCCCCAACAAAATTTGTGTTTTAACCACCGGCAAACCGCAAAAAAATCGAAACCAAACCAAACCAAAAAACTATTAACCAAAACCCACCAAATATTCGGCGCGCACTTTCTGCAAATTTTGAATTTCTCTCTATGTGTGTGTGTGTGTGTGTGTGTGCGTATTGGTATTATCCTTGTCTTTATGTTTATGCTGTGTATGTGTGTCTGTGTTGACCCAAAACGCTTCTCACTGCGCACATAGGCGGTCAAAGACACCACCAATACCGGGAGTGTAAGTAACTAGAGTATCCACTTCTTCTGTTTCCTGTACCTTAATACTATAAACCGTGTTCTGTATTCTGTATCCTTGTATCCTGTGACAAGCTTTGTACATAAAGCTTTACTAGTTAATGATTTTCTTTAGTTTACTCTTGGCTTCTAAACTATTAACCAGAGTTCGTCAATATTAGTTGTGTTACCTCTTTTTGTAAGACTATAATGGTTCAACTAAGAGAGTATCAACTGATATTTGCGAGCTCTTTTATATACTTACTATATATGTCTTGTAAAAATTTCTGTGCGCCCTTCAGTTTGCCATTTTCGTACATGTTTTTGGGTTTTGATTTATTTTTTTGTTTTTTCATTTACTTTTTTGTTTTGTTTAATTCGATCATTTTTATTTCATCCTGTTGAATAACATTTGTTGAACACAATTTATGATGCAAGCAACTCATAAATAAACTTACGCAGATTATGCGCTTCGATGCATCGATGGAGTCGCTGTTGAATGTGGGACGATCCGAGTCCTTTGCCGATCTCAATAACAGTGCGCTGGGCAACAAGTTTACGCCAGGTGAGAGGATGCTATATTCTGCTAAAATGCATATTCTAAATGATATTTTCTACCCAGCAGGTCACAGTCCAGCCGGAGCAGGTGGAGTCATCCGTAATCGTCATAGTTTCGGGGGCAAAGGTAGCAGCGATGATTCGCCCGGAAAAGCCTTTGGAATCGGTGGGTATTCATTAGAATTCCGTATATACCCAAAAACGGTTTCTTTTATATACTCACCATTAACCTTTTGAGCAAGACTATATGTTGAAACTATAATCCATATAACCGAGTTTTTGAATCCACTATTTAACTAAGTAATTCTGCATATGCTTATGCGCAGCCAACCAAAAATTATTCAGTTTATACTAAAACACTGCGTGTGATCTAGTCGCGGCCAAGCTCTAGAGCAAGGGATTTATCTTTGTGATCGATCAGTAAATCAGTAAATCAGTAGAAATCCTCGTAACTCGTAACTAGTAGTTGTATTTGAGTTAAGTAAATGCCTAAATTAATGGCAACGAGATAAATCCTTTTCGAAACATTTGATTTCTTACCGCTTACTATACTTCATGTGTGTCCAAGAGTCAGCAATGTTATTTACCCAAAAGCAACTCCAACTCTGTGATCTCTCTCGCATTGCTTAGTTCAAAACCCCAAATTTGTTTGCTTTGCTTCGATGCAACAACGACACCTGCAGCAACCAAGCAACTAGCAAGAGCAACCAATCGCCCGCATTAACTCGATCCTTGAAGACTCGAGCGATTCTTCGTCATGATCTGCACATCTCCCATACGCTTATCATATAAATTGACATGCATCCACGACAGATACATGAACCCATAGCCCAACACAGCTTCTCGTATTTACTCTATGGTTTCTCAATTTGTCAAACTCTTTTCTGTGCTTTCAAACTTAACGTAATCTCAATGAAATTCCACCGCCAACAGGCTCTATATCTCTGCTGTCAGGTAAAGAAAATGCAAAAAAAAAAAAAATCAAATCAAAAATCCGAAAGTGCATTCTTGATTGCTATTCCATTGATTGTTAGTTGGAGTTTAAGTTTGTCTGTCTCTCACCATTCCCTCCATTGCCACACAACCTACACACACAACTGTTCACCTAATCAGACAACTCAACTCGCCTCCTATGCCACGTCCAAGCGAAAAGGGAAGAGGCACTTGTCCTCCCCATTTAGAAGTATTTAAATGTAGTTTTGTGTTAGTTCTGTTTGCTGGTAAATCTGTCGTCAATCATACCCAAGACTCTCTCTCTCGCTGTCGCCATCGCCCTCGCCCTCGCTCATCAAACCAAATTCGAGACATTGATCTGGAAATCATCCATCACCAGGACATTCTTAACCATTGCAATCCGGTGCACAATTCACACAGCAGCCAAGCACACAGAAGCACGAGATTTGAAGCACGAGCCGCGTTTTTTGTAGTGATTATATTTAGACCTAGAATTAATTATGTATAACCTTTCTTGTTACCTTGTTGCCATAGTGTGTTGCCGGGGATGCGAGCTAGTCGCATCTCTGGCTAGTTTTGATCATTCCTCAACCCGAAGTCTGTAAATTGCATTGTAACTAAACATAACGCATAATCATTATCTTCCCAATCGCCCGCCCCCGCAAATGTGGAATGCAGCGCGTCCAACATTTTTGAATCTCAATTTGAACTTGAACACTTTGAGAATCGCGCCAACGAAACGTATGTGGTTTGTCTAGCCCTAAGCACTAACAGCAGCCTAAACAACAAAGAAAATCGAATGCTTATCGTAATATTTTCATATTTCTATAGCTTCACCGGCCACCAGCAAGCTGCTGGGCATGCGCATGACCACGCTGCACGAGGAACCGCTGGGCGGACATCGATCACTGGACGAGGAGCCCGAGGATAGCTACAGCGACTCGGAGTATGCCGCCGAGTACGAGCAGGAGCGGCAGCAGAACAAGAGCCTGGCCACACGCTCCCGCCTCACGGCCTCCAAGACCATGGACTCGTTCATGGACGTTAGCAGCCACTCGAATCATTCGAGCTACTTGAGCTATACGTCCAGCGCCAATGCGAATATGAAGCATCTGAACGGATTGCCAACGCTGAGCATGAGCTCCTCCACCAGTAGCGGCTATGGCTCCCAGGCGGTGTCGTGCAACAATTTAAGCAATGAGGATATTGCCTCAATGCGTTCCATGAGCATTGATGAGACGCCAGGTAAGATTATACTCTTATTTCCTTGTTATTTGCATCCATTACATTAATCATAATTGATTCCCTGCATAGATTTCGATCGAATCAACTCGAATTCGCCACCTAACCGGCAGGCACGAGTGAATCCCTTCCTCAAAGACATGCCCAAGGCCAAAACACAGGAGCAGCCTTTGGAACCGCAGGCCAAGAAGCTGCAGGAGACCTTCACGCACCCATTGGAGTTAATCGAGTCCAAGGAGAACGCACAAAGCGACGAGGATGAGCGCGAAATGTTGCCAAAGCATAACAACAACAATAACAACAACGTTGACTTGGTTAAGGAGAAGGAACTGCTGTCATCCAGTCAACCAGAACTAGCGGAAGCTGAATCGCAGCCCGAATCACAACCAGAGCTTGCCACAACAGACAATCAGAACGGCAACAAGTCCTCGGACGAGGTCAGTCACAGCTCTGAGGAGATGCTTGAAGGCGATGGTATTGTCCGGGAGGAATTGCCCGCTGGCAAGGTGATGCGTCGCAAGAAGTCGAACACGCAACAGCCACCGCTCAGCAGCAGTAACAACAATAATATCACCAGCAGCACAAGTCAGCCACCGCGCATAAATCACCGGGCTTCGGTGGCCAAAATGGAGGGTTTAGCCGCTTATCTGGACTCTAGCATTATGTCCAGCAGCACAGAAGTAGATGGTAAGTATATTTTACGTTTTGATTTGCATAAAAATCTCTGAATTGTTACCTCAACATAACACATTTGCATTATAATGAAGATAAGTAGATGAGAGCGCATTAGCATTTGAATTATCTGCGTAAATTATGCTAATATTCATTCACAAATTCAAAACTTACATCTATACGTTAGATTGGTAACTTAATTTACCCTTATTTATGTACAAGCCAAGGATGTATAACTTATATGTTATTATCAACTCTTTCAGACGAAAGTAAGGACGTGGAAGTGGTTCTGCCTGACTGGATTGTGGTTGGTGAATCGGTGCTGATACGTCCGTACAATACCAGCGGCGTGATTCGCTTTGTGGGCACCACAGAGTTCCAGCCCGGGGCTTGGATTGGCGTGGAGTTGGATACGCCAACGGGCAAGAACGATGGTAGCGTGAAGGGCATTCAGTATTTCCAGTGCAAGCCCAAGCACGGCATGTTCGTGCGCTCCGACAAGCTGATGCTGGACAAGCGCGGCAAGGCGATGCGAGCCTACAAGGCTGCCGAGAAGAGCAACAGCATCAGTAAAGGTGAGTGAGGGTAAACATTGAATGCGAGCAGAGGTCTTATCCGTTTACATACCCTGTTGCAGAGATGAGCAGCTCGATGACCGGTTCGATGACTGGCTCAATGACACGCTCCAAGAGCCGCGGTGAATCGCTGAATGTGGCGGCGCGCAAATGATTGTACCCAAAGTGTTCGCATCAGATGCAGCGTTGGACTAATTGCAGGCAATCGACGGTGGCCACCAGTGCTGCTGCTGCTGCTGTTAGCCAGCCGGCGACCTGCCACAGATTGCGTGCAACCAGCAACGCTGCAGATGCGAACAGTCATGGCAAGAAGTGCTATGCCAATCGACGCTCGACGGCCTTCTAAGGTCGTCACCCAAGAATGACAATGTCGAGGAGGAGGAGGAAGAGCAGCAGTAGCCTCGTCAAGCAACGAACAATGCGGAGCATAATCCACATGCCAACCATATTCTAGCTTACTTAACTATTCTCACACCATGCCGCAAATGAAATGCCGTACACTTAACCCCACGCTTCTCCAAGTAGTTTAAGGCGCGGTGTCTACAGCAGAACTAATTACTAATCTCTAGCTAAACTAAACTAAACTAAACGAAATGAAAGGAAACTAAACTAAGCCAGGCAGGGCGTTCGCGTAATGTTTATGTGTGAAGTTCTCGCACTTTGATCAGATTCCATTGTTTTGTGTTCGTCGTAGTTAAATGTCGTTTATTGCTTTTCGATTTTTGAATGAAGCGCTTTACTGATTGATATATATTTTTGTAATGGTTCTTTGCCTTTAGTTTAGTTCAATTGTTTTTTGATATATCAACTTGTGAGCTTATATTTTTAATTGTTATCGACTCTATATCCACTATATAAATCATTTGTATATATATTTATGATTAAGACCTTGCAATAATTTCGTTTCCTTTACTCTGAGCTCTCACATTCTGTTTAGCGCATTTATATACAAATTTATTACCAATACGAAATGTTTAGTAATATAGTGAGAGAGCAAAATATTCTATATATTCGATCTTAGTCCTCAGATTAAGACGCTTCGCGTTGGAACGGGCGCAGTTAATGTATAAATTGTATTATTTTGATGTGATGTATTTATAATTTCCCCTTTATATATGCATATGTGTGTACATATATAAATAAAATTGATTTTATCTTTAATTATGTTTTATGTTGTATATTTTATGCTTTCCGTTCTTCCCCTTAACCCGTCCGCAATGTGTGCAATATAAGTGTTAGGATCCCTAAGTTGTATTTAATCAATGTTGAAGAAGGTTGTGCGACTATGTTTGTGAAGCGTTATAAGTAACATAAACCGAACACCGGCACCAACGGCCGCTGGTGTTAGTCCAAAGAAAGCGAGAAAGCAATAATTGCATTGAGAAAATTCAATTTTATGTTAAGATACTATAATAATAATCGTACACGAAACAGGATCGAGAGTGGCTGACGAAGAACGTTTGTACGTAAAACCGTAAACGTATCCATCCATCCATCCAACCAACCAACCAAACAACCAACAACCGACATCCAAGGCACTCCAAAACTGAGTCTGAGATAAATTGCAATTTAAAACCAAACAATAAGGGCGATTTACACTTGGCAAGGAAAACCCAAAAAAGGAAACTGTAACTAAAACTAAAATCCGACAGAAAGAGCAGTTTGAGCAGAAACTGGACGATCTACAGCCATTCATCCAGTGTATACAAGCATTAATATACACTTACTTATATATATATATATATATTAGGTATATATTTTCGAACTGTTTTTCTACTTGCGTAAAAGCGAAAAGCAACTACCAGAAATATACTTGAAAATACGTCCAAAATTAAAAATTCAAGATCAAGATAACTACGATAAATATATATATATACATACTTACAACTGCATGGATATTCATGAATATAAAAATACGTATAAATTGAATATTTACCAATGATAATCCTTACCACAACAGAACACGAATTATTCAAATATATATATTTACCGTGGGCAAAGTAGCGGAGGAGTTCCCTCTGGGGGATCAGCCCTATGCCCAGCGGTGTGTGTGCAATATTCCGATCTAATTAAATCACATGAATGTACATAGTGCAGAGTTATTATAATTATTATTATTATTACAGGCTAAATCACTCGAAAATTAACGCATTTAATGAGCGCAAAGCTGACATTCGACTAGAGCTTGATTGAGCATTGAGAATCCCCGATAGTAGCCGCAGCAGCCTGGGCTTTAATTGTAAAATAGATCGAGTATTCATAGTTTTAGTAGAGCTGTCTGTATTGGAAACCGAGAGCCGACAAATTGAATAGTACCTTGACGTTATTGAAGAATTAATCATATTTTTGTGCAATCTCCTAGAGCAGTTAGTTGTCACGCAATCAGCCCTGGAAAATGAAAGTAAAATTGTCAAATAGTTTGCATTCGCAATTGAATATGGTAGGCGCACGCACACACTTATTATATGGGATATATGATATATAGGAGATCGGAACAGCAAAAAATACTCGTAAGTTTGCGCACTCTTTTAGAGCTTTTAGCACGGTCAACGAATAAATGTTATTACACAAAACAACAATTGTAGCTCACGCGACTCCATCAGCCGTTAAATAAACTAACTAACCACGGGTTCAGGCAGCCCCACAAGTTAATCAAGAATAGCAACTAAACCATATGCTAGAGATCTGCTTTTATCAAAGAATCACACACAAACAGGGCAGACATTTGCGAAGCTAATCCATTGTTGATGCATTTGATTCGTTCGTTTTGTAAGTAATGTAATAGGAGTAGTGATAATCCAGTTGAGTTCACACTCTCCTCTCTCACTTTGTAGTTGCAGAATACAAAATATACAAAAATATATAGGTGTCAGCTGAGGCGGAAGCCATTAAGATCATTTTAGTAATTTACAATTGTTTTACTCCAATTTAAGTATTTTAATGCAAACACGCCACAGAGACAACAAAAAAACCCCATCCCCAACACGCGTAATCAGCAAATTTGAACAATTTCAATTTCAAAACAAAAGAAAATATGAAATATGTACTAATATATATATCTATGAATACAAATATACAAACATGCAATGCATATTTTTCAATGGAGTTGGCTTTAATTTCACAGCTGGGGCGGGCTCATTGTTGCTATTTGCCCAATAGCTAACTTTGTGTCTAACTACGTCCATTCTGGCCCCGAACTCGACCTTGCCATGGCAATAGCCAACTTGTTCCATTTCTGTGTGCCGTAGGGGCCAGCACCTTTGGGCAGGGAAAGCTACTGGGGCGTTGTTCGAAGATGTGTATCTTTCAGTCAGAAGTGTTTTATTTTTTTTATTATGAAAACAAATGGCAAAATGTTATTGTTAGTTGATAAATGCTTACGACACGTATTTAGTTTACTGTTTACATAGTTGGTTATTGCTGGGGCCTCGGCTTGGAGCGCCCCGTTTGAATCCCTGGCAAAAACGGAATGCAATTGTTACACACCTTTCTGCCCAACAACACACATCATCGTTCGTGATCACATGGCGACTATAGCATTTACATAGGATGTATCGTTTATCTTTACAAATTCTGGCTCTATATTAATATCTATACACACCAAGTAGTACGTACACAACACACATGGTTTTAATTGTTATTAGTTCTCTTCAAAATGACTCGTTTGATTTGCTGGTTGGTTTTTTGATTTGATTTCATTTGCACTAGCTACTCGTCCGACCGTCTGTCTCTCCTTATTGTACACTCACAGTCGGTGTCCAGTGTACAGAAAAAATATATATATATATAAATCTAGCATTCGATTAATGTATTTACAATTTTTTGCTCTATTTTGAATTCGAGTCAGTTCCGTTTAGTCGGCGTTAGTCAGTATCTCTCAGTTGGTTTGGTCCCCATCCCATACCCACTTGATCCCCCTCTCACTCTCTCGCCACGCCCGCCTCAGTGCTCGATGATCCATCGCTGGGACTCACTGATGGTGTCGCATGGCGCCACCTGAGCATCGTCCAGGCTCTTGAGCCCCCTGTGGTCTAGGCACATGCCCGTGTTGCTGTGTATTAGATGCTGTCGCTCGTATTTCCACTGCTCGTTGAACTCATCGTTCTCCATGCAGGGCACCATCACCACTCGGTACGGAGGCGACTCACTATTCTGGACCGTCGCACAGCTCAGCTCGTTGCGTAGCACCTGTGAGTTGGTGAAGGAGAAGAGCTGGGACTTCTGGAGCACTTTGCCGCAGGGATATAGCCCAGCATTGTAGGGCTTCTCGTTGTTCTGCAGCAGATCGTCCAGGCAGAGATTAGCGCTAACAGCACGCACTTTACCCCAGCCTTGGACCTCCTGGTTGGGCACAAATTTCTCGGGATAAATGTTCTTCAGGTACCACTCGAAGCTCTTGCAACGAAGCTTCTTGCGCAGCATCACACGGTGGGTGACATCGCCGATGTCCGCATGGAACTTCAGATCTGGCCGGTTCAGGAAGAAGATGTTAATGTAAGCGTCCATCCACACCAAAGCCATGCGGGCGGTGTTGATGCCGTGTGTGTCGCGATCGTTGGGGAATCTGTAAGCAGTTTGAATGAGGTATGCATTAGCTATGAAGCTAACAAAGCAAAATAAACACCTTAACGGAGTTCGTAAAGTTTACGACCAGATAAATATTTCATTCGATCGTAAACCCGTAAAGCGTGTCAGCGTTTAATGATTTGTGACTTACTTGTATGGATGGAAGTCCCTAAAGATGTGTCCCACCCGCGAGCAGGGTATAGTCTCAATGGTGCCGCCACATTGCCAGATGCGGAAGGACATCTCTAGATTTTCACCGCCCCAGCCGTCCATTTGTTCGTCATAGCTGCCCACCTCCCAGAAGTAGCGTCTATCCATGGCAAACAAGCCACCGGCCATGGTCGGGCTGTAGGCTGGGCAGATCTCCCGCTCCTGCTTGCATTCCCTTCGCTGACGCTGCTTCTCCCGCTCGGGGAGATTGATCCAATCAAAGTGGCCGTTCCATTGGAAGCCGCCCACCTGGAATGACTTGTAGCCATTGGTGCTGTACTGGAAGTCACTGGCATCGATCACATCGATTATGGGCACCAGGACGCTTGTTCGCGACTCCTTGATTCGCTGCAGCAGTGGCTCACACCAGCCAATATTGCCCTCGCAGTGGGCGTCCAGGAAGATGAGCACATCGCCGGTGGCTATACGGGCTCCAGCCAAACGGGCACGAATCAGGCCCAACCTGAAACGAAAGAGAAAGAGGTAGAGAGGCGAAAAACTTTCTTTAGCCAGGCGAAGAAGAAGGGCAAAACAAAAGCAAACAGAAATTTATTGGGTCAGTCGAAGACCTTCGATTAACACTCTCCTACATCGATCAGTTGGTGTGAAGTCATCGCAGAGTCTGTCAAGACCTCGTGTTGCTGAGTGTAATGCACGCAGAAACCACTGTCTTTTGAGAGTTACAAAAACTTGAGCCACACACACTACACATAACTTCGTAACTTGACGAACTGGTTTTCTCCACATTTAAGTTTTTGGTTATTTGAGCATTTGTCGGTTCTGGCCAAAAAGAAGATGCTCCATGCGCGCACGCCGTCTGAGACAGAGTCTCTCTGACATGGCAAACAAGTTATTCAAATGAGTTCAAGCCGCCAGCGATTCGATTAGCTGAATTGCCGCTGAACTTTTCCTAACCTAGTGGCAATAAAATGGGAGTACCTTTTAGAGTTTTTTATGGTTGGTTAAATTATTCTTGCCTACTTAAAGTTTTTCACTAAGAATAATAATGAAAAGTCAATGATTGAAAGTATTTTATATAGAGATAAATGATTATAATTAGAGTACATTCTAGCCTGTCATAGATCTATACAATCTGAGACGGATTTCTGGTTTGAAAGCTTATCATTTCACACAAGACATTTGCATATGCCAAAGGTCATATTGGAAGCAACAAGATTTTCTGTTTACTTCTGCTGATTTCCTCATAAAATGTTATACTTATCTTAAGAAGCTCATCAGCAAAATAAATTTAAAAAGAAAAAGACTACAAAATTTTAATAACTCAAAAGATGTTCAATTTGGTCTAGCAGAAATCAAAGAAAATAAAGATTTCTGTGACCTGGATCTTGGTTGTACTTAAGCTCTTCCCTAGGGAGATTTCTCATTCTCAACTCACCGATTCTTGAGCCGCAGCACCGTCACCTTGCCCGGCGGCGTTCGCGTGCGTATATAGTAATCCAGCTTGCCGCCCAGTTCCGGATTATCACTGCCATCATCCACCAGGATGATCTCCTTCAAAGCCTTCTGATTGCAGGTACTCAGCGTGCTGTGGACCGTGCGCAGGAGCACAGAGTAGGGTTCATTGAAGAATATTATAACCACACTGGCGCTGGGCAGGGATCCATCGTCGTATTGCTGGGCGGCGCACAGCGGATTCCGATGGTCACCCACACTACGATTGTAAGTCAGCTGCTCGCTGAGCTCCTCATTCAGGGCTATCTTTTTGTAGATGGCATCGCCGCGCTCCTTGGCGGCGCCGGACAGATGCACTGCCACGCCCTTCTCGCCCAGGCCCACACGCTGCTTCTGCAGGTCAAACTGGATGCTCAGCTCGTATGGTGACTGGGTGGCGGGCCGGGCTATCTCATTCTCGCTATCGTGGTCCTCGCGGTAGCTGTCGCGTCCGTGGCCCCGGAGGGCGGCCGCCCGGACTGGCGGCGATGGGCTATCGTCCGCCGGACTATTCTGCTGCACCTTGCTGTACAGAATGAAGCAGAGGGCGACCAGGATGAAGATGATTAGCTTGCCATAGAAGGAACGGAACCGAGGCAGCATCCTGGCGGTGGTGTGTGTATGTGGGGAAAGGTGGTTTAGGTTGCTGAGGTAGCACTGTCACTCTCGACGCAGACGTGGCTCTGCTGCCTGGGATCGCCTCGGATTGTGTGCGTCCGTCGATCCAAGCTACTGCTGCTTCATTTGTCACGGCTTCTCGTTCGCGAAACAACAAACATACGTCGCCTTCGTCGTCGTCGTCTCCAATTCAAGTTTATTCTCGCCGTAGCTTTCGCGCCGCGTACCGTAGCTTGTGGAGTGGCCTACTAGACTAAAACGGTGAGGGATATATTAATTCTAAGCGCGACCCGACCGTCCCTCGCCGCCCATTATGCTCGGCCGAAACAACAACAACAGCAGAAACAACAACAATAAAAAGCGAAAAATGTTTTTGTTAAAACGCTGTTGCTTCTCAAAGTGTGGCCAAAAGCACTTTGGGAAATCTCACAGGGGTGGAGAAACATCGATAGACATGTTTTTGATGTTTTTTTTTGGCGAATATCGAAAAAATAGGTAAAATAATTAAGTAAAAGAAGTAAGAACCATTAAAAGAGACCAAATCTTTTGGATCAGCTAGACATTAGCTTCCTTTTTTGCTTTAATTTATTTAAAAGTAAAAAAAGAATATATTTTTGTTAAACGTTTTTTTCCACATATCTACTTCTAAAAACGTGATAAAAATGAAACTGGCCACACTGCTTCTGCTTGGGAGCAACTTCGGAGGTTGGCGGTACTTTTAAAACTTGAATACGTTTGATAAGGCAGCTGTGTATTTTTATTTTACTTAATTTACAGACTTAAACTCATAACTAAGCCAAAAAGGGACTAATTTCAATTCGGAAAGCGGCCGTATGTTAATTTTTAGCAGGTTAATAAAACTGCATACTCCGTTTAAAAAGTGAATTTTGGCCGATTTTTGTAAATTTTAATGATGTAACCCCTTTCCTTTTTTTAAAAAATGGGAAATTTCCGAAAAAAAATTTGTTCGCCGCTATATAGCTAGAAAGATTCGCTTGTAGATACTGATCAAGAATATTTATGATACATGGGGTCGAAAATGGCTCCTTCACCTTTTTTTAAGCTTCTGACTGAAGGTGCAATACCATTTTTTAATCGATATTAACCATTATTTTATATGCAAATTTGATCGACAAATCAAGATTTAAAAAACTCATAACTAAGCCAAAAAGGGACTAATTTCAATTCGGAAAGCGACCGTATGTTAATTTTTAGCAGGTTAATAAAACTGCATACTCCGTTTAAAAAGTGAATTTTTGGCCGATTTTTGTAAATTTTAATGATGTAACCCCTTTCCTTTTTTTAAAAAATGGGAAATTTCCCAGAAAAAATTTCTTCGCCGCGATATAGCTAGAAAGATTCGCCTGTAGATACTGATCAAGAATATATATGATACATGGGGCCGGAAATGGCTCCTTCACCTTTTTTTAAGCTTCTGACTGAAGGTGCAATACCATTTTTTAATCGATATTAACCATTATTTTATATGCAAATTTGATCGACAAATCAAAATTTTAAAAACTCATAACTAAGCCAAAAAGGGACTAATTTCAATTCGGAAAGCGTCCGTATGTTAATTTTTAGCAGGTTAATAAAACTGCATATTCCGTTTAAAATGTGAATTTTTGGGCGATTTTTGTAAATTTTAATGATGTAACCCCTTTCCTTTTTTTTAAAAAATGGGAAATTTCCGAAAAAAATTTGTTTCGCCGCGATATAGCTAGAAATATTCGCCTGTAGATACTGATCAAGAATATATATGATACATGGGGCCGGAAATGGCTCCTTCACATTTTTTTAAGCTTCTGACTGAAGGTGCAATACCATTTTTTAATTGATATTAACCATTATTTTATATGCAAATTTGATCGACAAATCAAGATTTAAAAAACTCATAACTAAGCCAAAAAGGGACTAATTTCAATTCGGAAAGCGGCCGTATGTTAATTTTTAGCAGGTTAATAAAACTGCATACTCCGTTTAAAAAGTGAATTTTTGGCCGATTTTTGTAAATTTTAATGATGTAACCCCTTTCCTTTTTTTAAAAAATGGGAAATTTCCCAGAAAAAATTTCTTCGCCGCGATATAGCTAGAAAGATTCGCCTGTAGATACTGATCAAGAATATATATGATACATGGGGCCGGAAATGGCTCCTTCACCTTTTTTTAAGCTTCTGACTGAAGGTGCAATACCATTTTTTAATCGATATTAACCATTATTTTATATGCAAATTTGATCGACAAATCAAAATTTTAAAAACTCATAACTAAGCCAAAAAGGGACTAATTTCAATTCGGAAAGCGTCCGTATGTTAATTTTTAGCAGGTTAATAAAACTGCATATTCCGTTTAAAATGTGAATTTTTGGGCGATTTTTGTAAATTTTAATGATGTAACCCCTTTCCTTTTTTTTTAAAAATGGGAAATTTCCGAGAAAAAATTTTTTCGCCGCGATATAGCTAGAAAGATTCGCCTGTAGATACTGATCAATAATATATATGATACATGGGGTCGGAAATGGCTCCTTCACCTTTTTTTAAGCTTCTGACTGAAGGTGCAATACCATTTTTTAATCGATATTAACCATTATTTTATATGCAAATTTGATCGACAAATCAAAATTTTAAAAACTCATAACTAAGCCAGAAAGGGACTAATTTCAATTCGGAAAGCGGCCGTATGTTAATTTTTAGCAGGTTAATAAAACTGCATACTCCGTTTAAAAAGTGAATTTTTGGCCGATTTTTGTAAATTTTAATGATGTAACCCCTTTCCTTTTTTTTTTTTAAAAATGGGAAATTTCCGAAAAAAAATTTGTTCGCCGCTATATAGCTAGAAAGATTCGCTTGTAGATACTGATCAAGAATATTTATGATACATGGGGTCGAAAATGGCTCCTTCACCTTTTTTTAAGCTTCTGACTGAAGGTGCAATACCATTTTTTAATCGATATTAACCATTATTTTATATGCAAATTTGATCGACAAATCAAAATTTACAAAACTCATAACTAAGCCAAAAAGGGACTAATTTCAATTCGGAAAGCGACCGTATGTTAATTTTTAGCAGGTTAATAAAACTACATACTCCGTTTAAAATGTGAATTTTTGGCCGATTTTTGTAAATTTTAATGATGTAACCCCTTTCCTTTTTTAAAAAAATGGGAAATTTCGGAAAAAAATTTTTTCGACGCGATATAGCTAGAAAGATTCGCCTGTAGATACTGATCAAGAATATATATGATACATGGGGTCGAAAATGGCTCCTTCACCTTTTTTTAAGCTTTTGACTGAAGGTGCAATACCATTTTTTAATCGATATTAACCATTATTTTATATGCAAATTTTTTCGACAAATCAAGATTTAAAAAACTCATAACTAAGCCAAAAAGGGACTAATTTCAATTCGGAAAGCGACCGTATGTTAATTTTTAGCAGGTTAATAAAACTGCATACTCCGTTTAAAAAGTAAATTTTGGCCGATTTTTGTAAATTTTAATGATGTAACCCCTTTCCTTTTTTAAAAAAAATGGGAAATTTCGGAAAAAAATTTTTTTTGCCTCGATATAGCTAGAAAGATTCGCCTGTAGATACTGATCAAGAATATATATGATACATGGGGTCGGAAATGGCTCCTTCACCTTTTTTTAAGCTTTTGACTGAAGGTGCAATACCATTTTTTAATCGATATTAACCATTATTTTATATGCAAATTTTTTCGACAAATCAAGATTTAAAAAACTCATAACTAAGCCAAAAAGGGACTAATTTCAATTCGGAAAGCGACCGTATGTTAATTTTTAGCAGGTTAATAAAACTGCATACTCCGTTTAAAAAGTGAATTTTTGGCGATTTTTGTAAATTTTAATGATGTAACCCCTTTCCTTTTTTTAAAAAAATGGGAAATTTCCGAAAAAAAATTTGTTCGCCGCTATATAGCTAGAAAGATTCGCTTGTAGATACTGATCAAGAATATTTATGATACATGGGGTCGAAAATGGCTCCTTCACCTTTTTTTAAGCTTCTGACTGAAGGTGCAATACCATTTTTTAATCGATATTAACCATTATTTTATATGCAAATTTGATCGACAAATCAAAATTTACAAAACTCATAACTAAGCCAAAAAGGGACTAATTTCAATTCGGAAAGCGACCGTATGTTAATTTTTAGCAGGTTAATAAAACTGCATACTCCGTTTAAAAAGTGAATTTTTGGCCGATTTTTGTAAATTTTAATGATGTAACCCCTTTCCTTTTTTAAAAAAAATGGGAAATTTCGGAAAAAAATTTTTTCGACGCGATATAGCTAGAAAGATTCGCCTGTAGATACTGATCAAGAATATATATGATACATGGGGTCGAAAATGGCTCCTTCACCTTTTTTTAAGCTTTTGACTGAAGGTGCAATACCATTTTTTAATCGATATTAACCATTATTTTATATGCAAATTTGATCGACAAATCAAGATTTAAAAAACTCATAACTAAGCCAAAAAGGGACTAATTTCAATTCGGAAAGCGACCGTATGTTAATTTTTAGCAGGTTAATAAAACTGCATACTCCGTTTAAAAAGTAAATTTTGGCCGATTTTTGTAAATTTTAATGATGTAACCCCTTTCCTTTTTTTAAAAAAATGGGAAATTTCTGAAAAAAAAAATTTTTCGCCGCGATATAGCTAGAAAGTTTCGCCTGTAGATACTGATCAAGAATATATATGATACATGGGGTCGGAAATGGCTCCTTCACCTTTTTTTAAGCTTCTGACTGAAGGTGCAATACCATTTTTTAATCGATATTAACCATTATTTTATATGCAAATTTGATCGACAAATCAAGATTTAAAAAACTCATAACTAAGCCAAAAAGGGACTAATTTCAATTCGGAAAGCGTTCTTATTTTCATTATTAGCAGATTAATAATATTGCCTATGGGGTCGGAAATGAATTATTTCGTTGCAAACTGTCTCGCATATCATAAAGTTGTTGGTATTTTTAATTAGACTTCCTAAACTGTATAATCGTGACGTATTTTTCACCTCATATTTTACATATAACATTTTATTATTATTTTATTGACTAATTGTTGCTTGTGAATCAAGCAAACAAGTCTACAACGAGTCTCTCCCTGCACACTCGGTGCCCTAGTTGACGCCGTAATTACTTGAAAAAGCGGAAATTTAAATCAAAGAGAGCTGAGCTTCCTGTACTCGAATGCCGTTGTGGGCCACGTTAAAAGCGAAAGGTACTTGGAGGAAAGGGAGGGGGGAAGGGGATTGACCAACTGACTGCCACTGCCACGTACTTGACACTTTTGTTTGGCGGCTTTTAATGCACAAATGGCATGTTCATTTCTTGTTAAAACGAAACAAATGGGTTTCCTATTAAGCCCGACATGCAACCACTTGTTGCCTGCGACTTGGTCTATAGTCAAATCTCATTTTAATTCTAATTGAGTTCGGTTCTCTCAGGGAAACTTTCATTTTTGTAATAATCATTCTATGGAATGATGCCGAACAAGTCTGTGCCCATTTCGCGGTCTCTGATTAATTTTTGGCTAATTAACTGGGCTCTTCTTCTTCTCCTACTTTTTTCCCTTCGGTGGCATAATTAATACGTTACGTATACGCATCGGTGTCGCCGCAGGGGAGTCGCCACGGGCCCGATCAGCGGGCGGAGGCAGGCACTCCAAATAGCATGGCTTTAGCCAGCAGCTAAATTAAAGTTCAAAGTGCTCCCGAGCCATGGTAATTGGAGTTTCAGTTTGTGGGAAGCAACGGCTAAGACGCCGCTGAAAGGTGGCAACTGTTTTGCCAATTTTCGCTAAAACTCCCTTAATGGCTTTGAGCGACAAAAACTAGGAAGGAAATAAATTACCAGCCCGTCTGGTCTGGGTTTGGGATTGGGACCTGCTCGTCGGCATGGGCCTTTGTTTAAAGGTGCTGAGATGGAGAAAAAAATAGAGAAAAACAATCAACAGGTGAGGAGGAGGGGGAGGAAAGACGAGATTTGGAATTTGAAATTCCAAATTCGTGTGTGTCTGAGACGACCTCAAAATACGGGTTTAGTAAAATGCAACAGCGGCTATGTCGGCGAATCCGGCATTGAAACAGATTAGTTTCTTCGGTTGAAAAAATTAACACCTCTTAAATTTGAAATATATGAAATACACTTTTATTATGGCCACCGAAAATTATGCATTTTCAGCACATTTTGTGAAATTGTTAATGGCCTGAGGTCGAATTAGTTGGCTCTTAAGTGTTGTGAGCCGCAACCGGATTGAAAAGAGCCCCGAAAAGAAAAATATAACTATAAATGAGGAGTACTACGTTTTGTGTAAATAGCAGAAGTGCTCGATAAATAATTGTAAAAAATTACTCTATTCAATAACGACCTGAAGCTAAAGCTCAAGTCCCCCAACGAGGTCTCATTAATATAAAAAAATTGGGGGGGATGCCGAAAAAAACAAAAACAGTTTAACTGCCGCCAGACATTGTTCCACATGTGGTTAAGGTGGCCGCCGTAATGACTCTGGCCACAGAAATCTATTAAATCTAAATGACCCTGAAGATCACAGACACACATAGGCTAACGATCCACCATCCATCAGCGGCTTTGGATAATAACAGAATTGGGTTTTTGGGGATTGCAATTGAACAATGTCTGCCATAGATTTTACAGATTACGGATTATGGACTATGGATTACCGACTACTTTCGTTTTAGCTCCATCGGACTTTTGCAAAATGTCAAGAGGTTGAGCAATTGCGATGATTGAGCCGGAGGATGAGCACAGGTCAGATTTCGATCGGATTAGAGCTGGAGCGATGACTACTTCCCATGACAAATTGATCAACCTGGCAAGCGTAATGATGTGCCACATTATCATACATTTTCGGCCATGATTTATGATCGAATTTAAAAGGGGGATCTCCTCTAACAACTAAATCGAAATCGAAAGTGAAAGATTTCACGATACCTTTGGCCAGGCAATGACAATGCCCAGGCATTGTCTTCGCACCCACTAAATTGCTTCAGGGGTTGCTTTGGGTTTGTTACTCAATCCAATAACATCTCAGTCTCAGTCCCCAGTTCCAGTTTCGATCGCAATTCCAATTCCCTTGCCCCAGGTCCAGGGCTTCTCCAATCAGCACGCGTCAAGAGTGGCGCCAAAATGACGAACCAAATTATGATACAATATCATATGTATATGCAGCGATCTCTGGGCAAAAGAGTTCGAATTATGACTATTTTATGGCGGTAGCCAAGTCCGAGTTTTGCATAATCCCCCTCCGGTTCCAAGTGAAACACCCGCATTGTGGTCCATTTATGGGCATATTTATGTAACAGCCAATCATGCGAGATGTCATCAAGTGAATTTTTGGCCCAGGTCGACTCATCCCGCGGAATGCACATCTTAGCTATGGGGTTTTTCACAACCAGAGATAGCATCCGATTGTCTGTTAAAACCACATCAAAATCAATATCGCGTATCGATCAACATCCAAAATTGAGCATTGTCTCAATGTTCGCAACCTCCGGTGTGTGTGCGATGATGATTTGGATTCAAATTTGAATGGCGGGGCCAACAATAACCACTGCGTCTCCATATCCGCTATCATTTATTGTGCGGAGGTGGCTAATCCCAATTCAACATTTCATTGTTTCCTTTATGGCTTTGTCGAAGGCTAAGCAGAATGAATTTTGGCCAAGCGAGCGAAATTTTTTTTATTATTAATTTAATGCAGGTTATGCTAACACAAGTTTACTAAATATTAATTTCTGACCCATCTCTTGCAGCAACAGGAGACTCCCATGCCAAAAATCCAGGATAGATCGATTCTGGCCTGCTTAAGCTGGGCTTTTGAGTAACCCAGATAGAGGAGTAGGATAATCATCCAGGTCTTAGCCATCACTAACTGTTAACTGTGTAAATGCCACACATTTTCCGTCACTATGTGGTTCAGACATGCACTTTTCATGTTCCCCGCTTTGTAGAACACGGCTAGAACTCATGATTTAGCAATTATTGGCTTTATTAAATATTCATTCGTAGATAGTAGTTTGTATTTACACACTCGTTCCCCGCCTGCGCTTCCACCTCGCCACTCCCAGTTCCAAGAGAAAGCAGAAAATGCTAAAGACCATGCCACATAAGTAGAACTGCAGTATTCGTGAGACATCTTCCATTATTATGCTCTTCTCATAGGCCTTTGGATGACTCAAATCCTCGAGGGGCGTTATGCCCAGTCTAACCATGTCAAAGAAGCTGTGACCTCGCCAGTAATGGACCAATCCAAACTCATTCTGCCGGAGGATGTGGTCTTCAAAGAGATGGCGGTAGGGCAGGTGTCGCCTTAGAGGAATCGACATGTAGAGCAGGCGGGTGAAGCAGAGGTCATTGGAAAAGTAGAAAAGCGGCTGCTTGAAGATCTTCTGGTGCTCCGCAATAGAACTCCATCGATCACCCGTCACTATGTAACTATAATTAAGATTAAAAGAGTCACGCAATCTAATGCATTCCTCCCAGTCATCAAAGACAACCAGATCATCCCTCTTCATCTCACGAAACTTGGAATTATTAATTTTGTTCAATATCTCAACTTCGATTCCGGTGATTGCAAGCTTTTGACGAAACCTGCTGAAATCCTGGTAGGTCCGGATATGAGGTCCTGAAGGGGGATTCGTGAAGAAGGACTGCAGGTAGGCATCATACATGGTGGTCATCAAGACACTAGCGAAGCATAGTATAATAAAGACCAGCTTCAGGTGTCCATTTGAGTTGAGGGGAAACGGAAACGATTGTCCCAAGAGGCCACGTAGGCTGACATCATTTAGCAAAACGTTGGCCAGGCTTAGATCATGCCACGACCTCTTACGACCATATATCAAAAGCACCGAAAGTATACAGAATAGGACGAGTGTGATGCCGAGTACCAGGGGATCCACTATCATCTCATATACCTTATTGTAGGGCAACTTGGATGGAATCTGGAGCATCAGGCAGTAAGTAGTCAGCATAAATGGATAGCTGGCCGTATCAAGTGGTGCATTGTGCAAGGTTGTATGCATAGTGATTCCCATGTCCAGCTGATCGGAGATAACTTTCTCCAGTATTTCATGAAAGTTGGATTTATTTTCCTTGGGTTCCACATCCAAGGTGGCGTTCAGCCTTTCGGCAAAATTGCTAATCAAATTGGCCATGTAACCGGTTAACTTTGTTTCACCAGTGTTTTTGTCCACATAAAGCATAGATCGAGGCGCTAAAAGATCTGCCTTGACTTTTATAGGTTTTCGGTGCATATTTCGAAAGGTTTCCATATAGATTGGTCGACTTTCTGCTAAATTTATTTCTTCAAACTTGGAGTCCAGAAAGAAGCGACAGGCGTAGATGACTTGAGAATCCTTAAAATCCTCCCTCACCATTGCTATGTTATATTGCTCCTTTAGGGAATAGCTATAACACACTGACTCTGGATGGATATCCTTCTGAATGTAGATCAGTCTCCTGTTCCTTTGCAGTTTCATTAGTGTACGATTAGTGTATTCCTTCTCAGCCTCGGAGTAACAGCTTAGGATCATGGTCAGGCTGCTAAAATCCCAATCGTAGGGCGTACTACCCATAGAGATGAGCACCGTGGACACCTCCAAATGTTTGGATATGGAATGAAAAACACAATCTTCTCCATAGATAAGCAGGGTATCAAAGAACTCCTCCTTTTGCAGGTTTACAAGAAGCTGGAGCAAGCTTTCTTCCAGGTCAGGTTCACTTCGATCAGAGATATTTGGAAAGTGGAACTGGGCTTTTGTCCGTCCAAGGAGGAGTAGTAGGACGACCAACCAAGTCATGGTCTCCATTACACTGTTGGTTAGCCGCTCTATCCACCAGTATTTGTATTTTGATTTTCTTAAATGAAAGCTAACATGTTCAAGACCTATATAATGCTAAAAATGTCTAAGCCATGTCCATTTTCAAAGTTGTTTTGAATTTTTGAAACATGTACCGTGAACATGTTTAGTGAAAAATATTTGTAATGACCTTCGAAGCCTTGCTTTTGAAATTATTAATGGCTGGCATGCAATTTCCATGTTAGACCCAAGTATGAACATCATTTTCAAATAGTGAAGGTCAGAAACTGGAGGTTTGAGTTATAGAATTTCTTCTTGGATAGGTATGCTCTATTTCTTTGATGGATTATCTAATGTGGCTTTTGTTTTGTGAGCTTGGATAAACAATATATTTCTTTGTTAATAAAACGAAATGTATCTTAAATATGACTATCTTTATTATTGGACTGCTTAAAACCAGTCTACATATATATTTCATAAGTTCCTGTAGGGTTTCATTTATATTTTTGGGGGTTTTCGTTTATAACACTGGCCTATTCCTCTCCACCATCTCCTAAATCGTTCCCTTGTGCTTAGAACCTCTAAGAAAAAGATTAAAATGCTAATGCCCATGGCCACCAAGTACATCACCATAATCCATAAGATATCTTGGGCAATTAAGCTAGATTCGGCAGCCTTTGGTGGCTTCAGGTCCTTAGGAATCAGGGGCGTTATGCCCAGTCTCACCATATCGAAGAAGCTGTGGACTCTCCAGTATCCCACCAAACCGAACTCGTTCTGACTCATAATATGTTCGTCGAAGAGGTGACGATAGGGACACAGTCGCCGCACAGGGATGGCAATGTGCATAAAGTGGGTGAGACAGAGATCATTCGAGAGGTAGAAGATGGGTTCCTTGAACATCCTTTGCTGCTCCTCGTATGTGTTCCACTCAGTTTCGACTACAAAATAGTTGTAGCTTTGGTTTAAGGAGTCACGAAGCTTTAAATATTCATCTGAATTGAATATTACCATGTCATTTATATTTATCTCTTTAAATTTTGTATTGTTGGTGATTGTCATTTCACTGAACTCATGTGCGCTGACCGCCAGTTTCTTGTTGTACTTCGTAAGATCCTGGAAGGAGCGAATAGGAGGCTCAGTTGGGGGATCTGTGAAATATGACTGCAGGTAGGCATTATACATGGTGTTGAGCATGACGCTGGCGAAGCACAATAGGATGAAGATCAATCTCAGGTGGTTGCTGGCGTTGGAGGGAAAGGGAAACGATTGACCCAAGAGGCCACGTAGGCTCACATCATTCAGCAGGACATTGGCCAAGTTGAGATCCTGCCAGGACTTCTTGCGACTGTAAATAAGCAGCACCGAAAGAATGCAGAAAAGCACAACGAATATGCCGAGCACGGGGGATCCATTATCTTTCCGTACACCTGACTGTATGGCAATTTGGCTGGAAATTGCAGCATTGTACAGTAGGAGGCCAGTATGTAGGGATAACTGGCTGTTTCAAGGGAACTCTCTCTCACATAAGTTTCCAAACCCATACCAATGTCAACTTTACCCTTCCTCACATTCAACAGTATGTCTCGCACATTGGAATTATTGTGTACATTATATAGTTTCAGAGTTGCATTAATTCTCTGGGCAAAGTTCGTTATCAAGTTGGCCACAAAACCAATAAGCCTTTCCTCACCCGTATTCTTGTCTATATAAACCATAGTTCGAGGCGGCATTAAATGTGCTACGGATTTGATTCGCTTTCCCTGCATATTTTTTAAGTTTTCTATATAAATTGGTTTACCTGCCGATAGACTCAGTTCCACGAAGTTGGGCTCTTGAAAGGGGCGACAGGCGTAGATGATATTTGACACTCCAAAGTCTTCTTTTACAACGGCTATATTATATACCTCATCTTCGAAGTAGTCACCACACACTGATCCTGGCTGAATATCCTTTCCAACATAAATCAATCGTCTGTTTCTTTGCATCTTCATAAAAGTATGTTCGTTATTCTCGAATTCGGCTTCATCATCGCAGCACAGGATCATGGTCAGGCTGTTAAATTCCCAGTCTGACTGGGTGCTACCCATGGACGCCAGCACTGTCGATATTTCCAAGTCTTTGATTAGGGTATGGAAAATGCAATCTCTTCCGTAAATAAGCAGGGTATCAAAGAACTCATCATGACGCACTCTCCGTAGAAGGCGCAACAAAGCATCTTCCAGGTCTGGTTTACTTTCATCGAAGATTGCTGGAAAATGGGCACCAGCTTGTCCAAGACAGAGAAGTAGGATGACCAGCAGAGCCATAGTTTTTAGTATACTGAAGAACGTTCTAGGTGTACATTAATATTTATACCAAAACTCTACAATTCTACAATTCCAAAGATGTTTAGGTTGTGTTATCTACAGAAAACAGTGTAATTAAGTTTAGCTACAGCTTTCATTTTTTTTTTTTGCGCAATTAAAATCACTTAACAAGTACTTTGCGTGTTACCCACCAAGTTCTTTGGTCAGGAAAGTCTGGTAATTACAAAAATGGAAAACTATATATGTAAATATGTGAATAAATTTATGGTTTATATTTTTACTTTACAAAATTCCCATAGACATCTTTTATATACTTTCTAAGCCTCCTTCCTCTACTCTTGCTTAGAACCTCTAAACCAAAGCACACAATGCAGATTACCATGGCCGCCAAATAGAGTTTCATTATCCAGGAGACATCCAACAAAAGAAGACTCGGCTGATATGGTTTCGGCTGGCTTAGATCCTCCAAGGGCGTTATGTCCAGTCTCACCATATCAAAGAAACTCCGACTCTTCCAGAATCTCACCAAACCAACCTCGTGCTGGCGCAGCATGTGCTCTTCGAAGAGATGACGATAGGGAAGGTGTCGTCGCATGGGAATGTTGAGGAAAACCAGGCGGGAGAAGCACAGGTCCCTCGCAAAGTAGAAAAGTGGTTCCTTAAAGTTCCTCTGCTGCTCTGCATAGCTGGTCCATCGATCTTCTGTCACCAAATATCCATAGCTTCTATTGAAGGAATTCCTCAGATGTGAATACTCCTTCCAGTGTTCAAACATCTTAAGGCTGCCTTTGTTAATTTTTTGAAAATGTGAATTATTGTTCTTGTTGAGTTCATTTATCTTGTATGTAGTGATCGCAATCATTTGCTGGCACTCTGCAATATTCTCAAAGGAGCTTATGTAGGCCTCAGATGGGGGATGCGTGAAAAAGGACTGCAAATAGGACTCGTACATGGTGGTCAGGATGACGCTGGCAAAGCAAAGTATAATGAAGATCAATCTCAATTGTTTGCTTGGGTTGGAGGGAAAGGGAAACGCTTGTCCCAACAAACCACGAAGGCTCACATCATTCACCAGGACATTGGCCAGACTCAGTCCTTGCCAGGACATATTCTTGCTGTATATCAATAGCAACGAGAGTATGATGAATAAAAAGACGATTATACCAAGAACCAGGTGATCAACTATAACCGCATAAACCAAATTATAGGGTATCTTAGCTGGAACTGGAAGCATCAGACAGTAGGATGTGAGAATATAGGGATAGCTAGCCGTATCAAAATTTGTGGCATGCAACGAGGCCTCCATAGTCATGGCAATGTCAATGTGATCTTCTTTTATCCTCCTTATGATGTCCCTGAAGCTAACATTTTCACCCAGCCTTTGAACCTCCAAGGTGGCATTTAACTTGAGGGCAAAGTATCTGATCAAATTGGCCACATAACCGATCATCTTGGTCTTACCATCCTTTGGATTAAGATACTCCATGGATCTGGGAGCCACAAGATCCGCCATTATTCGCATGGGTTGTCCATGCATATCATGAAAGTTTTCTATATAAACTGGATTACTTTCCCGTAGACTTACTTCCTGGATGATGGGGTCTTGAAAGCAGCGACAGGCATAAATGTATTTTGATTGATTAAGATCCTTTCTCACCATGGCTATATTATATTGCTCCTTCTTGGCATAGTGTTCACACACAGACTCGGGTTGAATATCCTCTTGTATATAGATCAGACGCCTGTTCCTTTGTAGCTTCATGAGAGTGCGATAGGTCACTTCCTTATCGTCCTCGAGACTGCAACTCAGTATCAATGTTAAGCTGCCAAAGTCCCAATCAAATGTGGTGCTTCCAGATGATACCAAAACTGTGGAGATTTCCAATTGTTGAGTTAGTTGATGAAAAATACAGTCCTTTCCGTAGATGAGCAGAATGTCAAAGAACTCTTCTTGCCGCAGTCTCAGGAGAAGATGCAGCAAGCCTTCTTCTAGGTCTGGTTCCCTTCGGTCGGATATATCTGATAACTCGGCTCTTGTCAGTCGAAGACAGAGGAGGAGCAGGATGACCAACCAGGCCATGGTCTCATTCAAACTGTTGCACATTCTGCATGTCCTTTCCTTTTGTATCAGGCTTCTGTAATTAAAAAAGTTGACATGTTTAGTCACCGTTTAGAAACTAGAAGAATACATGTGTCGTGTCGTTTGTGGCAAAACATTCTAATTGGGTAAAGATATTTATAGCATGCAATTTTCATGTTCCTCTCAAACAATTAATAGAAGAATTAAAGTCCTCTCAACGCCAAGGTCATGCAAAGGTTCAGGATAATTTCTATAATCAATGTTTTAAAAAACCTTTATATGTTGAACCCTCAAAATGAAAAGAAAGTTTAAAAAATAAAATAATAATAAAATTAGTAAACTCTTTATGTAGATTATTTAATCAAGAAAAAGCTTACATGCAAATAAGAAACTGCTTTATAGCATCTTTATAAAGTGAGATCTTTATTGAGCTCTTCTTAACCTTTGGCATCGCCACAATCGTTCCCACAGCTTTATGCAACCAGAGATCTCTAGGATGAAGCAGCAAATGCTTATTCCAATGGCCATCGAATATAGTTTGAGTATCCAGGAAATATCGTCCAGCAGAAGACTCCCATCGGTCTGGCGCTTCTGACTGTAGTCCCTTATGGACGCCAGTCCCAGTTGAACCATGTCATAGAAGCTTCGGGTCTTCCAAAATGCCACCAGGCCGAACTCGTGCTGCCGCATCATGTGATCCTCGAAGAGATGACGATGTGGCAGGTATTTTCTCACCGGGAGGCTGAAGAACATCAGCTTGTTGAAGCACAGGTCAGAGAGATAGAAGGCGGGCTCCGAAAAGAGTTTCTGCTGCGCCTCGTAGCAATCCCAGCGGTCCACGGACACCGGAAAGATGAAGCTTGTGTTAAAGGAGTCGCGCAGGATAAGGTACTCAGGCCAATTCTCAAGGATCAATAGGTGATCTTTGCTAATCTCCCTGAAATGGGTGCTATTCACGGAAGTTAAGACATTAGCCTCTATTCGGCTGAGGGCCACCTTAATCGAGAAGTTGGCAATGTCCCGAAAGGATCGAATGTACGGCTCTGACGGTGGCTGGGTGAAATAGGCTTGCAGGTAGGACTCGTACATGGTGGTGATCATGACGCTGGCGAAGCACAGGATGAATATGATCAGCTTGAGATGTTTGCTTGGGTTTGGCGGAAACGGAAACGATTGTCCCAGAAGTCCACGCAGACTCTTATCGTTGAGCAGAATATTAGCGAGGGTCAAGTTCCGCCAGGAAAGGTTCTGTGTGTAGACAATCAATAAGGAGAATATACAGAACAAAGCGAAAATAATGCTGAGCACCACTGTATCCACAATCATGGAGTACACCTGGTTGTATGGCAGCTTGGCTGGCACGGGAATCATCAGGCAGTAGCCGGTGAGTATGTAGGGATAGGTAATGAAACTCATATTCTTAACCTGCAAGGAACTGGCCAAGGCAGTGCCAATGTCCAGGAGCTCCTCTTGAGCGCCACGCAGGATTTCCCCCACACTGGCTTTCTTCACACCCAACTTGGTTGCGTTTTCAATGCGCACTTTGGCATTCACTTTCTCGGCATAGGTATTGAGCACATTGGCCAGGTAGCCCATTATCCGGGATTCCCCACTCTTCTTATCCCGGTACATCATGGTTCGTGGTGTCAAATAATCGGGAATCGTCCTGATCTCTGCTCCATGCATATTCCGGAAGTTCTCTATGTATATAGGTTGATCTGCAAAGAAGTGAACTTCCTGATGGTTGGGCCTCTGAAAGAAGCGACACGAATATATAATATCCGACTGATCAAAGTTGGTCTTGATGATGGCCACGTTATGCTGCTCCTTCAGGGAGTACTGGTGACAAATGGACTCACAGGTTGACACTGCATTCTGCAAGGATATCAGGCGTCTGGTTCTTTGAAGTTTCATTAGAGTCACCGGATTCTCCTCTCTGTCCGCTTCCGGTGCGCAGGACAGGATTAGTGTGGAGCTGCTAAAGTTCCAGTCAAAGTCTGTGCTGCCAGAGGTAACCACAACTGTGGGTATAACCAGGTGTCTCAGTAAGGAATGAAAAATACACTCATTCCCGTAGATTAGCAAAGTGTTGAACTGCTCCTCCAATCGAAGTCTAGCTAGCACACGGAGCAGCCTGTCCTGTAGTTCCAGTTCCTCGGAGGGAATGGAAACATTCATGGCACTCAACTGGCCAAAGCAGCCGAGGATAAGGATCAGCCATCCCGAAGCCATGTCGCAACTGTTGGGTTTCACCACCATATCAAGTCCTTTTATTGGCTTTCGTTATTTATATATATTTAAATGGTATTTAAAAAGCATTTGCACTCTGATTTGACATGCAATAGCCGTGCTTAATGCTTTTCTGTTTAACCCCACATGCAGGGCAATTAGCGGCTGCAATCGTAAGTGTTTCGCTGACATTTATGCGGGCTTAAACTCCTCCTCCTCCCAGCTGAGGGGCGAAAAACCAAAAGCCAAAGTCGGCTGGCCTTGTGCGTGAGATTGCCCCATTTGAATTTCCCGAAAGGCCTTTAACAACTTCCGCTGCATGGCTTCAAAATCGAACTCGAACTCGATCTTGGACTTCCAATGGCCTGCAGAGTGAGTCTTGAAAGCGATTGGACTCTTCCGAGACAGACAATTCGATTGCTGGAACGAAATTTTCCGGCAATTTGAGCCAAACTCTGGCTCATTGCATACGATTTTGTGACTTGGTCTTGGTCTTGGTGGACCTGGACATGGAAAGTGTAGAAACGCAAACATTTCATTTTATGCTCTTAATTGCAGTGCAAGTGGATTTCAATTATTCAAATGAGTCGCTTCCCTGGCTTGCATGCAGCTCGCTTGCACTTCCGATAGCCGCCTTCCCCCCAGATTCGAGTGCTGTAAACTGGTCTAAGAGCCATGCGTTAATGGCCAAAATACGGGGCGATTTCGATTGAATTTCTTCTGCTTCTGCGTTGATATCGTGGCTTTATCTTTGGGCCTGCCTTTTGCCATTTTGTGAAGAGTTGTTGCTGCTGCTGCTGCTGCTGTGGCTGTCGTTGTTGCTTTTGTGAATGACGTTTCAGCGAAAGTTGTTACGTTACCATCGACAAGCGCTAAAGCCTATGCAAAACCGGTCGGTCATTGATTTTTGGTTACTGCAAATTGTCTGGCCATGACCAGCTGTGGAGCACAACTCATCTCCGCTGCTGCTGGTGCAACTTTGGCTGCAAAAAACTATTTTGTTTTGCTTGTCATACACTGCGTATGCTTGATTTGGCTGCAGTGACTCGTGTGTGTGCGTGCAGCGGTCGTGTTATGGCCAACAAAACGTTTATTTGGCCAACCAGTTGCAGTGCCAGTCTCCTCGCACTTATGTTGGTTCAATATTTTTCCCAAGAAAATATTTGGTTAATAAACATACTTCAAAAGGAAACCGATCGGGTTTTGGGGACTTAATTGCTGAAAAAGTCGAGTGTTATTTAATGGGATAAATATAAACGAATTACATGGTTGATGGGTTTGTTTTTTAGTACATAATTTCTGTTTATTTATTGTTGAACAATTGTTAATAGTATTATTTTATTAACAAAAATAAAAACTTGAACCAGCCTCTTTAAATTGTTTGAAACTTTAACGTTGTATAAACAATTATAAATTATATCTTTTATTTGAGGAAACTTGATAAATTTGTTGGAAATAAAAAGCCAGACTCCTTTAAGATTATAAGTAATTCATTTGTGTTATGATTTCTAAAGGAAAACAAATAGTTTTAATATCTAAAAAGCAAAAGTAATCTATAAGAAAAAGAAGGAATTAATACATATATTAAGTTAGTTAACTTTTATTTATTGTTTTAGATAAAGAGTTGGAAGTTATTTCTTATTCTTAATAATAAGACTTTAAATTTGCACTCAAATAAAATAAAATAAACTGAAACAAAACATTTCATCAGGGTTAAAATAATTGTTTTACTAAGTCACAAATTCCTTACCCAAATAATATGATTTTTGAACCATTTCTTTCGCTCTATTAACCTGAGAGAAATTAATATTAATATTAAACCCTGTAAAACTGGTGGCTACTTCCCTTCACTCTTAGCTCTTTTGTCTTTTCTGGTAATCGAAGGAGCCATAAAACAAGAGCCTGAAGCCCCTCGGTTCATTAGGTCTTCGATTGTGTTTTTGTTTTTGGGACCACTTTTGTGGCTGCTGCACGAGCATTGTGGATACTTTTGGCGTGGCTCTCTTAATGTGCCCACTTTAGGGGTCTGTTTGTCGGGCAGTTTGCCGGCGATTTTAACACACATTTGAGACCGAACCGACCAGACACTACTTGTTGTGGCTGGCGGCACAATTTCGTTTTTTTTTGGGGCTACAGCTTCAGTTGCTCTCTGCCATTGAAAGTAAAATCTTTTGCTGCTGGTATCCAGATTCACTTTCGATTGCTTTTGATTGAGAATACTTGAGTATCTGTATCTGTACCTGGTATGGAAATCCTCAAGTTGAACCGTTGAACTCACCACGAGGTGAGAGTGAGAGCCAGCGGGTCTTCTTCAGACTCTCTTTCTTGTTGCTCGCTCTTTCTCTCCTTGGCTTCGTCTTCGTTTGGGCCAAGTTGCTTGCTGGCCAACTTCGACTGGCAAGTTTCAGTTACAATACGGCAGCGACTCGGCCAAGTTGCAGTCTCCGCAGTTTGCTCAGCGCGCGCGTGTCTCTATCAATCCCAAAACCGAGTGCATCCTGAAACGCGTCCAAGGATAATCTCTAAAAGAGTGGGTGCAGTGCAAGATCTTCCATAAATATTTATTTTAAATTCAAAACCCATACTTGACGCGAGTGTTTATTTTATATAGTTTTTGGTTTTACAGTTGCCTGCAGGACTCGGGATTATATATCGCCATGAGAACCCTGCCATTGCTGGTAAGTGCCAACTTATGTAACTCGAGGTGTCATCGCTGTCTTGACCTGCGAACTGCGACCTCTTCCTCCATTATCCCCCATACCCATTACCTTATACCCATCGTTGACATTGACAAATCGTGTCACTTCATTATGGGTCCAAACCAAAAACAAAACCCGCCTCGGGAGCGAAGTAAGCCAAGTGTAAATCGCCTTCCGGCTGGCTGCCTGGCAAGTCTTCAACTTGGCACTTGTTACGCGAAGAAATGCCAGACTATCTGTTGGATCTCTCCATGGATATCCATGCGATCCATGATGCACACATGTGTCCCATTGTTTTCTTTTCCGAGGCTCTTGTTAGCCCTGATTTGCACATTTCCCTGGTGAGCCAGGTTATGCCCAAGTTGATTCGGCTTCAACAAATTGCTTGCCCTCCAAATGTGATCGGAGAGAATGCGTCCAAAGACAGCAGACACAAGATTGATTGACTAATTTGGGTTGATAAATATTCATGCCAATACGATATGCAAATATATATATTTTACCACTTTGGGTTTTTAGGAAATATCATTGAACCATAAATAAATAAATGCGAGGTGTTGCGATTAATAAAATGTAGATTTTGCACAAGATTTAAATGGGAGTCTTCCTTGGATTATATATCCTTTACTTTAAAATATATATTTTCAGAGATTTGCTTCTTTTTTCCCCCAGTGATACATTACCCTTCCAATCTTTGATTCCTTTTGCAATAATCCATGAAATCACCTGCAATCAGCCACCTGCTGAAGAACCAAACTCAAAGGGGGGGCAGTCTCTGTGCTCATTTAACATCTTCATCGTCTTCATCATCTGCATCATCAGTAAAATCAACATACAGCTTCTCCAAACTGTCCTCCTTTCAATCTCCATCTCAACCTCTTTGCCATCTCAATCTTTTGTGTGTTCGTCTGCCTTTCAAAATCGAGGCGCCAAATGGCCATCAGTTTTTTTTCGGTTGGCTTTTGCAAAAGATGACTCTAAACTTTTGCGTGTAAAATTCCCCTCGATGATCATTAGTTGCTATTTGGATCATGACGTGTGTGTGTAACCTTTAGCAAAAGATATCTGCAGACAAGTGACTTCGTTTATTGAACTTCTTTATTTTTTTGTGCCCAAACTGAAATGCCAAAAGTGGAACTGGCCCAGAAAAAAATCATTATTTGTTTTCGATTGTAAAGAAAACTGCAGAGGCTAATGGAAAATACTGGTTGTCATTGCTCGTGTTTGTTTGAGTCAAGAAGAATGGCTCTGCTTTTTTTTTTTGGCTTTGGCTATTCACTGGCACTGGCCACCTGTTGAGGTGATTTGATGATGGGCTTCCCCCCCAAATAGGCCGAGGCTGAGCATATATTTTAATATGCTGCACGCATGCAAACTGCCCATTTGCTGGGAGTGTAGAAAGTTGATTTTGGATTTGGATGCCGATTTTTATTTCAATTTTGATTTGATATATATTTTTTTTAGTTAGCCCACCGAAAGTTCCAAACTGTTTTTGGCAGCCCTGTTTTTTTTTTGGTGCTTTTTGTTTGACAAGGAATGCACCTTTCACTTTGAGTTCAATTATTTCCTTGCTGGCAGATGCAGCGGGAACTCAGGTAAAAAAAAGGAAAAACTTTTGCAATTGAAGACGAGTTGCCAGTGGCCAGTTTTTCGATGTGAATGTACTTTGCGGCGGCGACACACGAATTCATATCTCGGAATGCGGTTTTCAACCGCAGACAATTTTCTGTACATAGCGCGTACTCGTACTCGTGGTCATCTCTTGTATTTAATTTTAATTAAATCTTGCCCAAGTGGCCGGTAGAGTATCTCGAACTGCACGCATTCCCCATGAATATTAATGATGGACCGAAATTGCTCGGATGTCGATTAGGTTGACTGGGGGGGCTGCCTAATAATTTGCGGTGTTAACATGGCTTTTTTCCCTCTTAATTATTTGACTTTTCTCCCGGGCAGTAGAGAAGCATTACGCAACATTTGAACTGAGAGAGTTCAACGCGGTTCCGGCTGCTGGCCAAGTTTGTTTAATTTATGCGAGGGTTACCGATTTTGTTTATTTGATTTTTATTTATTTTATGCAACGACCTTGCTCATCGCTTAGGTCGTCAACGCGCAGCAGGTTAAGTAATTAAAAGTGGGACATAAAACGGCGACAACGACTGACCGCCCTCAACAGCGGCGGTAGAAATGGTTTTTTGGAAATGGAATTAATGTTAGTTAATCATTTGATTGGTTTTTTTGTTTTAATGCCGCTGCTGCTGCTAAATTAGGATTTGCCTTTCGCTGATGTTGCTACTGCCGCATCGCGTTCGTTGCCTAAGTCTTTCGTTTCGGTGCCTCCTTTCGGTGGCATAAATATGTACATATATCCACAATTGTTTTCAGCAGGTGTCGATGGAAAAATACATATATACCTGGGCCGTGCCTGGTCACTCGTGTCTTGCCAGTGCTAATTTGCCTGGTTTTGTCGTTGTCGTTTGCATAACCCGCTGTCACTGCCCCGTCATACGCAATATTTGTTCGATTGCATTTCAATTCACTCATTACTCGGTAGTTTGCAATTGACACATTGCACAGATTGCAAAAAAATATGGATAGATAGATGGAATTGAGCTGTTTGTGTCTGCTCTGTCACAATTGATTTTGCGCCCTCATTTGAATGAGGAAAAGCCTGCAATCAACTCGAGAGCTGCTGCACAGAGACCTCTCTTTATTTTTGGAGTGGTTTGGACAACTTTTACATTTTGTTTGGCATGCAGCAGAGGCAGCAGCAGCAGCAGCATCATCATCATCCCATTCCTCCCATCATTATGCAGATCAGCTCACGCATAGCGACTCTAGGTCCAAGTCTGAGTCTGAGTCCGCGTCCAAGTCCCACTTCCCACACCCGCTGTGAGGAGGGACATGGGGCACGCACACGAAAATGTTGCCACTTGTCATCGGCAGGTGGACCTTCTTCAGCTGACCGCTTTCACGGGGCCCATCCATGTCACGCTGGGGTCTCTTCCAGCTCCTCCATATACACGGAAAAATAGCATCCGAATTGGTCGTTAGTTTGGCATTTTTTCACACCAAAATGGGTTTTATCTTTTTTGGCATATCAACATGGCATTTATAAAACTGAATTATTCCCCATTTTCTCCTTTTGTCTTGTATATGCCAATGATAAATTGATTTTGCATTTTTAATTCGAAAGAAAATGTATGTAATTTACGATTTAACATGTAATTTAGATGGTAGATAGGATGGCGACAACAAGGGACTTAAATTATAATTAAATTAATACAAACTAAGGAGCAATAATGGGAGTTATCTTGGTATTTATAGAAATATTACTTTAATGAAATTAAAATGGGGATTTCTTTTAGTTTTGGAAAGTTGGAGATATTTTTTTTATACTTACATATATTTTATAGACTGTTTATATTTTATAAATAATCTTAGTTTGGAGAACTACAACATAAATAAATTAATAAATAAATAGTAGTATCATATTTCATTAAGTAATTTATATGATTTATAATAAAGTTAAGTAGCAACCCCCTGAATATCATTTTTTTAAATAAATTTAAGTTAAAATGTAACTTTAAAATCTAAAAATTGCTTTAACCTTTTTATTATTCATGTCTTCATAAATCATTGAATTTTTCCCCGGTGTACATTTAACCCGCCAAAGCAGCAGCAGCAGAAGAAGGCATAAAAACACTTTCATTTTTCATCTCATTTAATAATTCATCATATTTTTCACCTTTTGTTTCTCCGCACCGTCATCGTTTTGGGCCACCCCGCCCGCTCCTCCCTCCCTCTCTCGATCTCTCTCGTTTTAGCCTGGTCTATATATTATTTTTTTTGTGGCGGCGTGTCGCTTACTTCCGTTTTATGGGTTTTTTGCTGGCGCCTTTGGGTGCTAGTCGAATGCCACTTCTAAGACACAATGAAGGCGCCGGCTAAATGTTTTTTATTTTCGTACATGGCTTTTTTGGTTTTTTTACGCCATTTAGTTCGGGCTCGCACGCCAAGTTTGTCGCTTGAGTCTTTCGTTTTCGCAGGCGGCGTTATTTTCTTTCGTTTGTTGAGTCTCACATTTTCTACAGCGCTCACTTCCTTTCCTCGTTCCTGCCACGCGGTCGCGCTACAGTTATTCGATTTGGACAGCTGCCTGTCCCCTCCCCCCGCTTAAGACTTATGCAACCTTAGTCTGGGTTTTAATTATAAGGATTTACCCGATTGTTGGCAATTTCGCGCGAAAGTGACGCATTATTTACATCCGCTATGGGTTTTCATGATATATATTTTTTTGCCTCTTTTTTTGGTAAATGGGAAATGATGTCAGTTACGGTTTTATGGCATCTCGGCTCTAATGTTCTCAGGCATCTCATTTCGGGGGACATTAAACATTTTTTTGAGCAATTTTTGCAACACTGCGAGACAGACGTTAGGCTAATTGGTTGCGATTCTTGGCCAAATGTAAAGGTGGTTCACACCGCGATGACTTTCAGAATAATAATGCCATGTCACAGGCTGATTGTCTGTCTTGGCCAACCGCCATTAATTCACAGGCAACTAACAATGGCAGATCAACTGGCACATATCATAACTGCTCATCATCAAGAGCGGACGAGATGCATGTGATGCATGCAACAACCCCAGCGACTTGAGACACCGAAGCAGGCCCAAAAAAAGACAAAAATAAACACTATTTATATGAGAACTTGCCTGGCAATTTGTCAGTTGCAATTTTTTGTTGGCCAGATTTCACTGAGGCCAGAAAACGTGCCGCTTGTTAACAACCAGAGTCGTTGCTGCTGCTGCTGCTGCTGCCACTCTTGGCGCACTTAGCCACATGCCACAAGTTGTTAGTCCTGCGGTCGGTCAACTGGTTGGTCGCTTCTTTTTCGGCCATAATCGGTTGCACAACAGCGGTTAGAGATGTGCCAAGTCTCTGGCTCTGATTTACACTTGCCCACTAAACAGCGTTTGCCTCCCCGTCTTCGGCCATTTCATTAATAAATTTTTGTCTTGGCCCGGATTGCGTAATTCTTTTACTTTTTGTGACGAGGGGAGGAAAACTCCACACCGGCTGACAACTCAGATTTATTGGCTTGTAAAAGATTTTCGTTATGTTAATGTGCGAGTTCAGCAGCTGTCGAGTATTTTGGGTTTTGGCTCTCGGTCCCTCGGCCTGGAGATGAATTTTGATGGCTTTTGTAGCTTTGGCTGTGTGTAACTTTCTCCCATTGTTAGCATCTTTCTTTTCATGAACTGCTTTTGCCTGTTCGCGCTGTCGATGCTGATGTTGATTTGATTATTTCTTTATTTTTTTCCCTCCAACTGTGTTGTATTTTTCACTTTTTTTTTCTACATTTTGTTGTTCATATTTGGCTTTGTTTTGGCAAATCTTTGACATTTGCTCATTGTATGTGGTCAGCAGAGTGTGTGAGCCGTTGGCTTTCTTTGACTACCGAGTTGGGTGTAGGTCAGTGTAAATATATAAATATATATGTGACAGTTTCTTTAAGAGGGAAGTGACTCTTGGTTGGATAATCGCTTTGTTTGTGTGGGCCCCAGATATTAGCATATATGTCACAGACAAAGGTTATGCCATAACCCCTATTCAAACATTGTATTCAAGTGGCCAAAATAAAAAAAGTGAGTGTGACATCACTGCATCTCAGTATACCTGAAGACTGCACTCATCCCCCGTAATAATTGCAATTAAGATAGCATCATTAAGCTGTCAAAATGTGTGTTAAAAATGAGTCAAAACAAAGGCTAACACAGGCTGTCTGTAGGGCTGTCAAAACACGATCTCACAGCTTCCGTTTTGACATGACACTTCGGACGCAAAAAGGGGAACTCTGCCCCTCCTTCCAAAGACTAGACAATGCGACAGATGCCATAATCAGCAACGACGAAGACTACAACTGCCGTGAGATCGCGCATACGCCACCGATTGACGGAGATCAACTGGGCCAACTCCGTAGGAGTGGGTCGAGTGTGTATTATTTTCACTTCACTTACGGCCCAGCCATCAAAATGTGTTAAAGTCGCGAGTGCGAGTGCGACTCGTACTTGATTACAGGCAAGACTCGATAACTTGAATTAGTTACAACAAGAAAGAAGTTTGTTTACTTTGCGATATGATCAAGAAATCGAATGGTAAATCAATCATAACTAAGTCAAAAATTCATCAATTTCAGTTTGGAAAGCAATTAGTTGCTGGATTTTATTAGGTTAACAAAACTGCATACTCAGTTTAAAATTTAATACAATTTTTTGTTATATTTTTTAACGATGTAACCCTTTATAAAATTTTCAAGAATTTTGAAAAATTTAATTTTTTCCCGGACAAAGCTAGATTGATTCGCCTTTTGATGCTGATCAAGAATATATATGATTTACAGGGTCGTAAATAATCCTTCACTGAGTTTATAGCTTCTGACTAAAGTTATAATACCCTGAGGTTATAATAATAATGATATCATAAGGTTAAAAATCAATATTTGTGAATAATTTATATTTAACTTCGACTGTTAACTTTGAGTTTACATCTGCAAATATCTCTAATACAAATTGCTGCATCATTCTAAATTAAGTAACTAGCTTTAAATAACTATAACTAACTATAAATAATAAAGGAATTAATTAGAATATAAATGCATAGCTAGCACAGCTAATCTAGACCTAAGCCTCCCTCATATAGAATCAACTTAAGCATGAAGGATCGAAGGGTAATCACTATCACCACACTATCACTAGAGATGTTAACAGCGGGACGGCCGCGGACAGAATGAGGGCAGAGCGGTGGTAGTGGCTCTATTTATACTATCCGAGTGAAGAGAACAGAGAGAGTGAGAGCGAGAGAGAAAGAGGTATTTCTAGACAGAGGCAGGGAGAGATGGAGAGTAACAGATAGCTCAAGAGATATATAGAGAGGGATGGGCATACCGAAAAACAAGCATTTAAAGAGAGATAGAGAGAGAGACGGGTAAACAACCAGATAAATATTACAATAATATATTATTACAAGAACAGAACTTCCGCACGCCAAATTCCATCTAATCTGAGAATTTTAATTTTAGTCAGAAGCTTGTTACGTAGTGAAGGAGTACTTTCCCACCCTATAAATCATATATATTCTTGATCAGAATGAACAGCAGAATCGATCTAGCTATGTCCGGGAAAAAATTAAATTTTTTCAAAATTTTGACATTTTTATCGTAAAAATTCTCAAAAACTGACAAACTATTAAATTTTTTAAAATTATAGACTGAGTATGCAGTTTTATTAACCTAATAAAAACTGAAATAGGACTGCTTTCCGAAATAAAATTAAGGCATTTTTGACTCAGTTAAGAGTTTTTAAAATGTTAATTTGTTTTAAAAATTATCTTATAACAATATATGTTTGTATCCTAACATTCAATAAAATATTAGTTAAATAACATCTACTCCAAAACCCAATAATTTTTCATATTTTCAGTGGCTCTAGGTACTTCTTATAGAATCTCCACTGTAACTAGATACAAATGAAATGTAAAGCGCCCACACAAACACACACAGTCTCTGTTTTCGGCCTGACATTTGCAGTCCAAATGCAGTTTTTTGGAAAGTTTCTTTTTGGTGAAAAATTCAAGACCGAACGCGGCGTCACAGAATTGAGTTTTCCTTTTGTCAGCTTGACATTTTGGCGTGGGCGTGGCCAGAAAGCAACTCTCGCGGTCAATTGAAATTCGTCGCCGCACTTTAAGCCAACTTTCACGGTCTGAGCCGACCGAAATTCCGGGCTGCCTTTCTGCCTCCAAACCGATGACTCAATGGCTTCCAGCCAAAAGCTAAAAAAAATAGCATAGCTGATTAACCATATCGCAATCCGGCGAATCGCGCGGATTTAAAAGGCCAAAAACGAAGCTTGGGGCCGAGCCTTGCCTTTAACCCGTCAATTCTGTGGTCAACAACTCAATCCCAGCCACTCCATTTCCATCTCCATCTCCATCTTCAACTCTGGGCCTCAACTTGACATTGACCCAATGCAAAAGTGAAAAATAAAAAATAGACAAGCACGTCCACAATTTGTTGGGCTAATTTGTTGGGGCTTCGTTAACGCAGGCAATGTTCGAGTTTATTGCGTTTTTAATTCGCCTTTTTTGGCATTCACCAATTTGTTTGGCCATCTTCTTCTATTTGGGCCGGTAAAAGTTTTTTTTGGCATTGCCTTTTGTCCGGGGTCTCGACCTTGTCCACGGAAATATCAATTAAAATATTTGTTTTCAGGAGCCATATGTTTATCTCCAAGATTTATGGCACGCCGCTCTTTCGACAATTTCCCCCGAGTGATTTTGCGCCTTGTAAGCTGATTGGTATCTTTCCTACTTTGGCTATGGCCTAATCCCACTAAATTTAAGTTCCACGAATATTTAATTAAAATATTTTTAGCTTTTTGGCATCAGCGTTAAACTAATCTTAAACTTTCTAATCAATTTGCAGTTGGCGCTGACGCTGTTGGTCATTGGAGCCACAGCGACTGCCTCATCCTCCAGCACAACAGTTAAGCCAAAGACCGGGACTAAGCCAACGAAGTCTGAGCCAGAGAAGGCCACCAGCATCAAGCAAACTTTGCCATCATCGGCGCCTTCTTCCAAGGTGACAACTACCAAGTCTTCCAGCTCTGGCTCCAGCTCAACCACGCGCCAATCGAAGGCTCTGAGGCCAGGAGACAACCGTGGAAAGAGGACTCTCTATGACTTTGGTAATCCCGGTTACCTGTATCCCGAGATAGCCAGTCGGAGAGCGGGTTATGTGGACAACACGGCTAGCTACTATCCCCAGACGGGCTACTATAATGGTCAAAATGCCATAGGTAAATACAGAGGATATACCTAATTAATTCGATATAATCCAACCCTACTTCCTTTCCAGCTCAGTATCCCAGCAGCAACTTTGGACCCTATCCCCAGTATCCTCAGTACCTGGAGGCTCCTGAACCCATTATAGAAATTATTATCAAGGATGCAAATGAGACCATAGCCGAGGAGCCTGCCCAGCCCATTGTGACCAAGAAAAAGAAGAAGAAGGAGAAGGTGCATGTGTTCTATGTGAATTACAAGAAGGATCAGAACAATAAGCTGCATTTGGAGTCTCCCATTGCTTCCCTGAACAACGATGACAACGAGGAGGAGGAAGAAGAGGAGGAAGTGATCCAGTATCCAGTCACTCCCCTGCCTCCCCTAAAATCAACCACGCTGCGCACCATTATCCATCCCGACTCTGAGAAGTTCCACAGCAACTCCGGCATCCATGTGTCCTTTGGGGCAGAGAACAAGCACCAAACTGGACACATTCTCGAGGAGCACGATGCCGAGAGCATTCAGCGACAGGTGGTGGCCTTGCCTCCATCGGTGGCCGGAAAATCAGAGAGCAGTTACCTCGGCAACACCCGTGCAGACTACGGAAGGGAGAACAACTTTGGCCGGAGTCCCGGACCCATTTCGAACCTGCTCTTTGGCAGCAACTACCAATCGCAGGGTCTGAACTACCAGCAGCACCAGCAACAGTTGCCCACGCAACATGGCAACAACAACTACTTTAGGCCACCCTCAGCTCTGGTGGGTCCACCTCCCAGCTACCCCAAGCCAACGCAGCAGCAACAGCAACAGGTGCAGCAGCCACATCGTGGTAGCATCACTCAGCAGCAACTGCCTTCGACCTCCTCGCAGAGCATCTTCAACAAGCTGGTGCAGCAGTCGCAGTACTACATCAACCACAATCAGCAGTACCAGCCACATCAGCAGCAGCAGCAACAGCAACATCAGCAGCAACATCATCAGCAGCAGCAGCATGTACCGCAGCAACACCAGCAACAGGAACCACAGCAACAGCAGTATCAGAAGCCGCCACACAAGCAAGTCCAGGTGCCATTCTTCCCCACAATTCCGCCAAAGAGCGTGACTCCGGCGCCATATCAGCCCATCAAGTTCCGTCCCACGCCAGCGCCCGCTCCCCAAGTGAAGCCTCTGCCACTGCCCGTCAAATTGGATAATGCCAACTACCAGCAACAGCAGCAGCAGCAGCAACATTATCAGCCGCAGCAGCAGCAAAAGTTGCCACATCAGCAGCAATCCTATCAGTTTGTGCGACAGCCGCAGTTCGTGCAACAGCCACAGTTCACGGTGAGGTCACCAACTCCTCCGTCGGAGTACTACACTCAGCAGAAGCAGCAGCAGTCGCAACAGGTGCATCAGCAGCAGCAGCACCACCACCAGAGCAGTCTTAACTATTTCGACATCAAGCCCTCCAAGGAAACAGAGCTGCTCAAGTCCATACCCAAGTTCGAGCAGCACATCACGGAAACGGTACAGAATCCCATTGCTCATCATCAGCAACAGCAGCAGCAACAGTATCAGCAGCAGCAACAGCAACAGCAACAATTTGCTTATACCCGCAACGAGGTGATCCATGATGTGCCTGCTCCCAACCTGGGACCAGCAGTGCAGCAACCCGTTTCCGGTCACTACATCACAGCCAGTTCATCCAATCTCCAGCAGCAGCAGCAACAGTCGCACTTCTCCAGCTTCCCCAGTGAAGCTCCTCCACAGGCTCCCATCTATGCAGAGTCCACACATGGCCAAAAAGTTATGGTTGTGACACCTGTGCCTCCTTCATCGAACTATGTGACCTATAGCCAGTACACACAGTCCACCAACGAGCCAGTGGTCCATGTCAATGCCCAGTCTGCCGCTCTGCAGGCTCAGGCCAGCACCAACTTTGCCCAGCAGCCCAGGCAGCCAGCCGTCTCCCAGATCACTTCCCAGTCTGGAGATAACTCACCCTTCAGTGTGTCCACCTTCCACTCGGATGTGTTCAAGGAGCTGGAGCAGCGCAACCAGAAGGAGCATCATCAACAGAGTGTTAAGGTAGCTGCTCCAGTTACTGTTGCCGCTCCTGCTCCCGCTCCCACTCCGGCTCCAGCCTCGCCTGCCTCTTCTCCCAATGGCAAAGCCTCGCAGACCCTGCTCCAACTGCCCGACGAAGTGCCCGAAGATCTTCGCCAGCAGCTCTTCTCCTCGGGCATCCTGAACAACGCAGACATCTCAATTTTGGATTATGATAAGCAGGGAGACATTGCCCTGGAGAATCTGCCTGCGGAGCACCTGCAGCACTTCTATGGAGCCGGCGGTGGTGCCCAGATTGCCGAAACCAATAAAGTGTTGACCGTGGTCAAGCCCAATGGCGACAAGGTGGCTCTCAGTGAGAAGCAGCTGGACCGTGTCAAGCAGACCAACTCCCTGCCCCAGAAGCAGAATCTGGATGTGAAGGTGGTGCGTTACGATGCCGAGCAGGGTCAGAGTGTTAGCGAGAAATATGTGCGAACGGATGCCACTGTGGTGACTCCCGTGGATCTCGCAGAGCGTCAGCAATACAATCGTTATCTCCCACTGAAGATCAATGGAGCCCAGTTCCCCATCCCAGACAGCGAAGAGTTGCAGGGCAAGAGGATTGTCAGTGTTGTGGTCCTGGCTCCAGTGGAGGCCCAGCAGAATCCCAGCAGCAGCGAGGCACGGAGTGCGGACAGCAAGGAGGTCAAGTTCCTGGGCGGTGAGCTCATCAAGACGCTGGTGAAGAAGCCCACCAGGGACAACTTCAAGCGCTGGCTGGAGAAGGAGGCGCGCACGGACCTGGACCTGCAGTCGGTGGTGCTCCTGGTGGCCAAGTGAGTGGATTTAGTTAAGAATAAAATGACTTAGATTATGAACCAAATCTTTGTTTTCATTTTCCAGATCCACTGACGCATCTGCGGAGCAGGAAATCTTTATGTACGACATCGGAACGGGCAGCATTAATCGTCTGAATGGAGAGCTCTCGAGCACGTTCGTCAACGTGGCCGAGGAGAATGCCAGCAGCGAGGATCTGGAGCATGCCGCCACCCTGGACCAGAGCTCCCTGGAGTCCATGATGCATCTGCGTCGCAGATAGACATAGCATCGAGTCGAGTCCACAAATACAAATGCCATTATTAGCTACTCAACTAGACATGATCATCGTGCGCCCCTGAAAGATCCCTCCCCTCTCTATTGTTTTTACACCTCCCTTAGTTTTTCTCTAATTTTCCTAAAACTCTTTCCTCAGGTTGCACATTTTCTGCACAAACAAAAACTAACAAAAAAAAAGACAAGAAAAAAGATTATCACGTTCCATTGATCACGGCATTGCATGCATCCAATCCTCTCGTAGTATTTCCATTTTGTAAATATTCTATGCTGATGTTACAATTATCATAATTTAAGTTAATTTACGTACAAATATTAAAATAAATATGAAAAATAAATTAAAGTGCTGTGGGGGGTTTCTTTATTAAGGGAGGGTTTTTAATTTTATGAATTTCTGCAAGATTTAAAAATATACCTTAGTATACTTTGCATCTGTACTTTTTATAAATTATTTGTGATTTATCATGGAAATGTGTGAGGTATTTCTCTTTAGAAACCATTTTACATGGACTTAACTCATAATTTTTATAGTTTTAACTACGTTTTTAGGGATTTGTAGAACAATTTAAAATTTTGTTAAATATCATAAAATATTTTAGATTCATTCTCATAACATTTTAGTACATTTGTAAGGTTTATATTCTATTTTTTCATTAAAAACTTTAATAACAAAAAGTAATGCTGTAAAAATTAAGTAACTTACATACGTTAGTACCAAAATAAACCCAAATCTATTGACGTCGCCACTGTGCTATGTAAAAATAATGTAAAATCCGTTATACCCGAATAAAATCTTATAAGATTTAGCCAGAAAATTCAAAATATCTACAAAACTATTAACAAAACAAAACATTTTTAAATTCCGCAAAATCTCACTGTTGTTTACTTTAATTTCCAGGTAATTCTATGCTAGTCACTTGGCCTGCTTTACGTTGTTTACCACTTGGCTAAGATCGAAATCGATTCGATGGAGCCCCCTAATTTAGGCCAAGGTTAGCCGGTGGCCACCGCAGTCTCCGTCTCCGAGCGTCTGAAGCCAAGAAGTTAAACGTGTCTCGATAGCAGGACAAGATTTTGCAGCGCCCACAAATCACACGCATACGTGACCCAGCTAATATACGATATTGTATATACAGATATATCGGGGCTGTGGTCCATGCGGTCGACGTGACTAGAAGCGGTCCAAAGAGCGTTAGCCTACAAGCCTTAAGAGCGAGCGGCTGAGTCGCTGCCTCTCTTAGGCTTAGGCTTAAGCTGAGAGAGCAGTTGCTTGGCCGGTTGGTTGTCAGTTTTTTGTGTGTGCTTTGGGTATGGCTTTAACCGCTTTTTTGTCTCGGTAAGTGCAACAAGTCGCTGCGACTATAATTACATGCAGTTTATTTTTAGCATCGCCCCTACGCACGGCAGCAGCAGCAACAACCACAAACAGCACTTGCCCCGGCAGCGACTTGCAACTTGCAACTAGCAACTCGCGTCGACTGGGCAAACAGCCAAATGCAGCGATAACAGCACAAAAACTGCAGCACATACTCGTAAAGCGAAAACATTAAAGACTTGAACGGGAGTAGATGAAGCCGGAATACTCTTCGGATTGAAGAGTTTAAGCTTCCTTTGGAGTTTCACTCAAAATGTTTAATAAACAAAAATTAAAGTTTTTTTTTTTGGATCTGGAAAGTGTGCTGCTGCCTGGAAGGTACTCAGAAAGATGTGTATATGTTTTTACATACTAATCGCGCTGCTCATACTACTCGTAGTAATAGTGGGTACTCTGACCTTAACCCGTTAATGATTGGCCTTTAAAACTTGGGAAGAATGGAGTTGAAAGTACGTGAAATACTGATTGTGGAATAAACAAACTTGAATAATTTTTATCCTCATTTCTTTTTGGTAACTGTGCAAGGTTTTAGTTTATCAAGATACCCTCTGGAAGGGTATAAATGAAGCCTGGTTTGTTCACATTGCCCAAACTATGCTACTTATATACCGGCTGAATCGACGTTGCTGTTGCCAAGAGTGAGCCAGTCACAGTTGTGGCTTGAAGGGAGTTCGAGGGGCTGGCAATACGTTTTTGAATGTTTATTTGACTTATGCAATGTACGAGAGTTTTTTCAATATTTATTTTTTGCAGCCAGACAAATAAAGCCCAAGACCCAAGTTGTTAAATCTTTCGAGATAATACCAGGTAATAAATTCCGGAATATGGCCGAAAGTTATTATTATAAATTACTTGGTTTAACTGAAGTTTTAAAAACAACAGTAGTAAAAACAACGGTTAATGGCTCTTAAGACCTGCCTTGTTTATCTAAAAATTAGGAACTTGAACACTATTCTTCGGTGTTTAAAAGGTAATTATTATTCATCTGCCAAAAGAATCAATGATTTTTATCGCGTATTCCTGTTGACCTAAACTCTCGTGTCCCTCATCTCTCTTTCGCTGACTTTAAAATTTATGGGGATCAACGGGGCTTTAACCCACTTTCCCAATCCGTTGTTGGCCTTGGAGGCGAGCGGGTCCTGTCATCTGGCCGGGCTTAAGGTAAACTCCCAATTTGGCCCACATCCACCAGAGAATTGGGATGTGGGATATGGGATATGGGATGTGTGGGATGCAGAACTGGGGAACATGTGGTGTGCATTCATCTCTCATCCGTTGAGCTGTGTTTCGTGCTCATCCCTTTTGACACATGTTGTTTGAACTGCTTTCGATTTTTTTCCATAGAACGTCTTTTGCTGTAATTTTCGTATTCTCTGTCTTCCCACATTCAATGCGTTCGTCGCCTTGAGTTTTTTTTTCTTTTTTTGGTTTGTTCGTTTGCCTTTTCCAGCTGATTTTTGATTTTTTTTTAGCACACTTTGTTCTGCTTCTTTCGTTCGCATATCGACTTGACTCGTTTGAAAATTGGGTTACAGACCCACAACTCCCTCAGCTCCAGCCAAAAAAATAAAACAAGAAAACATACGAATGAAAAAAAAAACCAACAAGAGGGCCTGCAAAAAAATATAGCACACGGCCAGCAATAACAACAACAACAACAACACGAACAACGACAAATGCACAAAACAAGCGAATGCAAAAATCCGTTTGACGCCGTAAGCTCCATGAGTCAGAGCAGAGCGCCACAGTGAGCACAAACGGTTGCACTGATTGCTGCTGATGCCAGTTGTTGTTTTTCCTCTTCTGCTTCTGTCATTGGTACATGGAGGAGGGGAGCCTCCCCCCCCATCACTCCGCATCCATCTGCTCCTTCAATCCTCAGTGCTCCTTCACGATTTGCGATTTCTCTTTTAGACCGCTTCCTTGGCTCGTGTCTTGGCGTCCTCTTTGTTAGTTGATTTGCAGCGTTACAGTTGTTTACGAGCCTTACACGGCAAGAAAAGGTATTCATAGATCAATGATTTGGGGGATGATTTGTACCAGAATATATAAAGAAAGAATAAAAAAAAAAGTAAATCCAAAAGAATTTTTCCCCAAAACCAATAATAAATTATTTATATTATTTAGTGTTTATTTTATTAATGATTAATACCTTACAGGGCGTAAGTTTTTTATTTCGAGAACATTTCCACTAAATTTTTGATTTCAGCAGATTTTTAAACATAATTAAAACAATTGGCAAAAAAATAATATTACTCATACGTAGTGTGGTCTCACCAAAATTATTATTTTTTTTTTTAAGAGGGATTAGTATTGCCCGAATTCGTTAACTGGAACTATAAAAATAAATTGCAATTTTAATTAGCTTCGAATTAAGATAAATATTAATAGTTCGAATAGTCCAACATGTCGTATACGTGATTTTAGGGTAAACATGGGAATCTTACGAAATGACTAAGATCTAAAGTAAATAACCATTCCATTGCTTCGGGCTTAATTAAGTTCTAGCTGAAATACTCTATAATAAGTGGTGAAGTAAGGCTTTTTATTATTAATTTAGTATTTTTTTAATCTAGTTATATTTTATTCCCGTGCAATTTATGTTTAATTTCAATATAATTCATTTAATTCTTTTGAACATACCGAAATTATTTCTCATTGTGTACGTGTTACTTTGTTTTTCTGCACTCCGTCTCTCGCTAAGCTTAAAGAGAGCTTGCCGCGGCCAAAGAGAGCGCCGACTCGAGCTTCCGCCTCTCTTACTCGCTCTGCCTCAGATCGCGCTGGAGCTGTGCTTGGGCGGTGGACGGCCCCAAGCAAGACCAAGCTCCACTCAATTCCAAACGATCGGTCGTCGCAGCGAGTTCGCGAGTTCGAACAGCGGCGCACAGGTAGGAAAAAAGTGGAGAGCAGCAAACGGCTTCGGCTACGGTTTCGGCTCCTTTTCGTGGAAGGGCGCGCGCGTGGAGCTGCCCGAGTAACGGATCCCGGAACGGGGGATCCTACGCGGCGAACAACTGGCTTTAAGGCGGCAAACCAGATTGCGCAATTAACCGAGTGAATCGCCAAATAGGCAACGGCTTTTGTGTCTGAGGCGCTGAGTGAAATTCGATAGGAGAGGCAAAGCCAAACGACAAAAACGACGCGACGATCAACGGCACTGCAAAGCTGTTTTTAAAACAAAAAACTGAACTAAAAAGAAATATACGACAACAGCAACAAAAACAAAACCGACAGACAGATAACCAACATGGCGACCGCCGCCTGCGTTCGCTGCGCCCAGCAACAACAACAACAACAGCAGCAAAAGCAACAAACACAGCAAAAACAGGCGCAGGCGCAGCAGCAGCAGCAGCAGCAGCGACGCAACAGCGGCAGCCATCGGATTCTGCAAATTTACGGAGCGTGGGCGCTGATCACGCTCCTGGCCGCCAGCGTTGCCATCGTCCAAAGTGCAGCAGTCTCCTCCTTCGGTTAGTGCCCCCCATTGACAAAACTTAATGAAAATCGTATCGAATTCCAAGAAAGTCCCCTGAAAATCCCAGGGAAGACCCTAATGAAAATGTGCCTGGGAAAAGCAGTCTTGTTTTAATATACATTTTTTTTAATCAACCCAACTCCTCCTCATTGTGTGCAAAAAGTTTGTGAGAAGAAGGTTTGCCTCCTCAGCCTAAGGTGGTGAAATGCTGAATGGGTGTTGGAGGGGGGAAGAATTGCTGGGAAGAATTGGTAATTGTGGCGCCTCAAGTGCTCGTCTATATAATTGCCATATTTCGAGGAACTGGTGTGTGAAGTATCGGGTCATAAGATCTGGCCAGAAAAAGAGGTACTTCCCCCGCACACACAGCCACACTCGAGTTCAAAACATCGATTTCACTTCTCGTTTTTACAGTTGATCTTCTCAAGATTGAACTTCCGCAATCTTGGATTGCCGTAAATCGAAGAAAGTTTGTCTGCAAAAGATAAATGCATTCGAGGTGTCCGGGTCACTTGAGTTGGCTCTGAAAAAAAGAGATATTTCCTCTGTAGATGAATTTTAAATTTTGTTTTCACTTATTTTGAACTCTGTGAACTTTTATAAATATTCATACAGCGGAAATTATTTCAAGACACTCAAGTTTTACTAAAAGTTTATATTACTTCCTTAAGCAATATTCTATATATTTAAGTAAGATTATTTTATATATTAATTTTGTATTTTAGCCTTACCTTTTGAACTCAATTTGCAACTCAAGTTTCTCCCAATTAATTATAATAGGTACTTAATTAAAAGTAGAAACTGGCCTTAAGTACCTTTGCTTTAATTACATTCAATTTAGCATTTATTTTATGAAATTCGAGTCTAGAATTTCTTTGCAACTTAAAATTTCTCTTAGCCTAAAAGAAATCTTATTTAAATAAGATAAACGACCTTTTTTAAATAGATATTACAGCAGGTAACTCTAATGTAAAGACCTCTAAAAGTCATTAGTTGTTCCGGTTGCGGGGTATTGACTGTAGTTACTGACTTGCCTTTCTAATCTCTGCTATTATGGGCTCTTTATTTTTTTTTTTAGTCACCCATCCCATATAGCCGTGGGTATAGAATACGCGCGTTGTGAACCACTGTCATTTGTTGTGTGTGCTTTTAATTTTATCACCGATTATTTGTGCTGTTTTCTGTTTGGGAAACCGGTTGTCGGTTCCCCCACACACACTCGATCTTAACCGCATTTGACCGATCCGATCCCGCCAAGCCTCGTGCACATGGTCTTGCCATCAATTTTGGCCAACAAAAAACAGTTTCGATTACTATGAATAAGCCACCTTGGGCCGCTGATAAGCGCGAGACTTTGTGAATCATTTGACTCTCTAGCTCTGGCCATAAATAAAAAATTATACAAATAAAACTTAAAATCAGCATGAAGCCGTAAATACATCACGCGGAAGTTTTGCGGCAAGATATTTTTTAAAAAACAATGTAAAGCTCATAAAAGAAAATACTTTTTCTCTGTGAAACTTGAAACAGAAATAAAAAACTAAAAAAACAAAGCGGAGAACAGAAGGAAAAAATAAAACAAAAACAGAAAACGCAACCCAACCGCCAGACGACCTCATTGAATACAGTTATGGCCCGAACAAAGAGCCAGATTGGCAAATCTCCACCGTTGCAACCAGGGGTTAACGTTAATGGTAACACATCAAAGTGAGGCCCAGTGATCTATAGGCCATAAACAGTACGGAATAAGTGGGTAATCCAAAGAGAAATTAGATCGTGTTCTACTTGATATTTAATGGAATATTTTATATAAAGAAAATGATAAATGAGTGGTAATTTGTTAAACAAATCATTTTGGTGGGATTGATATTTATTTGATCAAGTGTTATCAAAATGCACATGCCTTATTTATAAACAAGATATTAATGGAATTTCTAATGTGGCAAAAATAAGATAAATGGAATGCGTTTATTATGTTAATCAGTAAATGGAATTATCAAGTTTAAAGTAAACAAACTTTAATGAAATCAATAGTTATACCTTGTGAAAATAAGTGCTTAGCTTTTAGTTTTTCACCCAAAAATGAAATCCAAATTGAATGTCGCGAATCTTGATCTGGAATAGTGTTTACTTTATCCGAAGTTTTTGTTATTTTTTTGGCTAGCAGACAACAAAGCGGCAAGACCGCGACCACCAGAGAGTTATTTATCCAGCCATAAACATTCATATGTATATTTAGCCATGTACATGTTTGCAAACTGGTTTCCAGCTCTGTTTTTGCCGTTGCGCTGTTGTGAATATAAAATGGAATTAACATATGTTGCCAGCAGCCATCTGTGGATTGGATCGGATTGGATGGGATTGCGGAGAAGTTCCTCCAAGTATTCCGATTCTTACTACGAATATATAATAGTATATTGTAGCGATGTCATCTGGGTTCAATTAATTTACTCACCCAGCCTCGGTTTTTCAATTTCAAACAGCGAGAGCTCTTAATTAAAATGCAAATTGTCTTTAAACAAAAAAAGTACGAGTGGGAAAGCTGCCATTTAGTTGTAGCAATTTTCGGGTGGCTTCCAATTCTTCAAGAGCTTCTCTTTTCGTCTCCTTCCGATACTACTTTTTGCTGCCAAGTGCTGAAAATGGGTCTTTGATTTATGTATATGGCCATTAGGAGTCATGTTCAACTGGCTTTCCGCTGACTGGCTGGCCAGTTAAGCAGCAACAGTTGCCGTTAGGACTGGCAATGTGTTGCACGCAACAGCAGCGAGTTGCAAGCGGCAGCAGCAACTTCTAGTGCAACAATTGCCCAGTTGCCTGATTTCTTGTTTATTGTACAATTTATTTATTTTGTCGTTCTTTAGCCGGGGCACAAACAGACAAGAAACCGAGGCAGCAGCAGCAACAGCAACATGATGACATATTCGCTTGACCTATTAGGAAAATTGGCCAACGGGAAATGTAGCGCAGTGTCCAAAGCTAGCCGCACGTTCGTGTGTTGGGGGAAAAGTGGGAGAGATGGGAGACTGAGTGTGGAAAAGCGGGAAAGCGGGAAAGGTACGAGGCCGGAGGCAGAGGCACAGACAGAGAAATAGAGACAGCCACAGTGAGCAGGGAAGAGGGACAAGCACTTAACCCTTGCCATTCTGACTTTGATAGTTGACCCAATTTCTGTAGTTTCACAAATAAAAGTAAAGCAAATGGAATGATGAGCGGGAATAGTAGAAGATCAAATGCTCTATAAAGAGGGATTCTCAAGATATTGAAAGTATTTAAACAAGTACTGAATTTAATATTATTCTATCAATATTATTTAAAGCAAATAATTTTAGTTCTAAATATTTTATAGTGTTTTAATATCATTTTAATTTGATTATTTAAAGCATAAATAATATTTGTATTCACTTATTTTTCAACTAAATTCTTTTAAACTATTACAAACATTTTTCCTAGGAAGCTATAACAAAGCAAGCTTTTATTTATCATACTTTACAAGTGTTTATTGTTAGTTAATGATACCTTTTAAAAAGCTAAAGGTAATTTATATCCACTCACTAATGAATTAATAAACAAATATTTATAGATTTACCGTCTTAATTAAACACATTTGACAGGAGCAGGAACTAAGCACTCTGAGAGGGCTTAAATTCGTTGTAAAAAGGCAACACACACTCAAAACTAAATCAATTGCTGGCACTTGTCGACTTGTATAGATAAAATATCGATTCCCTAATTCGATTGTGAAACTTTCGAGCTTGTTGAAGGGTTTTTATGGCTTGGCGGACTCAACGGTTTTATGGGAACCCCCGGATTTAAGCGGAAGAGAAGAGTATAGCAAACTGCACTTGTAGACTGCTTTTTTTGTTTGTTTGTTTCTGTTTGTGCGTCGAGTGGCATTCACTTGGGGGTATATGCTATACGTGTGTGTGTGTGTGTGTGTGCGTGAGTGTTGTGTAATTTTTAACAACAACTTTTTTTTCAAGTGTCTTCCGCCTTTCCCTGCTGTTCTTTAAGCCCCGTACCAGAAAACCACGCCCCCCCTCTGGCCGCAGGCAGCCGGGCGTAATTATGACGAGTGAGCAGAATCCCCAGCATCCAAACATTCAGCCATCCATCCAGGCATCCATCCAGGCATCCATCCATCTAGCCATCCAGCATGCAACACGCGTCCGCATCGCGTGGCAGCCACAGAATTTATTATGCCCAGTCGCCACTCGAGAGAGAGAGAAGAACAGCAACAGAAACAGAAACAGAAGCTGAAACCAACATTCAGCCAGGCCCTCTAACTGCTTGACAATCTCTGCACGAGCAGTTGCAGTTTGCTCTTGGCCAAGTTCCGTTTTTGTCTAAATCTAAATCCAAGTCCAAGCCAACAGCAGCAGCTCACAACTGGCCCACTCGTTGGGGACTCTATATAGGCACTATAACTTGTGGATTGGCATTGACTACGCATTTTAATGTGCCCTTTTCAAATTGAAGTGGCTGCTGCTTGACCTACACACAGATACACACGCACACACGCACACACACACACACCCACCACCCATCCGGCCAAAGTTATATCTCGCGAGTTATCAGCCGATAAATAGAAGTAAACTGAGGGAAAAACTGTATTGGATTCTGTTGTAGATTTAGCTTTATAGAAAATATGGGTTATTTTTATAACCTTGAAGGGGATTATACTTTTAGTTGGAAGGTTTAAACTCGGTGAAAAAGTCATTGCCGACCCCATAAACCATATATATTCTTGATCAGAATCAATAGGCGAATCAATCTGTCTATGTCTGGCAAAAGTTTAATTTTTTTCAAAATTTTGTAATTTTTATAAGGGTTTTCATCATAAAAAATGTCAAAAATTGACAAAATCTCATAATTTTTTAAATTTTAAACAGAGTATGCAGATTTATTAAGCTAATAAAAATTAACATAGAACAGTTTTCCGAATTGAAATTAATGCATTTTTGTCTTGGTATTTGATACTTTAAAAACTTCGATTTAGCCATAAAATTAAGCAAACAAAAATTTAAATTTAAAATATATATGTTATAATATATTTGAAAAATAAGTTTTTCAGGTTTTGTGTACTATAAAACAATTTCTTTTAAGTTGTATATCTCTTCTAAGATCTTTGTGCTTCATTTTGTCATAATTATAAAAAAGGAAGCCACAAATCAATTACATTTTTAATAATTCCGCGAAATAATCAATCAAAATTAAACAATAAATACAATTCAGCAAGTAATGAGTTTCGCCTGAAGAAAGATTCATTATTAATTTAACTTCATCTAGAGAAAACATCGATTCCAATCAATATTATTACCTCAAGCACAAAGATTTGATTAATACATTTATAATTAATGTTCACATCTCATAGAAAATTAGATCAAATTCAGTCAAAAGTTCAATTTTTTTTTTTCGGTGTTCAAGAGCTTGTTGTAATTTGTTTTGTGTTTTTATGTTTGAGTGCCAGTTTCATTTGTTTTGTTTGCTGTTTGCCTGTGTTAATGTTTATCTGTATAATCGGGCCTGTTAACCTGACCTTGCCCAAAAACGAAAATGACGTAGCTCTCTTGGGCTTCAGGTACAAGTTTCAAGTATTTGCTTCTTTTATTTTGGACAGGGCCTAAGCCTACACTTTGGTTTTGGTGACTTTCCCTGGGAAAGCGTTCTGCTTTCCCCCAAAAAAGAGGTAATACGCTGAGCGGTTCTGCTCTGAAAAAGAACACAAATTATTAACGGCATATTTAGGGGGAAAAATTGGGTGGAACATTGGCCCTTTCTTTTGGGCCCGCTTGGCTGGCTTTTTGTAAATCGTAAACCCATTTCCATATGAACTCCACTACTCTTAGAGCCACCCCAAAAAACAAACAAAAACAAAACCCAGGTTGAGCATTAATTTAAGCCATATATGTGTAGCATTTTGTTGTGTGTTTGTGTGTGCTTTTAACCCAATTAGCAATGACGCTCCATTTGTACAGCTTTTGGCCTGTCCCTCGGAATATATTTTAAGCCTTAATCATTACTTAACTGTATGGAATTCATTGTATTACAGTGCTAATGGCTTTTCATTCTGTAACAATTGCGACTAATTGAAGATGCGGTTCGAGCATTGAATGGGTGTTATTTGTTTAACTTTCTCTAGAACAACTCAATCGATTACACATAATAATAGCCCCTATAAACTGTCCAAATGTCTGCCATTAATTGTAATGTAATGTAATTGAGTGCATTTGGCGAAACGATGATTGAAAGCAACTTCATACAGACGAAAAACGAACCAACTTGGCTATTAATGTCAAGTTCGAAATGGGAATTAGCTGCTAAATTGCACTCACACACATGATGATTATTGCGACTTGGGCGCGAGATGGAAATGCAAATTGTTTTTTACATGGGCAGCGAATAAAAATGTTTAATAGTGTACGCAAATGCTGTGTGGCAATTGTTGAGCAGAAAAAAAAGAAACAAGAAACAATTGAAAAGGGAAGTTAAAGTTTTATTTCAACGAAAGTTGAATGCTCTGTGGGGAAGGGAAGTTACTATAACTTGTTGTTATTATATCGATTCAGGAAAAATTTAAAAATAAAATGCCACATTTAGTTTAGTTTTAAAAGAAGTTATCAGAACTCTGTTTATAATACATCTATTTAGCAAAAATTCTTCAAAAAGTCTTGCCAAATTCCTGTAATCGTCAAGGTTAAAACTTTCTTTACTTGACTTTTTCAGTGCCAATTTTAATCATTTAATAAATATAAGCTTAAAGTGTACACAAATACATTTTTGTTGGTCTTAAAAATATTTAAAAAGCTTCTTAAAATATTCAAATTTAAATGTAACTACTCTGAAACATAATTTTTAATAACATATGACATGTTTAATACCTACTTCTCAAGATATTGCCAAGCACAGGAGATACATCGTCTCATTACATGTACATTAATTTTATTTTATAGTGTTAAAAAGAAAATACTTCTTATTATTATATTATTATTATACCCCATTGCAAGGGTATATAAAAAAAGAGCGAGGGCGGCTGAAAAGCTGCAAATGTGAAATATGAACACACACAATATGGCTGTTGCTGCAACATCCACATCTCGGGTAATAATATAATAATAGTGTACGTATATGTGGTGCAGTCACTGACCCAGAATATGGATGGATATATGGATACATGGATATATGTATATATAAAATATATACACAAAAGTAGTTTTCCAACACGAGCAACAATGTGAGTGCTGGTGTTTGTATTTTATTAATTGAAGTACTTAATAGTGGCTGTGCGAATCTTTAACCTTTGCCAGGCAGCAAAGTTCGAGATCGAGTGCAAAATAATTGAACAAAGACGAATACACTTGCGACTACTCTTGGCTGGTTTCAATTATTGTAGAATCTATATATCTATTCGCATTAATTGAATTTCGGAATATGAAATTGTATTTGTTTGGAACTTGGTTTCATCATCGCAAAAAAGAAAAAAGAGAGCGTGATAAGCACCTTTTGGGCGGCAATATAACCAACCATCCATCAATCCATCAACACAACCATTTCCATATCAATTCACACCAAATAACATATTTTTAGACCTGTCACATTGGCTTTATTTTTGTTCAAACGATGGTTTGGTTTATTTATTGATTGACAACTCGCGGATGTCGTCTGCATGCATATTGCGGTTAGTTGGTTACTTGATTTATTTTCTCGTACGAAACCACTCTTTGTTGTCCAAATTAGCGCCACTCTGTGAATTTGAAACCAAGGCATCTTCTCCATTAACTGATCTAAAGAAATCTCTTACATTCCAGGTGATCGCCATTCGCACCCAACTTTCAAGCCTCTGTGCAGTGTCCAGCATGAGCACTTCATCGAGAGCGATGGCAAGGAGTCCAGTCTTATTATTGAGCTCAAGCCAGGCTCCTATGGTGAGGAGCATCCTTCCTGTGCCCGCATCCTGAGTGCTCCGCCCAGCTATGGCTTCATAGTGCGCCTCATCCTGCCCAAGCTGAGGCACAGTCAACCTCAACCGGATCCGGAAACTACGAGTCCGGCCACAAATATAATGGCGGCTGCCACCAACTCATCTAAGCTAAGGAGGACGGCCAAATCGGAAGCTGCCATGGTCATGGGACAGACCAACTTAACGACAACTTCCCGGGTGGTTGGACGCAGTTGTCCGCTGAATATTGTAAGTGAACTTGGCTTTTAATTTCAAGGTTGTCTGAGGAATAGGCTATAGACTCTTGAGTTTAAGTTACAAGAAAATTTACGGGAAATAGAAAAACTTCCTATATACCAAGAGTAGGAAAAGTTATGTACCTGAAATACCTTTTAAAACCCCTCTTAAAACCCCTTCTTTTCTTAAAGTGTAGTTTGTACTCCGCTGATTAGTGCCAAGTTGCCATTTTCTGCACCTTCCTCTTGAATTATTTGCCAGTTTCTTTGATCCCATTCATTCAGCTTTAGGAAAAAACACACCACTCCACTGCGCATGCGCAGCACTCAAGTGTGAGAATCGGATTCAAAATATATAAAAAAGGTCAAAAAGTAAATTTCTACAGTTCAGAACACATCTTAAACTCAACAAAATTCTAGATGATTAAATCACAAATCTTACTTACAATTCAGGCCTCAAAACATAGAAATTATGCCTGAAATTACTACCAAGTTTCCATGGTCAATTCCATATAGTAACTATATCGATTATATAAAGTACTTGCAATTGACATTGTTACTTTTTTGTGGCTTTCCGATGAGACAGTTTGACATCTGAAATTGTCTCCAATTACCGGCAGGCAGGTAGTTTCCATGGGTGAGCAATAGCAAGGCAAGGCGAGGCGTAATTCGTCAGCAGCTGATCGTTGACATTGCCAAGGTGTTCTCGATTAAATAAGAAACTTTCCATTTAAAGTTCCCCCACTTGACATTGAACCAATGCTGGGGGAATGTTTCACTTTCTGCCAAAGCAAAAATAAAACAAACTCCGCACTAAAGTTCCCCTTTTTTGGGGATAGTCAAAGCTAGAAAAAGCGTCGTCGTATTTGCATAAGTGCGCCAATTTCTACCATTTGGGAGGGAGTTAATATACAGGGTACTTGGAGGAGATAGGGGTATATATGTGGGGGATAAGGATAGTGGAAAAATTGAGATAATAATATATATAAGCTATGTAAGTTTTATATCATAATTCGGGTTCAGCTTTAACAAATGCTCTTTAATCCCCTTCAGTGCTCTTTGTCACTGTGTAAACAATATTTATATTGATCAGAAATGTTTATTTAGTAAATATATACCTATACCAATTGTTTTTAAAGACTCAACACATGTGCTCTTAAAACCAATTACTTGTAAATAAAATTTCACTCAGCTTTATCAGTTTACCTTTTCTGGACTTGTTAGCCAGGAATTACCATAAAACCGGGTATCTCAAAGTCGGGGAACTCAAGCTTTGTTCCTTCTCCTCCGCTGATATTTTTTTTTTGTATTTGAAACACGTTTGAAACACGAATCATTTGGCCAGGAAAGCGAAACGCAGTAAAAGCAAAAAAGCAACACTTTCGGCAATTTTGCTCGTCGCGTCGCCATAAATCCATCGACTTGGACTGACGACTGAGACTGACTGACAGTTGGCGACGCCATAAAGGCAAAACTATGCTACTGGGAACTTGGAGAAGCTCGAGAATATGGAGACTCTAGGGAGTGGACACATATCCACATATCCACAATTTGCATGAAGCCTTTGCTTTGTTCTGTCAGGCGATGCAAATTGATGCGTTGGGGTGGAATCGCTTCCTAATGAGCTCGAGAGCTACAGAACCTAGGCTTGTAAATATCACTATGGCAGGCATCGTCAATCAATCTGTTTATTATTGTTTATATTATTTTCTTAAACGGGTTTAACCGTTTTTCTCAGTTAATTGTTGTTTACTACGCTTACAAAGCAGCCAAGTCTCCAGTTATTGAACCTGGGACAGAAAACACAAAGCGCTATGAACCCCATTCTCGTATCCATTGCTCTGTTTTGTATATATCAAGCACGTGAAACAGTAACAGCGCAAAGATATATATTAATGGATTTATTTTTATATATACCCACAAGTCGTAGATCGTCTCCCGCTGGTTTCTTTTTGTATTTTTCGTATTTTTCCAGCGTAAATATTTAATTTTGCATTATGTGTGTTTGCATTCGCGGGGCTTGATCGTTGATTTTTGATCGTTCTGTTGAACTTGGCAAATTCGTGTCACGTCAGCGTGGGCGTGGCTTGAGGCGAGAATTTTAGCGATTAGCATTTTGATTGTGTAAACTGTTTGCTCGCACGTTTTGCCAGTACGCACTTAGGACACGCTTTTAGCCAACTCGCCTTAATTGCAAAATTCTATTTACATAATTCTCTATCTCCCACCTTCAACCCGTAGTTCAGCTCGTTGGACCCGCACACGGCCCAGTGGCGTGTGGATCCCTGCCAGCTGGAGGACACTGCCTCGGAGATGGAGGACCCTGTGAGGCTCTTCCATGGTCGTGTAAGGATCGTGTGGGAACATGGCATGAATACGCTGCGCTCCAAGCTAATGGTCACTGTGTTGGGCAAGGGAGAGCAGTGCAAGGATGGCAGCAAGCATCAGTGCCTGAGGATAGGGTAAGTCCTATACTTCACTCTATCTAAATCTTGGATCAATTACAATGTAATCTTTCAGGGATGAACCCATTCTGTGCATCTCCAAGGAGCTGGCCTGCGACGGCATTCGCCATTGTCCTTATAGCAACGAATATGACAGCGACGAGGATTACGAGCTGTGCTCGAAGAAGCGTCGCCCGGGTGCGGGTCACTTGCCCGCCGGCCTGGAGTCGGATCTCTTTGAGCAATTTGCCCTGGAAGTGTTTCGCAATCTCTTTGCCAATGACGCACCCACGGGGCCAGCGGTGGTAGTCCCAGGAAATGGCAGCAGCAGCGAGGGAGTTGGAGGAGATAACTCTACCAGTTCAACGACCACCACACTCCGCAAGGTGCACACCAAAGACATGAAGAAGCCCGGCGATGGTTCACCCAATTCCATAGATCCCAGGATACACACGAATGTTGTCGAACCCAAGGTGGACAATGACACCATTGAGATGGGTGTGGGCACAGGAGCTGGAAGTGGTTTCACTCGACGCAATTCAACGCGATCGGGTCTGCACTCGGATCTGTCCAAGTATGGACCTTGGGGTTACCTGATGCTTGGGATGCTCCTGTGCGGCGGAGCTCTGCTCATTTGCGGCCTCTGGGGTACGTTAAACTGCACAGTAATCTAGTTGCAACCAAAGTAAGGCACTGTCATCTGGCATTGTACTCATGCGTGTTTCCCTGTTTATCGTTTTTCTCATCATCATCCAAAAACCCCCACTCATATGCTATGACCGTGCCTAACCTTTCCGCCAATTGTTACCCCAACTAATCCTAAAATCCCCCCTAAACCGACAGTTCTCTGTTGTCGCTTGAGCTCTCACATTGAATCCATCCGTTCCCTTGCAGCCTCCGCATCTCAGCATGCGGTCAACAACGAGCGGGAGGCGGCGCTGGCCGCTGCCAATGGTGGCGGAGGCGGTAGCGGTGGCCAGGACCACCTGGGTGCCACCTCGCCGCCCAACTACGAGGAGCTGGATCCACCGCCAGCCTACTCGGTGCTCTTTCCCAATCAGAAGGCGGCCAGCAGTAATACGCTGAATCTGGATGCAACGGCAGCCAGTACAACAACAGCGGCGGCAGCAGCAGCAGCGGCAGCAGCAGCAGCAGCACTAGCCGGAGCAGTGCCAGGTGATGCAACATCACATCCTACTCCCCAGCAGCAGCAGCAGCAGGAACAGACAACGAACTAGCCACTAAGCCTGACAAGACACCTGTCGCACACACCTGGAAGAACGTAGCTTTTAAGGTCCCAACATCTCTTCGACTGACTCTGATGCAATTAGCTTAAACCAATTTAGTGATAGACCTAAGTGTGACTCTATGTTAAATGATTGACTATATCTGTATGCTAACTAATAACGAATAACATTAAAACGGAATAATGTAACAAAATAATATAACAAACATAATGTGTAACAAAATAATGTAACAAATAATCCAACAACCGTCCTGTCAACGCCGACATTGTCGCCGGCAGACCCCCTTAGCTTCCGATGTAATTGAAAAAAAATGATAATGATAATGTTAATGAAGATGATTGTAAAGATTGTAAAGAACTGCAGCTGCAGCAGCATCAACTGACGAATCGACTAACTTTTTGTAATTCTGTTAATTTAAAATTTAATGTGATATAAATTTAAACTGAATAAAATGAAAAAGTGTTTAAGTAAGCATTTATGTATTTTTGTGGGCTTTGATTATACGACTAAACTTTACTATTTTACAATAGTTTATTAATATATTTAATATGAAATTAAATGTTTTTAATAATATTAACAGAAATTCGTAGATTATCCTTTCAGTTTAGTAATGGATCAACATACCTTATTGGAAATGGTTCATAACTTAGGCAAAAATTGATTAAATTCAATTTGGAAAGCAGTTCTAAGTTGGTATTTGTTGGGTTAACAAATCTGCATACTCATTTAAATATTAAGAAAAACTAATTTTTTTCAAATTTTTTACAATTTTAACGATGTCCCCCTAAAAAATTTTCAAAATTAAAAAAAAAAAATTTTGCTCAGATATAGCTAGAACGACTCGGCTTTTTATGCTGATCAAGAATATATATGGTTTATAGGGTCGCAAATGAGTCCTTCACTTCATTTGACGCTTCTGAATAAAATTAGAACATATGTTTTAACCGATACTTATCGTGGTTTTTATATAACAATTTTCTTAGAAATATCAAAGCTTAAAAATCGCATAACTAAGCCAAAAATCTATCAATTTTATTTCGGAAAGGGGTCCTGCGTTAAATTTTATTAGGTTTATAAATCTGCATACTCATTTTATAATTTTCAATAATTCTGAAATTTCTCAATTTTTAAAAATTTTAATGGTAATGGGTAACACCCTTATAAAATTTAAAAATTTTTTTTAAAAATTAAATTTTTTCCAGACATAGCTATATCGAATCTGCTAATGATACTGATTAAGAATATATATACTTTATGGGGTCGGATATAAATACTTTCGCTGCAAACTGATCTGGAAGCTGCTTTAAAGGCATAAGAAACATCATAAAATATGGCCATTATTTTATTTTTTTATTAATAATTTAATTGGGTTTTTAATAAATACATTCACTTGCAGCACTCAAGCAATTAAATTACCTTTAAATAAATCCATTGTGCAGTGGAAACGTTGAATCTGCCGCTGACATTTCCATTGGAGAAGCCTTCAGTTTGCAGCCTACTTTCGGGGCGGCAGCGAATAAATAAAATAAAATAAAATAAAATAAAATAAGCTAACCCACACATAAAGCAGAAAAAACACAGCAATGTTTGTTTGTTTTTTTTTCACATCGAATTGAACATTTTCTTTTTTTGTTTTATTTGCAATTCAGGTAAATTAATGGGGTCGCATCGGAGAAGCTGGGGGACAATGGGGTTGAGGGGAGAGTGTCTTGCTTTTCACATTCAAATTGCAGGTGAGTGCTAAATGAGTTGAATTCTCGCTGTCTTACTTTTTTTTTAACTGATATATTACGTTGCTCTGATATTATATTGTTCCATTTTTCTAGTTACTGTTTACAAGTATTTTCTGCTAGCTAGTTGCTAGTGAGACCTCCTCCTTTTCCGGAAGCTGCATTCAATCTAATCCTGCTGCTCCTTACGCTTATGTAAAACCAAAAAATTTACACTAAAAAACGAGAAGCTGCTCCGTGAAGTGAGGCCATGGTCCCCGTGAAAACGAACGAGTACCAATTCGATTTTGGAATCTCTAATATCGAAGGACTCTCGGGGATCCTTGGACTTGCACAGATGAGGCGCTACTTTTGCCAAGTTTCGGTCTAGTTTAGTCGAAAATTCTACTACATTGTACATACATATGGTGTGTGTGGTGTGTGTGGTGTATTACTATATACTTAATTGCCAATTTCAGCAGTTAGATGTCCCGGCGGCCATTGGGGCCAGCGGTTATCCTGTTTGAATTTTATATTTTCGGCTTTGCTTACATACTCATAAGATTTGGGCGTTTTCGTGTTTGTCGATTCCATTTCATTTTACAATACAATTCATCTTTCTTAACTTACTCGCTAGATGTGATCGTAAATACTCGTTACTCTTTACTCGTTACTCGATATATATATATCGTACAATTAATTGGGTGCAGTATATGGATATTTCTTAGATTGGGTTTTGTGCAGAATTTCCCCCGCGTGTCATACTGTCCTTCTGTCCTGTATCTGTATCTCTCCTCACTTGTATCTGTATCTTGTATCTGTATCTGTATTTTCGGTCCAGTGGTCAAAGCGGGGTTTTTGGGGCTTGGAAAAACTCGTTACTCTTACTAACTAACTCATAGGCCATAGGGTACACTTAGCAAATAGTTGTTGTTTGTTTGTTGTATGTGGTTCAAGAAAATGTTAAATAGATAAAAAACGATCTCTGATAAAATGTCATCATCATTGTATTCAAAAGTCGTTAAAAATAAATTCAAATTCAAAATCTTCTCGCTTCTCATTTGGTTTATAGTTATTTTTTGTTTTGGGTTTTAGTTTAGCTTACGCACTACAAAATACTCGATAGTTGTTAATCTATGCTCGATAGTTTCGATTTGTTGTTGTTGCTGTTGTTTTGTCTAGAGTCCTACGTTAGTTATCATGTAAAATTGGACGCCAAAAAACAATTAACAAAAGGTGACGCGAAGCCTTAAGCTAAAATCTTTGTGAAAATTCAATTTGCTTGTAATTCTCAAGTTGTTATTCTGCATGTGTCTGTGTCAGTGTGTTTTGTGGTGTGAGAGGGTTCAGCTCATTGTTTTTTATTTTTATTTATATTTTTTGGTTACTTTTTCAATAAATAAGGCCAGTGGATACGCATACATCATAAAAGTACAATTCATGTTTTATCATATTCAATGTTTCACATTTCGATACAAATCTAGTTAGTTTACAAAAAGCGCTTCTATCGAGTCCTCCCATAAATAATCCCTAGCTCATATAGCTCATACTGTTATATATATATATATTTTTGGTATATATAGCATAGCATATGCACTGGTATTCCGTATTATAATCCCTTCTAGTAGCCGCAACTCATGGAGAAAGCTTCTTTCTAGCCCTAACGATCCTAGCTGGTGAACTCTTGATCTCATTCTCAATCCGTTTAGTTGATTCAAAGTTGTTTGGTATAAAAAATAGAAAAAATTTTTGGTAACAATAAAAACGGTTCTCCTTTTAGTTTTCTAGTTTTTTTTTCTCCTCAAAATGATCGCGAAATAAGTCCCGCAGACGTTTAAAGTCCAGGTAGAGATCTATATATATATTCCTTCCGAATAAAATCCGTTTAGCTTGCTACAGAGTTTAAGGTATACAATATGTGTGTCTGTTCATATTGGAATATGAAACGCGATATGAACGATATATATATATATATATATATATAATACCGACTTAGGTCTACGCTTCGTTCTATTTGAAAACGCGTCTTGATTGCTTAAAAGTTGCTCGAAAATTAGTGTATCTGTTGTTGGATTTTGTATTTGTTGTTGTGTTAGCGAACTGTATTTCATTTTTAGCGATTTTAAGCGAATTAAAAGCACATTGATTGTATACATATGTGTGAGTCCGAGGGGGAATGGTAGGGTATCCTGTTTGCGAGTTAATCCTAATCAAATCGTTACTACTAAGCCTACGCTTGTCCCTTTGACATCTTCAAATATCTGACATCTGATATCCTTGCCTAAGTTGGTCTTGTATTCTTTTTTTCGGCTGTCTGTTTGTTGTTCTTGGTGTCTGAGTGCTGTTTCCAATGGTATGGCTGTTGTTGTTGTTGTTATTTGGTCTCCTCTCAAGGATCAATGCATCGATGGAACACTTGTGCGGATGGACGACGACGACGACGACGACGAAGAAGACGGCGAGTTGGTGGTGTGAAGTTAAGGGAAAGCGGAAGTTGAGCCTCGAAGATCCTGCCCAGCTTCCTCCCTTCCTTGGCTGGACCCAGTTTGTGCGCTTGGGTTTTGCTATTCGCGAGTCTTTTCTTATTTTATTTTGAGGGTCTGAGGGGTTAGTTAGTTAGTGTTAGGGCTTGCCCAACCTAGCAGTAATTGCCATTGCCATTGCCATTGCCATACCACGGAAAGGTCCAGCACCATCAGTGCGGAAGCATCAGAGGCCGCGCCGTGCTACTCAGCCTGTGATGATGAAGGCTGGCCTTCTCTCCCCCGCCGTAATCCTCGTAGCTAAGCAGCGGGGATATCTTCAAACCCGTCTTCTCGGGTATGATCTTAAAGTGCGGCTGATCGGCACTCACCAGCAGCGGTCGCTTCATCGAGGAGTGGACATAGTCGTGGGGAGGATGCTGCATGGGATGCTGCTGAATCGAGGCTCCTCCCAGGGGACGCCGGGTGCTGGGCATATTCATCTTCTTGCACGGCTCCGGTTTGCTCTCATAGTTCATCTGGCAGTTCTCCGGCGAATACTTGTTGGGCTTGTAAATGGAGAAGATGTTGTTGATCAGACTCAGGGCCGAGTGACCACCCGCCGATGGATGATGGATGCCCGCCGGCGGCTGTTGGGTCAGCACACTGCCCACCGTCGAGTGTCCCGAGTGCTCTGGATAGAAGTTGTTGTACTGATACGAGGGCAACGTATCCACCGTGGGATACACCTTGTGACCATAGCCTTGGGTGAGCGGATTATGGCCATAGGAGGAACGGTGCTGGAAGGCAGGAGCTGGCGCGGGCGCAGAGTCAAAAAAGATGGATGATAGCCACCACCAACGTTGGTCGAGGACTCACTGGAATCGAGCTGCGGCGGCGATGGCATACCCTCGAGCAGGGATTTCTTGATCATAAGCCGCTCGTGTTCCCTGTCATGGAGATCTATGGGCTGGCCATTATTATAGCATCTCACATTCACATTCTTCACCTTGAGGCTGCTGTGCATATTCCGGCGCATGTCCATGTTGATGGGACTGGGTGGCTTGTCCAGCTGCTCCCAGTACTTCTCCAGATCTATGTTGAAATCCTCCAGATCAATCTCAGTGGTATCCGAGCAGGTATCCTCGTCGAACAGTGTGGCCTGCGGATGTGGCTGCATCTCCAGCAGGGACTTGCTACGCGGGGGGCGTTGATAGTTTCCCGATGTGACATAGCGTCGACCAGGACTCCTTGGAGCAGCTGCACTTAAATACCGCTCATCCTCGTCCAGGAACTTGTCCTGCAGCAGGAGTCGTTCCCTTTCGGCGCGTATAAAATGCTCCAGATCGGTATCATAGCGGCAGTGCATATGCTCCTCCTCCTCGGCGGCGGGATGATGACCGGGACAATGTGGCCTGGCATGGGAACGCCCCGAGACCGAAGGCGGTGCCTGTTGCCGTTGCTGCTGTCGATGGCAGCAGCAATCCTCTGCCGCAGAGCAGCAGCAGATGACCGTGGGCGCTGTGGCTGGTATCCTGGGCGGTAGCCTTCCGCCTCCTCCCCGCTCCTCGAACAGCCAATCGGCGGCACTTAGATTGCGGCTACTGCCCGCTCCCGGTGCTCTAGGTCGCATCCTTGAACCCGGATAGATATCCTCTAGCAGGCACCGGGCACTGGTGCACTGATCCCTGGCACAGCAGCGGTCCAGACTGCTGCTGCACAGCTGATTCATGTTCCGGCGGTACGCTTCCCGCTTCTCACGGCGCGTATTCGAGGCGGGGGGCAGCTCGTAGTCGATGATGTCAAAGGGCATGGTCTTGGTGGTGGCACTGAAGGAGTATGACTTGGGCACACCCGACCGATTCTTCAGGATGGAAGTGGTGGCCGCAGGCGGAGCAGTGGCACCGGGACCACCGGAACTGCCACTGCCACTGGCCACACCGCCGCCCGCCTCAAAGACATTGCCCTCGAAGCACCAGCTCTGAGATTTGGGATACTGGAACTCCTTGCAGCTCTTGGAGCGGTGCAGACCATATCCCGGGGATCCCTCACCCTCACCGCGGCGCTCCTTCTCCGTGGCTCCTGAGACACCACTCTTCTCGTCCAGCTCGTGGATGTCGCGCAGAGTGCGGAAGGTCCCATACTTGAGGCAATCGGGAACATAATCCTCGTCCATGTCATCAGAGCGATTCGAATAGATGTTGTCCGTGTACCAGGTGGGATCCAGCTGCTTGGGCCTTGGCTTGGCCTGCAGCAGCTTGTCCCGCTTCGACTGGCGATAGCTCTCGAAGCAGATGCCCTTCATCTTCTCCAGCTTCTGTTCACGGATTCGTTCCCAGTTCTCCCAGTTCTTGTCGTTCTTATTCCGCCTTCCCGAGAGGATCAGGACCTCTCGATCCTTGTCCCAGTCGGCGCTGCCGGACTCGTCGCCATAGTCGATGTTCAGCCGCTTCGTCTCCGTGTCGGACTCGCGGGGAACTTGATGGTGGTGATGATGATACTGGCTCAGGTGGTGCATGGAGGCGGATGTGGTTACGGATGGTGCCGATGCGGATGTGGATGCGGGTGCAACGCTACTACCAGCTAGACTGTGATTCTCGGACACTACAATTCTAATCCTACGCTTGGTCTTGTCCGCTGTCCGCGACGACGTCTGCAGGGATGACTTGTGCGGTCTGTCCCGCTCGTCGGATGGCGGCTCGTCCTCTTCTGGCTGTCACACCTCCTGCAGATACTTGATCGGGCAGTAGCCCTGCCCGTGCTCTGCGGCACGGATCATAACCATGCCGTTGACCTCGTCGCCGGTCTTTTTTCGGGGATGAAAGTGGAGTATTTCACGGGTAAGATAACGTTATAGTAGCTCTAACTTTATCTTACCTGAATGACGATCTGATCACGCAGCAGGGTGAGATTCTCGCCACGCTCGCTATCCGAAACCTGGAGGTTGTGGGTCACCTGGAGGGGCTTCTCGTTGGCATTTAAACGTACACAGTACTTGGATGGGAAGTACCCAACGCGGCCCAGGACCTTGCCCTTCCACCAGTCAGGGTCCGAGTTATCGATGACAGTTACCTGAGGGATTTAGGGTTTATTTTTAATTATAAAAATTTAGAGATATTTATAGTTATAAAATAAAAAAAGGAAATACACTCAGGGGAGCCGAAATTACATTGATTTTCAGTTTGCTATTGAATTATAGAATCGAGTAGCAAAATTGATCTTAACTAAGCTTAAAATAAACCCATTCTTTGAATTGATATTTAATTATATTTTTATACGACAATTCTGTCGACAAATCAATGATTTTAATACTCATAGTTTAGCCAAAATAGCATTTATCAGTAACTATAATCAAGTATCTATGACCAGTAAGTAAAAATGACCAGTAAGTAAAAATGATCAGTAAGTATCTATGACCAGTAAGTATGTAAGATCTATTACTAACTTTGAACACTAATACACAATGACTTGCAACTTTTGTAGCACAACACATATCTGGTACTTGGCCGGCAGCTGTCACTTCGTTCCGGGGATGTTAGAACTAGTTGGGAATCATATGCACAGATGTGCGAGATTTGTTTTGGAACATATTTAAAAGCAAGCTATTTGAATATGAAGTTATTCTTCCATATACTTCTATAAGTTTATACATCGGAGCATGCCGAATCGGTTGACTATATATATACATATATATAGCTGATATAGGAACAATCGGACGATTTATAGAACTATGATCAGTAATTAACTATGACCAGTAATTAATTATGATCAGTAATTAATTATGAGGAGTGAAAATCTATGAGCAGTAAGTAACTCTGACCAGTAAGTAACTCTGACTAGTAAGTAACTCTGATCAGTAAGTATATATGACCAGTAAGTAAGTATAATCAGTGACTAACTTTGAACACTAATACACAATGACTTGCAACTTTTGTAACACAACACATATCTGGTACTTGGCCGGCAGCAGTCACTTCGTTCCGGGGATGTTAGAACTAGTTGGGAATCATATGCACAGATGTGCGAGATTTGTATGGGAATCATATGCACAGATGTGCGAGATTTGTTTTGGAACAAATTTAAGCTATTTGACTGAAACTATGGAGTTATTCTTCAATATAATTTTACTACTATATAAGTCGGAGCATGGCGAATCGGTTGACTATATATATACATATATATAGCTGATATAGGAAAAATCGGACGATTAATAGAACTATGATCAGTAATTAACTATGACCAGCAATTAACTATGAGCAGCAAGTAACTCTGAACAGTAAGTATCTATGACCAGTAAGTATCTATGACCAGTAAGTATCTATGAACAGTAAGTTAATATGATAAGTAAGTACTTATGTCCAGTAAGTAACTATGATCAGTAAGTAACTATGATTAGTAAGTATCAATAAACATTAAGTAACTTTAATCAGTAAGTAACTCAGGACAGTAAGTATCTATGATCAGTGTCTAACTTTGAACACTAATAAACAATGACTTGCAACTTTTGTAACAGAACACATATCTGGTACTTGGCTGGCAGCAGTCACTTCGTTCCGGGGATGTTAGAACTAGTTGGGAATCATATGCACAGATGTGCGAGATTTGTTTTGGAACAAATTTAAGCTGTTTGACTGAAACTATGGAGTTATTCTTCTATATAATTTTACTACTATATAAGTCGAAGCATGGCGAATCGGTTGACTATATATATACATATATATAGCTGATATAGGAAAAATCGGACGATTAATAGAACTATGATCAGTAATTAACTATGACCTGCAATTAACTATGAGCAGCAAGTAACTCTGAACAGTAAGTATCTATGACCAGTAAGTATCTATGAACAGTAAGTTAATATGATAAGTAATTATTTATGTCCAGTAAGTAACTATGATCAGTAAGTAACTATGATTAGTAAGTATCAATAAACATTAAGTAACTTTAATCAGTAAGTAACTCGGGACAGTAAGTATCTATGATCAGTGTCTGACTTTGAACACTAATAAACAATGACTTGCAACTTTTGTAACACAACACATATCTGGTACTTGGCCGGCAGCAGTCACTTCGTTCCGGGGATGTTAGAACTAGTTGGGAATCATATGCACAGATGTGCGAGATTTGTTTTGGAACAAATTTAAGCTGTTTGACTGAAACTATGGAGTTATTCTTCTATATAATTTTACTACTATATAAGTCGAAGCATAGCGAATCGGTGGACTATATATACACATATATATATTTATATATAGCTGCCATAGGAATGATCGGAAAATTTTTTATAAAAAAATAAATATAACTTTTGCAGTTTTCAACAGATTTTTATCAAATTTTATATATATTCATTATATATTAATTTAGAATTTTGTGTAAAATTTTATGGAAATCGGACTACTATATCGTAGAGCTGCCATAGAAACGATCGTTAGATTAGAGGAAAATGCAGAACTGTGAATGTAAAACTATATTTACAGTTTTACATTCACAGTTTTGCATTTATCGTATTTTCATTTCATTGTTTTTAAACATTAGTATATCACATATACATTGTATTTATTCCTAGTCATCGAAGCTTTAGTGCAAGGGTATATAAATTTCGGCGTGCCGAAGTTAGCTTCCTTTATTGTTTTCTGTTAAACTTATTTGTTATATATTTTATGAATTTTAGGGATATTAATCTGTGTAATTTATGCATAATCCAATTTGATTCTGAAACCTCGGTTCGAGTCCAGGCTGAAGCTTGGATATTTTTGGCAATGCCCAGCTTATCTTTCTCTTCGCTCATCGCTCTCCGCTCTCCATCCTCTCTCTCACCAGTAAGCCAAATGGCCAGATGGACTTGGAGAATCAATTGCTCACACACCGTTGGACGAAGCGGGTGGAAAAAAATTAGTAAACGAGAAAATCTCCATACAGGAGATCGCCGCGTCGGTCAAAGGTAAAATCAAACGGAAAAGTATCGCGGAAAACCCAGTAGCAAGTGCGAAAAGTGCGAAAAGCCTGTGGGCCCCCGCAGTGAAATGTGTTTGTGAAGCGGGGGCAGCCCGGACCGCGGTCGTGTGTTTTTTCTTTTTGCTAAACGCGTATGTATGTAAGTACATATATATATATATATATATATATATATGTAAATACTCTACTTTATATGTGTAAATACATATATACATAGACAGTAATTGCGTTTTTCCGCACCTTCAATAAGAAGGTTTTCGTTTCGTATTTTGTGTGTGCGTTTTCGTTTATAATTCGCCGTTGGGAGTTGCAATGCGAGTGAGTGAAACAAACATATTTTCGTATTTCTTTTAAGCCCGCCTTTCCGTGCATTTGCGCGCGGAATTTGCCTCTTCCCCTGTCCGTGAATATTTATGCCGTAGGAATACCTGTAGGAAGTGCCGTTACTGGCACCCGCTTTCGCTCTCGCTCTCGCTCCCGAAGGTGGAACCTAAGAGCGGGAGAGCCACGATCCACTTTTGTGGGTCACGACTTTGACATTTGGAGATCTGCGGCCTTTGTTTACCTTTTTCTTTGGGCAATTTGACGAGTTGTAAATTTACGGTTGTATGCGAGGAAATTTGAATGCAACTCAACTTATTTAATTATATACTTCAAGCCTTATATTATTATAATTTACTACTATTACTGTATTTATACCCTTATTTCAGATATATGAATTTATTTATATGATTTTCGATAATGTTTAAAATTTAATTTCAATCGAATTTTTATATCAGCTGTATAAATGCGTTATATATCCCTGTTGGTAATTTTTTTTTTATATATCTATATATAATAATCAAATGTTTGATGCTGAGTATGATCGATGACAAATTCGATTTAAAAATTTAATCACTAAACTTATCTTTATAAATTTTTATATTCTCCCTTAAGACACACATGGCGTATACTTAATTTTTAAGGGTTTTCACGTTAAGTATACGACATGTATGCTAGATTTATTTTAATTCGAATACTGTTTTTATATCTTTGAGTTTATTATAATTTTAGTGGGAAGCTTGGAATGCAAGCTTAAAATGTGATCCTTTGTTATCGATAACAGTGTTTAGAGTTTGAAGCCTGTTAGGATATCGTAAATAGGTGGGAAACCCTGCTATCAGAAAGCTCCTTATTTGACATTTTTGAATTCGAGGAAATCCGAATTGAAAGCATTTGGTTCTAAGTTTAAAAAGTGGCTTAGAAAAAAGGTACTTTCTAATATATTTCGTTTAATTTTAGGAATTCTCTCTTATATTTTAGCATTTAACAACGAATTTTTAAGCAATTTGGCTTCAGTAAACTCTTTAATGCGTTTGCATAATTCTACTAATTACTGCAAACACTAAAAAACAATCATGAAAACAATCCCTTCTTTAAGTAAATATAAACCCATCCCTATATTATCCCCCATTTGAAATCGGATTACTATATATCACATCGGACTTGTTTGTTTGCTTACTCTTCCCTCTTGTTTGCACTTTTTGCTATTACTTTTCGCTCGTTATATTTGCGCTTTCCTATTTCCACATTCAGTTATTAAGTACGCGACTTTCGAGCATATCGATCCGCGCACAGTAAATTCCCTTGAAAGCCTGGCCATAAAGCAAAAGTTTGACTCTATCCTGGCTGCGAACAAGGACGATGGCAGGGCCCAAAACAAAAGCTAATCTGTAAATATTGAACACTTTGCCGGCGGCGTTCGCAATCAGAGAATGCACACAAAAAGTCGGTAACTATTATTATTATTTCTTCTTATTCGCTCTGTGTGTATAAAAAAATGGGAAAATGGGAAAGAGAAAGGACTGCCTCCACCATGATAAATAAACATGTTTTCGCTGGCATTGTTCGTTCGTTCGCTTTTAATATTGTATGGATACATGCATATATGCGCGTATATATATTTCTGATTTAGTTAAACCAATTTCCTGTACCAGCTAAGCGCTCGCTTAGCGGATTAAACAAAGCGCTTTGTTTATTATTCAAGCACTTACGCTTATTAATTTATGGAGCCAGGACGAACCAGGAAGAACTTTTGTGATAAACTCACCTTGTAGCCCGCCTTGAGATCCAGCTCATCGGCATGCCGCGCCTTGAAGTTGTAGATGATGACGTACAGATTCGTAGGCAGCAGGCGATGGGTTTTCTGTTGAGACAAAAATATATGCCAAAAGGATAATGGAAATCGGGTTAATCGGGGAGCATGTCACAAGGCAAGATCAAAGAGGTCAGGTGAAAACTTCAATGGAAAGTGGGAAAGTGCGGCTGCGGGGGGACTACCTGGGGATGTCTTACGGGTGAGAGGCACGGCGAGGTGCTGGCCGAGGATTGTGACTTCTCCATTTCATCCGGCAGATCGACGCTGCCGCCACGCATGCCCCTTGTGGCATAGAGCAGCTTCCGGCCCGGATGCGAGGGGCTCGACGGGGCTGTAATGGTTTTGGATGCGTTAGTCCCTGCTCCAGGACAGGCTCAATGGGTTTTTTTTTTGCAATTTTATTCGATTAATGCAAAAGTGAAAGTGAAAGAAAAATCAGAATCATGAAAAAAGAAGATATATAGTAGAAATTTTCACAGATAAATTAAACTAGATACGGCTAAGGGTAAAGATTCGAAAGGCAGAGAGATAGGTGGAAAATGTGCGTGTCAGCAGATGAAGTTATAGTTTATAGTTAGTCTACTTGATTAGCAAGTTTACTTAGCATAGTTGTTACTACTACTTGTAAAAAAGGTGAACCAAATCGAACTACTCAACGCAATGTTTACTTTACTCGACATATTTACAATTAAGCAATTAAGTAATTAAGAAAGCAATTGCAATTAAGTTTGAAGCTGTCTGGGCGTGTAGAGGTGTTCGTTTATACATACTGGATCAGTTTTTTTTTTGGAAATTAGACTGAGTACTGAGAGATATTCGAGAGGAGGCCCCCTTGATGGGGTTTTTTTTTAGTTTTTAGGGTGATTTGTTAGTTGGTGCTGGAGCGTCCTGGGATTATATCGGGATCGGTTGTTAGCTACTTACAGTGCAGACGGCTGTTGTTCGATGGCGGAGTACTGTGCTCCAGATGGCCTCCAGAGCCGCCGTGGTAGTAACCGGCACCGGAACCGGCGGACGTTGAGGCACCCGTCCCGGGGAGCTGGGCCCTTCGCCTGAATTGGCCATGGAGCTCCGAGGATTCGGGCGAGTCCAGGCTCAAGGATTTCATGCGTAAATTCAACTTTTGGCGGCGCGGTGAGTGCGGTGCTGTTGTTTGTTCATTGTTGTTATTGTTTTTTTTTATTGGAATTTTGTGTCGTTTCGAATCATGGTTATATATATATATATATATATTTTCGATTTGATTTGATTGATTGTTGTGTTCGGACAAATCACAGCACATGAGTTTTGGTCGCAAAAACAATGGGCAGTAAGATGTGGAATAAACAATTTGTTGATTTTAATTTCGTTTCAATATGTTAAGCATTTAGAAACTAAGGCATCTACATAAAATATATCAAGTCTAAACAAAAGACAAATTAATAAATATATATTCTGAAAGAACATGAACGAAAGAGAAGGCAAAATCAAATCATAAACACTTAGTGGCCTTTTTTGCAAAGGACATTCATAGATAGTTTTGTATAGCTTCGATCAAGGCACTTAAGCATGATAATATTTAGTCTCTTTATAATTATTATTATTATTAAATATGTTTTGTAATTTGCAAAACAGAGCAACATTCGACACGTTCAGGAAGAGACAGCAAATGTGTTAATTGTGGCATGTCCTGTGTATATTCTCTAGTCATTCCCGTCTCAGTTGCCGCAAAAAAACAAAAGCCAAACAAAAGAGTCCTTCGTGTGTGCTAGTGTGTGTGAAGGCCAATTTGGATTTTAAAAAAATTTCATAAAAAGAAAATTATATAGTAAGCTCGTTTCCATCGCCCGGTGCCAGATGATTGTGATTATTATGTGAAGAAAGTAAAGAACAATCTTAAATCGTTTTAATTTTTATTCGTTTCTTGTGGGAGATGTATGTGTGTGTGTGTTTTTTGGGGGGTTTGGGAGGTTGCTTGTGCAATATTTACAACAATCGTACAACATCTATATAGAATATATATATATAATTGTGGTGTAATCAGAAGTGACTTAATACTTTAATCGTAATAATCGTACATAAAACATATAGCTCATCCAGCTGAATTGAAACTAGGATAAAGTATATTATAATTTATGGGATAAAATTAACTATGCTGAGTATTTTATAATAATTACTGTGCTGCATTTCAAAAAACATCAATTGGGCTACATTCTTTCTAGGTGTCTAGGGTAATAGAATCATAAACTTAAACAATAGAATACATAAAACAAATAGATCATAATAAAGACAGTGTTTAACTAAAGATAGACTCCATTCGAGGGGATCGGTGGATCTCAATTCAAGCGGATCCTTCGCTTAGAACCCTTGGGCTCCTCCGGAGGACCCGTCTCCGGACTCTTGAGGATGGGCGTCAACATTAGGGGTTCACCAAAGGGTCGCGATGTTTCAGACTTTGGACTCGCTGATGCTATATTAAATATATATGAGGATATAGTTTCAAAACACTTTATCTCAATGACATTTTCATGGCGTTAGTAGCTGGTATCGATCCCAAAGCAGTTGCACACTGCTCACTGACTGCCCGAGAAATGTGAATTAAAACTAATTAAGTTAAATGGAAGGCAAGAAGCCCGAAAGAAAATATTAAACATTAAGATAGCCTTCATGCATAAAGCAAACCAAAACCAAGCCAGAGCAGAGAGAGAGAGAGGAGGAGAAGCACCAACATCCCGGTTCCAAGTAATAGAGCAGAAACATAATCCTGGGAAAATAAGTGCAGAGCCAGAGCCAGAGCCTTGGCTAGGAACTTCTGCCGCAAGGAAGTCGAGGCTACGAGGCCAACATGCGGGTGGGGAACGGGCCAAAAGGAAAAGCCAGACCCGAAAGGGAAAGAAAAATAAGGAGCGCAAAAAAAAAGAAAAAGATTGTGTGTCATAACAATTTTTAGCATAATTATGTTCGGCCTGGGACCGACCTTCCCCAAAGTCCCCTACCATCATCGACAAGAAGTTTCTTGGCCTGAGACAAAAACAAAAATAAAAGAAACTGGGCTGCTTGCGACTTTAAGCCAGCTTCTGCGTCACTTTATCTGGCTCTCTCTGTGTGTGTGTATATATGAGTGTGGCATTAAAAATGCAGCAAACATTAAGCACAAATGAACTCGCGGAAAAAGTTTACTGTCTGCAACATTTGTATGCAGCCAGAGAAAAGGAGCCAAAAAGGCGGCACCCCCACTGCCACTGCCACAGCGAGTTTTGTGCGGCTGAATTTTTGCACAAAAGTTGACAATGGCTTGTAATTTACACGGAAGTACCAACAGCAACAGTAGTCCTGAAACTGCGGCATAAACAAGAGCCGGAAAGGCAGGAGGGGGTTGCACAGGAGTAGGTGGAGTCCTTTTTATATACATACAGAGAAGAAAAATTCAAGACTTCAAAACTTTGGGTTTCAGAATAAGTTCTTGGTCTTGTATTCTCAAGAGCTGCTTTTTAAAATCATTTTTTATATGTGCTTTCTAAAACTATCTTCTAAAGATCACAAGAGCAGGAACCTTCTTAAGTTCCTTATTTAATGTCCTTGTATTTATCCTGTTTCTGGTTTCCATTTGTCTTAAGTTTCACAGCAGATAGAAGTTATATTTGAAGGTACAGAAGGTGTGCAAAAGTGCTTAACATTTACTTGACATGCTCAATTAAAGTATAGTAAATCATAATAGGAATTCGGTAACTAAACCTTTCTAAATTTTAATTTAAACTTTAACAACACATAAACAACACAATGAGCTTCTAGAAATACAACCCACTTCTCTGAAACACTACAATTTCCAAGGGTTCTGGCTCTTAAAAGCAGTAAAATGTTACCTTGTTTATAATCTTTCACATATAACATATAGTTTATATTGTTTTGTACGTCTTTGGTTCTAACTAATTATATTTTTCTTGAAGTAAAACCGCAGAAACCCTACAATTTCTAAGAATAACTTAGTTAAAAATGAATCTAAAAGCAACTATGGGCTTGATTTTATTTATTTATAAATCCACACAAATCTCCTTCATCTAATTTCCGCCCAGTGTAGTGGATGGGATGGGAATGGGCAACGTGGAGTCAAGTTCCTTTCGACTCAAACCAAGCTGAAGCATGACGAAGCTGCTTTTCAGCGGGAAAAGGAACTCGGCCATGTATACAAATGATGGCGTTGCAGTCGCTGCTTCTGCTGTTGCAACGGAAATGAGCCATTTGCCTGAAGTGTAAACTGGGTTAAGACTAATTGGCATTTAATCCGGCCATTGTTTAATCGGGCTTGGTCTTGCCACTTGCAATTTGCAATTTGCAGACTTGAATTAAAGTAATTGAAACACGCACTCATTCATAAACAAGCACACACCACACACACACACCCTGAGTTTTGGGGGCAATCCGATAGATACAGTTGTCTAAAAGGTTAAATGAAATTCAAAAAAGATACACTGAACACGGAAACAGAACACAATCTAAACATCGATGTCGAGTGGGTTTCAAAACAAGTAAACGAAGGAACTCATAACGATGACAACTGCATCGTTAGATGAGAGGACTTAATGGTGCTTCTTGTGCTGGCTGGGAGATGGAACGATGTGTGCTTCGGGATGAGTCTGATCTGTCCCTGTGGTGGTTTCTGTAACTGTCTCCAGCTGTGTTGTGTGTTCTGGTTGTGTCTCGTAATTATTACTTTCTGGCAAGGAGATGGATCGATGTTGCGACGAACGCTGCTGTCGCAGGCGTCCAAACACGGACAGCGGTCGGATGCCGGCAAAGAGCCGCCGACGCAGTCCAGGATCATTGGGTGGATAGCCCACTCCGGTGCCCACTCCCACTCCAATAGCTCCTCCTCCGACTGCTCCAATGCTGCTTCCGCTTCCGCTGTTGCTGCTTCCGCCTGCTATGGGTAACTGTTGTTGCTGCTGCTGCTGCTGCTGCTGCTGGTGCGCCGGCGATCCTTGAACCGAGGAGGAGCCGGTGACCGGCACCTGTGGCATGTAGGCATAGGTGTAGTAGTTGATGCCAATGCCATTGCTGATGTACGCCGAGCTGGACATGGTCGATACGGGGGCAAAGAACTGGCCGTATCGCGGTTCTTGGTGTGATTTTTGTGATGGGGTTTATTTTGATTTTTTTTTTTTTTAATTTTTGGTTAATTTGAGTTTATTTTTTGGCAAGCGAAACGAAAAGTGGCAAAAAAGATATGGACACGAAAGAATATATAGATATATATGTGTTCTCATTTTGGGGTGTAGTAAATCGGTGTAAGACTGGGATCATAAGGGAAAGATATAGCTCAAAATTGGTTTGATTTTTAAAGATTTCTTTACTAATTTTTTAGCTTATTTGATTATCCCTTACAAACCCTGCTCTATTTATGTTAGATGTGAGTTTTGTGTTCTGAATTCGGAACTGTACTTAAGACTAATTTGGGTCAGGGCCTTGCTGCTTATTGGTGCAACTGCAACAGACTCCAACTGCGGCAAGGGCAATCCTCAATCAATCAGTTCCATGCTGCATTTACACTTTCCTAATTGGAATAATGCAACTGCAACTGCATAGACGACCGCATGGAATGTTGCCATTGCCATTGCAACTTGTCAGTTGTCATCGCAAGTTGCAGGTTGCAGGTTGCAGGTTGCTGCTGCAGCTAGCCAAGTTGCAGTCGCTAATTATGTGCCAAGATTTAGGGCACTTTGCGGCCCAAATGGGAGGGTGGTCCTAAGTAGGCGACAAAAAGGCAATGCCATTCCATGTGATGGTGTTGGAGAGGAGAGGAGAATACTTCCAGCTGCTGCTGCTGCTGCTGCTGGTTGCACATACACAACAAGTAGAGGCACACACCACACACACGCTTGATTCACATCCATTCACACTCTATTTGCACATAGAGAGAGAGAGAGAAACGCACGACCGGGGGAAATCAAGATACTTAACAAAACAAAGTCTTTGGCATACACAAATTAATTACGTTCAACTAAATATGATACGTAGATGCTGTGTGTGTATTTGCATAGTTTGCTATAATTGATGTTGGCTAAGCTACAGAGTATTCGGCAACGGCTTCAGTCAATAGCGTTTCAAATTCAAATTCAAATTCAACTCTAGAATAAATTATTTATAGACAAAATGCATATTTATATACGTGTTGGAGATATATCGTTTGTGTTTTCCATGTGTTTTCTGTGGCTGGTGTGTGTTGTGTTGTGTGTGGCTAAAAAATCGAAATCGAAATCGCAAGCGCTGTTAGCAACTCCAAAAGCGAAGCAGTAATGGACGCAATGGGGCGTATGAGCAATTATTTGTTTAGCGCAATGCGAGTGAAATTGAAATTGTTTTGCCAAATCTAAATATGTTGGACAAAAAGGGAATGCAATTGTGTGTGACTAATGCAGCTATGTATGTGGAAAGTGTGGAAACGTGGACATGGACATGGACATGGACAAGGATGAAGTACTACTGCTCTGTTCTACATTTGGTCGGAGTGTGCAAGGAGATGCGTTACAGAGAAAGTCCCACAACTCTTGAGATGAGATTGGTGTTAAGCTGAGACGGGATCTGGATCTAGGGAGAGAGTTATACCGAAACCAAAACCGAAACTACAACCAAGGATCAAGGATCAAAATAATTGCGAAATGAGAGTTAAATGAGAGATAGTAGAGAGAGAGATTCAAACAGAGAGACAGAGAGAGATTGATTGATACACAAACTACTTGGTTTGGCGACTTGTCTCGGACCTGAGCTACTAGATATATCTTGGCTGGGCACCGGCAGTCCGCCGCGTTGCTGCTGCAACTCCTGCTGTTGCAACTGAACGCCCAAAATGGGCATGGCCACCGGTGGCGGACGGACTCCACGGCCGGCACGTACCGCCGCCGCCTGCGCCACCGATGCCAGACTCCTTTGATGTTGCTGCTGTTGCTGCTGCTGCTGCTGGAGATGTTGCTGCTGCTGCTGTTGCTGGAGGTGTTGCTGCTGTTGCTGCTGGAGATGTTGCTGCTGCTGCTGCTGCTGTACATTCTGTTGCTCCTGCAGGGCCAACTCCGAGACACTGACAATGGGTATATCCGGCGGTGGAGCACGACCCATCTCCCGTTCGGTGAGGACCGGCACTGGGACAACGCTGCCGTCCAATATCTTGCCCTGGACGGATTTGTCGGCTCCAGCTGCAAGATGGCCGGATTTGAGTTCGCCGGCTTGTTTCAGCACGCGGTAAATTTGATCGATTTCGGTTATTTCTTTAATTTGATTTTGATTTCAATTGAATTGAGTTTGGTGCCGTAGTAGGTAGACAAGTTGGATCATTTGGATGATATAGGGGGGCCCGGTTTTTTGTCAGATTCAAATTCGGTTTCAAATTGGTTCGATTCGATATCGTTTTCGTTTTTCGTTGTTGGGATGGTTTTTATTTTTGGTTCGATGCGTCGTTGAAGTGCATTAGTACAGAGATTGCAAAATGGTTTTTTGGGGGCGAATTGATATTTTAATTGGAAATGAGTTCGAATGAGTGGTTTTCTTTTAGAGGGAGTTACTTGTCGGAATGATTCTACTCGAGTAGAGAGTGTGTGTTTAAAGCTACGAGATCGATTTAGCTAAGCTCCAGCGATCCAGGTTTGGGGCTACTCTAGAGTCCAGTTGGTCGCCAAAAAGATGTGTGTTTGCAAAGACCTTTTAAGAAGAAGATGAGTAACGCCATAGAAGCTCTAATCATCTTCCTATTACAAGGTCTTTTTTGTGATTTAATATGTGTGTTTTTTTCCGCAAAAAGATTCCCATTAATAAACTGTAGCCAACAACAACACTTATGCGAAATGAGACGAAAGTGAAGGCATTAATTTCTAGTGAACTGATTTACTGAGTACTGAAGGTTGCGGCTATATAACATGCTCCACTACATTGAACTGATTTCTCCCTAGCTCTTGTATATATATATATATAATTTGCAGGTCCTTTTGCCAGGAACTTGGTGTCCTTTTGTGGTATTCAAACAACTGGATGAGTGTGTGGCGTGGTGTGTGTTTTGTTTTTGTTTCTGTGGTGTGTTTGAGCTGGTTGTCATTCGCTGATTATCTCGCTAATTAGGTGAATCAAGAAGCGCAACGGTCAAACACAAAGTACGGAACAAAATCATAAGGTTCAAGCGCATTTCAATCGAGTATCGCGCTACACGAGTATATTAGATATGGGATACTTATTATTTTTTGCTTGTGGCACACAATTACTATATAATATTTGAATTAATCTGTTCATTCATTTGGGATACCGATACCTAGTTGCGCAATGCGATGCATGAAGGGCGTCTTTTGACGGAATTTCGCATTTGGCACATTCAATTGATTTGCGCTGAGACTTGGATTTGGGTTCGGATCATCCGCCTGATCTGCTGCAGCTGCAACAAGCGACTCCTGTGGCGAGGCTGATATTTTGTGTATGTGTGTGTGTGTGTGTTGCATTACAAACAGTTTTAGGTTTTAGGATGGAAGGAAGGAAGAGGGGAGTCATATTGATTTAATCAAATAAATGTCGAGATACGGAGAAATTTGGAATTTGTGTGTATTGAGTTATGATACACTTGATATAAGCTACTGCAGCCCGCAAGGTATGCAACAGATTCCACAGATTTTCCCTCCCTTGACAATTGTTTACAGTTCAATGAGCGGGAAATCATCATCATCATCATCAGTATCATCATCTTGGGACTGCCATTTGGTTATTTATGTGCCTGTGTGTCTTGTGTGAAGCCAAGGAAATTGCAAAAGTTCTTCTTGCTCGCTGAGGTCTAGAGAATTGCGACACAAATCACAAGTGCCACAATCTGTATGTACCCCCCCGAGTGCCATAAATCCATTGTGAAATCAACTGATGCCAGGCAATTGCACCCCTCACTGCCAAATTCTCCTTTTGGCCATTTGAAATCAATAGAAGGAGTTGAGGAGCGGGGGAAATGGGAAATGCAATCGCTTAGACTTGGAGATGCAAGGTGGGTCCAAATGCTAATGCTAATGCTGCTCCCACCCCACACAGTTGGGGAAATTTCAGCCTTGTTTCTTTGCTAGCCTAGTTTTCTTCTTTTCTTTTTGGCCAGCGACACGCGATGCAAGTCGTTAGCCAGGTTAGTTGGTTAGAGTGCTTGTGTATTTACTATATATTCCTGCATCCTGTATTATGTATACTGTAGTGTAAACTGTATACTGTATCCTGTAGCTTGTAGCTGGTGTGTGGGATCTGCGATGCTGGTGCGTGCCAAATACTCACTTTCTTCCTCAATATCAACGCGATTCTCCAGCTCCGAGGTGCTCTTCTGGCGTCGCAGCAACTTTTGCTTTGGCTGGCATCGCGGCAGGTTTGGGGCACAGTCTCCATGGGCATTCAGCTTGCAAATGCGGCACCGCAATCCCTGGCGTGTGTGGCCTGCAAAATGGCCAAAAAGGGGAGCTTAAGAATGTTTACTGTACAAGAGGAGTTGGAAATTCCAAGTTGGAATAATGCCCTAGACATTAGGGGACACCATACTTGGCCTACTTCCTAAGAGGTTCATTAGGTTGACACTAAAAACATACTCGAAGGAAAACTAAATACCTATTCCCTTTAGTGTTAATGTTAAAACACTTATAAGATATGCAAAAATAAGTGGGGAAGGTAATTAATTCCCATTTTGTATATCTTTCTGTCAAAGTCTTTGACTGAGTGAAGGAATCATTTGCGACCCTATTAACTATATATATTATTGATCAGCATCAACAGCTGAATCGTTCTAGATATGTCTGACAAAAATTTAATTTTTTCAAAATTTTGAAAATTTTATAAGGGGTTACCATCGTTAAAATTGTCAAAAATCGATAAAATATTGAATTTTTTATGTTATAAACTGAGTATGCAAATTTATTAACCTAATAAAAACTAACTTAGGACTGCTTTCCGAATTAAAATTATTTAGTTTTTGGCTAAGTTATGAGATTTTAAATTTTGATCTCTTGAAGAAAATTGTTACATAAAAATATAGATAAATATCATCTCAAAAATGTATATTAATTTTAATCAGAAGCTTGTAATCATGTGAAGGAATCATTTCCGACTCTATAAATTTTATATTTTCTTGATCAGCACCAAAAGCTGATTCCATCTAGCTATACCCGGCATAAATTTAATGTTTTCAAAATTTGTAAAATCGTTAAACTTTTCAAAAATATTGAATTTTTTTACATTTTATATTGAGTATTCAGATTTGTAAACCTAATAAAAACTAGCATATAAACTTTTCCGATTGAAAATTAAGGCATTTTTGGCTAAGTTTTGATTGATTTTCAATGCAAGGATATATAGAAATTTCAGTGTCTTGAAAGTAGCTTCCTTTCTTGTTATGAATTCGGGGTTTTCCCCTGACTTACCTCTCAGTATCTGGGAGCAGACATCGCAGGCCGTTATCTTCTTGTAGGTGTACTCCTGCAGATGATGGCTCCCATCCAAATTGGGACGCAGGGGCTCTGAGGCTGTGCTGGAGGCTCCATTGCGCCTGTGAGGAGAGGATTCGATATGATGGTTAGTGCGGGAACCCGTTAATGGAGTCGCAAATGTTGCACTTTTTCGCCGGGGAAAATACGCGGAAACCCAAATGGCCAAAAATGGCTAAACATATGTTCATAAATCGTTCCGCACAGCCAATGCATTTGAAGGCTGCTGTTTGCTGCTGATGTTATGGGATTTTATGTTTTTGTATATCTATATATATATAAAAGGCAAACAAAGGCCAATGAACAATGGGCCGTGGACAATGGACAGTGGGACGAGGACATTGGACAACGGACACAGGACACAGGACACTGGTCACTGGACAATGCACATTAATCAGAGCAATGGTGCGTGTGTGTTTGAACAAGAAACACATTAAAAAGAATTGTATTTCAAAAAAAAAGATACCATATTTTGTGCTGGATACTCAACCTAATTGGATTTGCTGGAAATTGGTCGATTTATCATTGGCCAACGAGTGCTTTACAAGCTCGTGATCTCATGCTTTCGGCCAGATATCTCAATCCACGGCGCTTATGCAAATTATTGTGTTATTTATACTGTGTACACATTGAATTCATTTTCAACAATTTCATGTTTCATATTTATACAAAGAGTCAGAAGAGAGATATAGATGGAAGTTGGGGAAGGACACAAGCAATTTCCATCCCGCTTTCGGCACTTTTGTTTTATTTACAAAAGCACAGAAAAAGCTGGAAGCCAGGACCCACAATTTGGGGGCAATTGTTGAGGCACAGGAGGAGCAGGATCCGAGGCCTAGGAGCCAGGACTCGACGTTGATTGTTTGTAAGTGGCTTATGCACACAGATGAGCACACAGACCAGACAAAACCGACTGGCAAATAAATTCAGTCGAGCACATTGGCACAATATTCATTCGGTTTTGTTTGCTCTTATTTTTCCCCCTTTGTTCTTGTTGCAAATGCGTTAAATATACAAAAACACTCCGATTTATGGGTTATTTTCCGAGAGAGAAAGTGCAACACATGTGTTGATGGGCAACTACAAATGAACATTGACACAATGACATTGAGTACGAGTTTATATGTATGTATATATAGTCTTAAACTAAATATTGATCAAACTAGTCAGTCAGACGTAGCTAACAGATTAGGCCCAAGGCCATCGGGGACGTGTTGATTATAATCTAAGCCATGTACAATTTACAGGTATTTAATATTGTTTTGAGGTATGTACACAGTACTTTGTTGGGGATTTTACGGGTCTAATTACGATTAATTGAGATTTTAGGGGTTTTAAGGGGTGGATTTGGGGGGTGTACATATGTATTTATCAATATTGATGATTTTGATAATGTTTTGTGTGGAGAAGTGCGCAGCTATTGCAAAATGCTAAAATCAAAACCAGAAAAAAAGGAAATACTTTTGGCAGCATGAGTAATGGTTTAATTATAATTATTCTCATAACATATTCATTATTTGTTTGTACGTAACTTAAAACTTTCGGTTGCTAAAAATAAATGCAGAAATAAATGCAGAATAAATGAAAGCCGCCCACAATAAGCAGGACGAAAAACAGGACCTAAAATCGGGACCAGGACAACGCTAAAATGAGTAACTGCCCCGTTTTTTAGGAGGGGGAGCGCCTGTGGTTTAGTTTCGGGACAAAACTTTTGCAATATAACACAGCCGAACTTTTAACTGCAATTTTCTTGTCACGTTTGTATATATACATATAAAGTATATACATATATGAGAGTGCTATTTATGCCTTGCACTCGGGGAAATATTTTCGCATTGAAGTTTGAAGAGATAAAGCCCTCTTAAGCACACCATTCCCATTTTTCCCCTCTTTCCATTCTCATTGCCATTGCAACATTCTCCATTCACTAAGCCGGCAAAGATTTTCCGATTTATCATCATTGGCAGGGCAAGCTGCCGGCACGGAATTAAGTATTGTTGCCACTGGATGCTGCAGCTGCAGTTGCACTATCCAGTTTGCACTTTTCTGGCTGCTGCAATGACAACAATTGCAGGCCGTGTTCATACACTTAGCTTTAAAATCATTATAAATTTAGATAAAACTTTGAATTATTCAAACAGTCTTATATAATTTGAAAAATTACATTTCAATGAACTATGCATTTATTAAGGCTTTGTGTTCAATTTACAGAACTAAACAAACCTTGTAAAGGTCTTTATAAATTTAGTTTAAATATTAGAAATGGGCTTGTACATTTTTCGAATTTAAGAATACATCTAATTTCTATTTTGATTTGATTTTTTCTAGTACAAATAAGTATATATTTTATGACTTCCTAGATTTACTCCAAGTTCTTTATTCTTTATTCTAGAACTATTCAAAAGTCTGAAATATTTTAATTGATTTTACTTTTTAACAAAATTTGTAGCACATTAGAATTCACAGACAGAATCACAGTGTCCATTATCAATAATCCCATTGACTAATATTCTAATCGCTTTGGCATATAATATTCTATTTTTGTTTAGTAAATGTACTTATAACTTATTTCTCTATTGAATCCTGGAATCATATATTGAATAATCTAAAGCTGACTTTGTAATTTGTAGACTTTAAAAGATACTTCCCTCGAATTTAGATTGATTTTTCTGTGCAAGTGTACGTGGAGTTAAAAGTGTGTCCCTTCTATCTATGGAAGTGGGTGGACTTTTCAGACTGCAGAATTTATAGTTTTGCAATTTTTCGCATATTTCTCAATGCCTCAATGGGGCTGGGGGGGGGGCCCTGCAGCAGCCGGAAACTTGGCCGGAACATATGGAACAGCGCCATGCCTAGCGACACATTTGCCGTAGTTATCGGTTGGAAACTTTGTTCCTAGCTGGACTTGGACCTGATCCAGATTCAGGAACACATTGGGCCATTGTCTCTACTATGGATTTAGTTGCAACAACCTTTTAATTGCCACGCCGAACGTGATTGATGGGGCATTGGTTGGGATTTTGGGGGAGGAAACTGTGAGCAGCAGGTGCAATTTATGGCGCCTGGGGTCAAATTAAATTACTGTATATATATATATTATACAGAGTATGTGTGAAATTGAAATTTAAATCGATTTACCAAAAACATAGGCAAATAATAATGCTAAAGTGTCGTGTGATATTTCGAAACCAATTAGTCTGTGGGGCCAAGCGGGATTTTCTATAGTTGCTCCACTAAGGTCTACATTTGCGTGCAACATTACAGCAACCCGGCGTATCGAATAGGGGGTTTTAGCATTATATATATATATGTTCTGTACACGATATATAGTTAACTATAGCATATATGCAAGGGTGTTCTGGTTGTTTGGTGAATTTCGGTTACCTCAAAGTCAATACGGTCGATACAGCGTGGTACATTTGATTTTGTCGGGGTGTTGGTTGGCTGATATAGATCGCAATTATCGCGTATCGAAACATGGTTTTTGAGTTGAGCAAAAGCATTGCATTATATATATTTTTTTGGAATGCATTTAGTGTTTAAATGGAGATGGTATATACGTAAATTCATATATAGAGAGAAATTGGAGGAGAGATCATCATCATATCATCATTATTATGGCGAGTAGTGTAGCGTGCAACCATAAAGTTCGTCGGGGTTGGTGAGGATCTGGGCTGCTGGGGCACGCTTTATTTTTCCGGCTCTAGCTCGTCGGCTTTGGGGGTGGAGGTCTTGCTCACCCAGATCTCGGACAACGACTACACATTATTATTACAAAGACTAGAATTGAGCGTGCTGCGACAAAATAAAAGCTAGAACAAAACCGGAAGAAATGATAAACAAAATTCACACAACATAAAGAAGACAGAAGAAAAGCGGAAGTGGAGAGAAGAGAAGACAGAGAGAAAATCTATACAATGCAGAGACACAGATGTTGTTGTGCTCGCTTTGTGCCCACCCAACCTACGATCACCTGCCGCAAGAGCATGGCTCTGGTGATCCCTTCAGGACCCTACGACCGTGGAGTCATCCTACGAGTCGGTATATACCGGTTTTTAAGCTAACATGATTTTTAAAATTAAAACTTGTTTAATAAAATTAATTCAATACTTAAAGCTAACAAAGATAAATATAAGCTAAAATTAAAATGTAAAAATGTAAGGAGGTGCATAGATGTACATATATGTGTTTAAAAATTGTGCACAAAATTCAAAAGAAATAATTTTTCTTAAAAGTTTAAATCAAATTTAAATTGTATTATTAAATGTTCGTTTACTTCATGTTTTCTCTTTTCTATTAACTATTAAAAATAAATTTACTTCATGTCTTTAGTTCATTTCAATTTCAATTTCAATTGTTGCATTAGCTTATGGAGATTTTATTTTTGTATATTTTAAATTAAATCATTTTTAAATGGTTTAAGTTTTCAAGTATTTTCATTTTTTTTCAATTGCATGTTTTCATTCGAATGGTTTTTTTAGACTCACTCAATTTTCCATCGGCGAAGATCGATCTCCCTCGAAGCTTTTCTCTGGAAAAAAGGGGTTAAAGTCCGAATGGCCCTATTTTTCTTATATTATTATTCTTTTTGCTATGCAACAATGGAACTTAATTTGAAGTAAAAAAATAAAGGTGTAAAAATAAAAAAAAACTAAATTAATAATAAATTAAATTAAAATACTGGAAATTCAGCATAAATTTTCATTATTCGGCTTCATTAAATTCACGGCTAGACGCAAGCAGATCGAGAGCATAATTCGAGCATAAGTTTTTAAATTCAAAGGCCAATATTAACAAATGTTTTGGGCCATTAATCACATTGTCTTTGTTAGAGCAAATTGTTCGCACAAATCTCAGAAGAAAAAGTAACCAAAATGGGCTTTAAGGGTAAACCCTATTTAAAATTATTCTTCACTTGCATTAGGAGGAGGTTAGAACACAGGGGTCAGGTCAAGGTTAACCCGCGAGGTTAGCAAAATTTTCACAAAAAAAAGAATTAATCGCTTTTCCCGACACGAAGCTGGCCAAGAGATGAGTTGCGCATCCGCGCTGTTGGCCTGAT